CCCAACCCCAAACCCAAACCCAAACCCAAACCCAAACCCAAACCCAAACCCAAACCCAAACCCAAACCCAAACTATGGGTGGAGAGTTTCCTTTTACCCGCTTAAGGCTTTCACCTTTTCCGAATCTAGCTTCCCTGTGCAACGGATTGGAAAGACAAGTTTGTTGTTCTAGAACGTTCTTTAAAGAGAATTTTTATTACAATGTAATAAAATTAATATGTCATCAATGATGCGTATTCTTGGGGCACTAATAAAGTCACAGAAGTTTTCACTTAAAAATGGTTCCAATGAAAAAATAAAATTATTACATTTCATTCAATATTATTATTATTATCATCGGATGAATTGATTTATCAGGCTAAGTCAAAAGAATTCATGGCCTCATCATATTTATTGATGTTGTTTAAAATAAATGAAAAATTATATGAGTTTAATGAATGGCTTTTCAATTTATTAAAAATTCAATCCTTTCTAATAATAGACTTGATCTTGATTATTACCTATCCATAAGGAATGATTAAATTCTGCTAATGCTTATTTATATTTTCCATCTTTATATAATTAATCATCATCTATAATTTTAACGTTCTCCCAAGAAATAAGGGAATATATGATTCCATATCTAAAGCTATCATTCCCTTGAACTCATATTTTAATGAGTCTATTAATTAATTTATAAATTGTCATTCCAGTTGAATTAGTTTAGTCTCATTTTAGAATAAAATCTATTGTAATATCTTATTTATTTATAATATCAATAGTATTAGGATGATATTTTTTATAAGAATTAACCTGTAATTGAAATGAAATTTTACTTCCTCCAGTCTTCTTCTTAGGGTGATATTTTTTAAAGGAATTGATTTCACTTTTCAATTTTAGATACTCTCTTTTAATTTGAGTTAATTTTGTAATTTTTATAAATTATTGTCAGTTTTCACTAATAATTTATTAATTAACTTTTTGAAGTAGGTCATTTCTTTTAATTTTTTAGAGAGTTGATATTCTTGTAGAATCTATTGTAATAGAAATTCTTATATAGTTTCAAACTTAAGACAATATGGTCTGTGATATATTTATGAATCCATTAATAAAATTGTAACAATATTGAAGAGTTTAAAGACAATCAATATGAACTCAAAATCCTAAATTTGCTTCTCCAAGATGATTTTCATAATGACATTGATTCTCAGTCATTAATGTAATAATTATTTTATTTCTAAATATATAAATTATTAAGTCTTTGCTAAATAATATATAATTCTATTTTAATAATCAAGTTATTCATAAGAGACAGAATAAGCCAAAATCTACAATAATATTACTTATAATACAGAATGCAATTAAAATTATTTTGCTCTTTATCATCTGATCATTCACTATTAATAATTTTTTTTTGATCTAGTTTAACATTAAGTTGTGATTTGATCGATAATATAATGTTGTAAATATATATTAAGTTAAATATGTGAACAAAGGATTTTGTTGACCTAATTTAAAAAAATGAGGATAATAAGTTGTGAAAGGACAATACTCAAAAATAGTTTATAATCCAATTTAAGTATTATTTGGAAATTAAATTACATCTAAAATAATGAAAGCTAAACTTGACATACTTTCCATAGAAATCATTATAATATCAAGAATAATCTTATTTTATTATATCATAAAGTCTTATGTATTATCGACTTTTCTATATCAACTTATAAAATTGGATCTTATATTGGTTGAATAAACTTGATGTTAATTTAATATTTAGAATAGCTAAAGTAAATAGTTATATTATTAATGCTATCGATCGTTAAGAGATACTGAGTTTAAGGAGAAATTTTGAATAAAAGATTATCTTCAATAACTAGTTGTGTCTACATTTTAACTTATAAAGGAAAGTTAATTCTAATAATTTAATTGAACTGGCTTTATAAGAGAAGAACTGAGAATTGAACTTCTTAGCTTCAATGTATTTGTATAAACTTAATGAGTTTCATAATTTATTCATTGATACAAATCCTCCATATCACAAAATGAAGAACATCCAGCTCCTCCAAAAATATTTCATCATCACACTCTTCAGATTTATTGACTAGAAGTCCATTCCCACATTAATTTATACATAAATTATAAATTAGCAATTGATTTTCTCTACAACTTAAAGTAGAATATTCTTGAAACTTGTAATTGGAACTCAATGTTTTGATCATTTTTATACGAATTTATTTACAAAATTTTTTAAGTTCAATATCTAAAATGTAAAATTTATCCTCATGCATTATACATTAATTTTATTAACATTCAACACAACTTTAAATTTTCATCATATGATTGATCATTTCCATCATGACCTTTCTTATAAACCCTCTATCGAAATACTGCCTCCACATTTGCACTTAAACTATTAATTAATTAAAAATACCAATTATTAGCTAAACATTAATTCTATACATTATCCAGAAAGCATATAATACATCCAAATTCAGAAAACAGGTGTATATATGGGATACATCATAAAGTATTCAATTTCCATCATCAAGTAACTCAGGTTCAACTATTTGGTTAAAATGCATATTTATAAAATAAATATTCCATCTAACAAACCTCACAGACAAACTAATTATAAACTCTACAAATAGAATTAAAGTTAGACAATTAGAGTTGATATATTAAATAATTGAGTCAAAAACTTCAGTACCTAAAATTTATCCATCTTCACATTCTTATTCACAGCCATTATTAATTAAATTATAACCAAATTAACAGTTAATAAATTAGCCATAATTACAAACTTGACAATACAAATTTACAATATCTATATCATCGATCCTCAAATTCCCTACAATTAAATGTCACCATTTTAGTAAAGCAAGCAAAGTTTTGAAATTCTTATTCGCAAAAATTGAACAAATCATAGAATATAAATTTGAATTAAAGCATTATTCTTTTTCTTTAGCAACTATTCCATCTTTACATATAAATTCACATTTAGCTCCTTTTAAATGCCAACCATTTTTTTCATCATATATATATCAAATCCCTTAATTTCAATGAATACAAAGATTATAATATTTAAATTAAAAAAGATGATATCCATCAAAAATATTATCATCATCTCATTATTCATTTTTTATTACCAGTAAAAATTGATATGCAATTAGTAATAGCCTTAATTAATTAATAATTCTCTTTGCTTTGATAACATTTACCTTTAAAACAAATTAACATTCATCTTTACTTGTAAATTAACATTAATGATATTCCTCAAATGAATCATTTTTACCATCATCAAAATCTTATTCAACAACTATGTTTAATCTCCACAAATTGATAGATATGATAGATTTAATTTGTAATCAAAATAGCCAGGCCAACATAAACATAAATTTTTTAAATGCTTCTATAAAGTTATTGAAGAACAAGAAAGAAAATTATACTTAGAACTACCGTCAAAATGTTCACACAAGTTATTACATTAAACACAAAAATTCACTTATACAAAAGTAAATGGCTTACCTAAACATAGACCATTATATAATTAGAATTGATACATTAAGTTCAATCTTCAGCACTTACAGATAAATGCATTTAGATTGATAGCAATTATTACAAGTATAAGTTTCTGTTTATTCATTAAAGTATGAATATTAATTGTTACTACAAACTGAAATTTTATAACTTGACTACCAAAAATTACATAAACTTGGACTCAATAAACTTACAAAAAAAAGATTGATTAAATTTACTTGGTGAGCAAGAATTAAATTATCTGGGATTTCACAGAATCCTTGTAGTATATACTAGTATAAGGTATTATGATAAATTAATTCAAATGTATCTATAAGGAAATTAGTAATTCTAGGGTTTTAGTCCAGCTAGTTATGATTCTCCTCCATAATATACATATGGTCCAGAAAATAAGCTGTTAAAAAGCACCTATTTTTTAGTAAAAAATACTACCATAAATATCACCATATGGAGAATTAAGTTAGATAGAAACTGCATCATTAAGTTTTAGACAGTGTCTTGATTTCTGATCCATAATTCCAAATTAATAAACTTAAGAAACAGAAATGTTCAATTAGTTGCAAAATGATAGGATGGGTTTGTTACTATATCATAAATTAATTTAAATTTTGAATTGACACAGTCAAATAATACAATCCTATCTATATCTTGAATTTACAATATCATTTTCACTCTACATAAAATGATATTTTCATGATCTACACTATTTATGAGTGTATAAAACACGCAATTTCACATTAAATTTTTCTATATTTAGTACTCAGTTACACAAAATAAACATTTATAATTATCAGAACAAATCTCACAATTATAATAAAAAAATTTAAGTCAATTGTGAGACTTTCAAAAACTTCATAATTCATCTTCATAGATTTTTATATATAAGTATAAATTACTATTAAATAACCCAAAAAATTAAAATTTAGAAATGTAATTTTTATAACCATCGAAATTCCAGATAATTAAGTCTTTTTTAAATTATATCAAATTTAAAATAATTTACAACAATACTTTCAAAGAACTTAATTTTATTTGATAGAAATACTAAAGTACCTACATTTAACATTTATCATCATTTAATTTCTGATAAGTTAGGCTCTTTGTGAAGCACATATTCTTTCCAATGTTTAGATTTTTAGCCATCAAATACCGTTGGTATATTGTACACAGCTGTTTCAACAGACAGAATCAATCAATTAATGTAGAGCAGATCCCTCATAATTTAGGCCTTCCCTGACTGAATATTTTGATGAACTAAAAGCAATTATATTTACAGTTAAATCAATTCATAAAAAATTAATTCAAACCCCAAAGGTTATGACCAATCTATTGAGCATCAAGAAAATTGAAATTTATTTAGTAAACTTATTATTAAAGAAAAAAAATACAGATTGAAATATTCAAACACCAAAAAAATATGTTTAACTAATTTCCATACTCAAAATTTCCAAAGAATTCCAATTATATCTATTGAAAGAAGAATAAAAAAAGTGAACTTCATTTGATTGTTTTTATTATGCAGATTATCTAATATGAACTCATATTATATAATAATAATTCAAACCTAAAAGAAAAAAATCTATGATATTTTTATTGTGTATATTCATTTTATAAACACAAATACCTTTATTAAAAATTTATTATTTAATATCCCTCATTAATAATTAATATTTATTAATCTTCTTAATTGGTAAATTTACAGATATTCAGTTCTTTTCAATATACATTCAATCTCTTAAAAAGTCCTTACTCCTCAGTTTTCCCTAATTTTAAAATTTTAAACCTATACAACTTTATCCCAGACCAAATTACCAATTTAATTATAATACCAAATATTCATAATAACGAAGAGATCCCATCATCTCACCCACCGTACTAGAGTATAAATTGAAGCTTTTCCTCCCTCATTGGAGTACAAAGTATTTATAAAGGAAAAATTTCTGAATTAATCATACAAATATAAATACTTTATAATTAAATTTGAATTGGTGATATGAAAAAAGAATTATATTGAATGTTCCAATTATTTAGAGAAATTTAAAATGAACCTTAGGTCCTATATTTAAATATTAATGGAAGAAAAATTTGCTATCCTGGATTAGTTTTATTTGGATTTTGTATTCGATTCACTTTATATCTGTTGATTTTTATTAAAAAGAAAAGATTTAATATGATTTAATTAGAAAGCATAGAAGTGATAGAAAATTGAATTCAAATTTTATAATTTTACAGGCTTTCTATTCAAACGAATAGAAATTTATATTCAATCCAATTTGTTCACGTCCAAATTTTAAGTCAGAATGATGATAAAAAAATTTATTATTATTCTATTGTATAATATTTGAAAATTTCTTTAGTGTATTAAATTTTCTATTTTTTAAATATTTCAATTTTAAGACTTACTTTTGATGATGTCTTCTGCTGGTTTGAAATTTATATATGTTCAAAGTTTTATAAAAATATTGGAATATTAGATATCAAATTAAAAAGTTGTTAAAGACATTTTAACCAACTTATCAATTATGAAAAAAATTTCTTAATTAACCCAATCCAAATTTTTTTTCTTAATTAAATTATTTCATTAAATTAAACATAATAGTAAATTACTTAAAATGTAAAATATCAATATTATAACTTTGGATATAGTTTATTGTTAAATAGTAATATTAACATAAATTACTCAAATAGACTTAATTTACCATAATTTTTCATAGGTGAAAATGATGCAATGCTAGCCATTTATTTAATTTGAGCTACTTAATTTATTCAACTTTAGACAAATGCTTTTAATTTCCTAATTAATTGAGACCAACCTTTTCCAGCTACAAAAAGTTAAACCACTTAAAGAAATTATAATTTGTAAATTATATAATATATATTTTAAGACTCCTTTATATAAACTATTGATATGATTGATANAATAACGAAGAGATCCCATCATCTCACCCACCGTACTAGAGTATAAATTGAAGCTTTTCCTCCCTCATTGGAGTACAGCGTATTTATAAAGGAAAAATTTCTGAATTAATCATACAAATATAAATACTTTATAATTAAATTTGAATTGGTGATATGAAAAAAGAATTATATTGAATGTTCCAATTATTTAGAGAAATTTAAAATGAACCTTAGGTCCTATATTTAAATATTAATGGAAGAAAAATTTGCTATCCTGGATTAGTTTTATTTGGATTTTGTATTCGATTCACTTTATATCTGTTGATTTTTATTAAAAAGAAAAGATTTAATATGATTTAATTAGAAAGCATAGAAGTGATAGAAAATTGAATTCAAATTTTATAATTTTACAGGCTTTCTATTCAAACGAATAGAAATTTATATTCAATCCAATTTGTTCACGTCCAAATTTTAAGTCAGAATGATGATAAAAAAATTTATTATTATTCTATTGTATAATATTTGAAAATTTCTTTAGTGTATTAAATTTTCTATTTTTTAAATATTTCAATTTTAAGACTTACTTTTGATGATGTCTTCTGCTGGTTTGAAATTTATATATGTTCAAAGTTTTATAAAAATATTGGAATATTAGATATCAAATTAAAAAGTTGTTAAAGACATTTTAACCAACTTATCAATTATGAAAAAAATTTCTTAATTAACCCAATCCAAATTTTTTTTCTTAATTAAATTATTTCATTAAATTAAACATAATAGTAAATTACTTAAAATGTAAAATATCAATATTATAACTTTGGATATAGTTTATTGTTAAATAGTAATATTAACATAAATTACTCAAATAGACTTAATTTACCATAATTTTTCATAGGTGAAAATGATGCAATGCTAGCCATTTATTTAATTTGAGCTACTTAATTTATTCAACTTTAGACAAATGCTTTTAATTTCCTAATTAATTGAGACCAACCTTTTCCAGCTACAAAAAGTTAAACCACTTAAAGAAATTATAATTTGTAAATTATATAATATATATTTTAAGACTCCTTTATATAAACTATTGATATGATTGATATTTAAAGAGCTTTAAAACAATTAAATGATTTTGAAATATTAATAATATAATTTTGCATATTTATTGATAATACTTCATATTGATTCAAGTAAAGTCTTGCTTATAATTTGTAAGTCAGGAGTAAATTTTCGTTTTTCCATTAAAAAAAAGTCCCGAATCTGAAAATATTGAAATTCAATTTTTTCCTATGGAATTTCTTCTTTAACAATATAGCAAACTTTTGTATATAGTACATAATTCTCTATAAAATTTAGAGTTTTACATATTTCTTGATTATTTAAATTACTACTGGTTAATAAACATTAACTATCAATCCAACTTCTTCTAAAATTTCTCTTTTAATTGCATCATCTATTGATTCGTTTATTTCAATTTTTCCTCCAGGCAAGGTCCATCTATTTTTGTAAGGTGCCTTCTCTCTTTTTATTAATAAAAGACTTTAATCCTTAATAATTAGCCCTGATACGCCTCTTCTTAAGGAATTCATTAGAAATAATAAATAAAATAAATATATAACATAAAGACAACTTTTGATTTAAGTTTATAAAGAACATAATTTAGAATGATTTGATGGGTAAATGCTTGATTATGAATAAATAAAAAAGAATAATTTAGAAATAACTACATATAATAAGTATTCATAAACACACATATTTAATTTGCTTTCCTTTATCAAAGAACATTGTCTACTGATAAATCAATTCAAAGAAATCATTGAACAAGAAGAAATTGTGAGGAATTTTAGAAATCAAAATTTTTTTAAGGTAAAATAATGAATATGAAAATATTCTTTAAATAATTAGTTGCAATTAAATTTTGTTAATTTTTTCATTTATAATTTAATTTTGAATAACAGGGTCTAGTACACATTAAAATGATTTTAAAATTTCATTCCTATAAAAATATTTATTCAATTTCAATTTTCAATTTCCAAAAGATTATTTTCCAGAATGATAATATTTTAAATAATTACGTTAATCATAAGCTAAATCAATATTTTTAACAAAGTTTTTTTAACTTTTCTATTTTAGAATTTTATGTAAATATAGTTAAATGATAGTATATTCTCAAAAATAAATAAAAATTTTAAAACTAAGCTTTATAAATAAAAGGCACACGAAAATAAAAGCTGTTCCATCAATGATATTTTAGTAGAAAATAGAGAAACAAACCTTTTATTGATTCATCTTTATCTCTATCTGCAAAGAAGTCAGTTGATTGCATCATTAATTAAAATATAAAAACTTATTTTATTGGTTTTATATAAGGATACATTATCAAATATAAGATGAATAATATAATTAAAATATCCCTAACTTCAAAAAGAGAGAAAGCATGATGATCAAGCAATCTATCGTTTATTTCTTGCTATTAGAAATAATTAACACTCAATCTTCACATACTTGTCCTACTGGTTGTTCAGCATGCAGTGGAGCTAGTGGCAATTGTAGTGGTTGCTTATCTGGATATTACTTGGTAGGGTAAAATTGTAATGCATGCCCAGCAAGTGGTTGTCCACTATGTCAACTACCATGTTCAACATGTGTAACAGGTAGTTCAAATTGTTTAACATGTAATGACTCTGCTAATTAAGAGTTGTCTGCATGTTAATGCAAAGCAGGATATATAATGAACACCTCAAATTACTTATGCAATTAATGTTAATTTCCATGTGCCACATGTTAAACAAATGTTAATTATTGTTTAACATGTGCTTCAACCTATACATTGAACTCTACTAATCATACTTGTGAATGTTAAAATAACTAATATGAGTCGAATAGTAATCCTAAAACATGTTAAAATTGTACTAGTCCATGTTAAACTTGTACTTCATCAGATACTTTTTGTACATCTTGTGTATCAGGATTAAACAAAAAACTATTCAATAATTAATGTGTTTGTGATGATGGCTTTTATGGGAGTGCCACTTGTACAGCTTGTAATAAACCATGCAAAAATTGTAGTTCAAGTACGATATGTACAACATGCAATGACCCAATTCACCAAACAGGAACATCATGCACATGTCCAGCAACTTTCTTTATGAATACGTCTTTTATGTGTTAAAGTTGTGTAAGTCCTTGCTTAAATTGTACTTCAGAATTATTATGTACATCCTGCATTGATAACTATTTCCTTTCTGTAAACTCATGTATATAGTGTAATTTGCCATGTTAAAATTGCGTTGATCTTGCTACAAAATGTACTTTATGTGCTGATGGATATTTCATGGATAATTTATTAGCTTGTTAACCATGTATATATCCTTGTAGTAAATGTTAAAATAATGGTAATTATTGTTTAGATTGTGCATCAACTTATGTGATGAGTACTTCAATCCCAAACACATGTGATTGTCCATATAATTCTATTAAAGTATTAACAAATAATCCCATAAATTGTCAACTTTGTACTTAACCATGTGATACATGTTTAGGAACATCAACAAATTGTTTAACATGCTTAGATAATAGTTTAACTATCAATTCTTCTAATTAATGTGTTTGTAATTCTGGTTATGTTTTTGATAGTAGTTTTCATTGCATACCTTGCTAAAGTCCTTGTTAAACTTGTTCAGGTAATGATACTCACTGTGATACTTGCACTGATTCAAATCATTTAATTAATGCAGCATCTCAATGCATTTGTAAGGATACATTTTATTCAAATACCGTTAGTACTTGTGCATAATGTACATACCCTTGCTAAAAATGTGATGCTAATGGATGTATAACATGCATCGATGTTAATAAAATAGCTAATTCTTCTTAACAATGCGTTTGTAAACCAGGATTATATGAAGATGGACTTAATTGTTTATAATGTGCTTTTCCTTGTAAAACTTGTGAAATTCAAGAAGATTAATGTTTAACATGTATTGATACAAATTAAACCTTAATCAACAACAAATGTGTATGCACAGATGGATATTTTGAAATCAATATGTAATGTTAATAATGTGACATTTAATGTTATACATGCTCTCAACAACCTGATAACTGCCTTAGTTGTAACGAATAAGCAAATAGAAAACAATAGAAAAATAAATGCGTTTGTTCGGATGGTTATTTTGAAAATGAAAATAAAGAGTGTTAGCCATGTAATTCCAATGAGGGTAAAATTAATAAGGATTGCAAATATAAAGACTGCTCTGACAATATTTGGACATAAGGAGAAGATTGTGATGATGGGAATAATGAATCTAGAGACGGTTGCTCAAATTGTAAAATTGATAAAGATTATTCTTGTATCAATACCTTACTTGAATCATCATTTTGCTTTAAATGTAGTGATAATTGTAAAGAATGTTAAATGAATAAAATCTAAAAATAGGTTGTTTGTATTAAATGTAATTAAGGATATTTCTTATAATAAAACTAATGTGCTTAATGTGCTGAAAAATGTTTAGATTGCAAAAGCAGTGCTTCAAATTGTATTAGTTGTAGATATTAAACTAAATCAAATGGAACATGTTAATTATGTGAGAGTACAATTGGTTATTATTCTGATCAAATTAATAATAGATGCTATTCTAAGTGCGGAGATTCATTTAAAACTACAGAAGAAGAATGCGATGATGGTAATTTATTATCAGGAGATGGATGCAATTAATATTGTAAAAAGGAGAAATAATTCCTTTGTCAAGATGGAATATGTATTATACCTGAATATCCCATTCCAGTATTATTAAGCTATGGAGATACTACCTTATATAATAATAAAAGAAAATTTAAATTAGAATATAATACTCTTTTAAATTTAACTCAAGATAATATTATAGAGAAGCAGTTAAAATTATATATAAAAAAATAAATGAATATTAATCCAATTGATATTCCTTATATAATAGAAAGATAATATTCATTTAATAATCAAGGTAACATTAATTTTTCGGTAAGTGTCGAGATATTATTTAATCGAAGTACAACCAATGAGGAACTTTTAATTAAATATCTTAATGTAGAATAGATTATATCAAATAAAGGATACTCATAAATATAAAATGAAATTTCGGCTTTAATTCCTAAATTTATTTATATAGATTAAACTGCTGTTGCTTAAGTTGAAATGGCTACATCTAGCAATTCAATTTTGTTGTATATTATGGCTTTTATGGCTGGAGGAGCAATTTTGTTTGGTGGTTTAGAAATATTTTATAATTTATTAGATACAATTTAAATGTTATCATACTTAAAATACATCAATACTCAATATCCTTATAATCTCGAAACATTTTTTGATTTTTTTGGTTTTGCCTAGCTCAGTTTTATTTCAAAATATTTGAATTTATAAGAATAAATTGATCCTTATATTGCTTATGAAAATCTAAAACCTATACCAGAGAAAATATAAATGGATGATTTTAATTCTTTATTTATTATAAATGGATCATCAATTGTTTTTGTTTGGCTCACACTTATAGGAATTTATTTGACATCTAAAAATATTCCAAGAATTTTGTCTAAGATTAGATTTAAATATTATAACGACATCCCAGAAAAATTAGATTTTGAACTTAAACTCAAGTTTTGGTTGTTAGCTTTAAAAATTTATATTGTTGAACTATGTTCAATGATAGTATCTGAGTTTTTCTACAGCGGTATTTTAAGAACTTTCATTGCTACTGCTTATGACTATTCATTTTCAATGTCTCTTTAACTTTCAGCATTACAAATAGATTCATCAGATGGTCTTGTTGGATTTAGTTCTTTTTTAGCTCTGATGGCTTTAGGAATATATTTATTTACTATCTATTTTGTCACAAAAATATGTGGCGATCCTAATTTTAAGTATAAAGAATATTAGAATAAACTTAAGTATTAGTCCCTATTTGAAGGCATTAAAAATGATATCTATAGTAAATATTTTAATGCTATTAGTCTCATCTAAAAATTACTTTTCATAATTATCCTGATATTTTGCTATAAATCACCTTTTTATTAGACAATAAATTTAGCACTTTTATCAGTTTTATAAGTTATATTTTTATTTCTTTTTAAACCTCTGGATGATAAAAAAGAGTTTATAAAGTAATTTTCATGCGAAATTAATAAAACAATAGCATTATTTTTTATATTAGGGTTAGTTTATGATTAAGAATCCAAACTTCTAGGTGAAAACATGCGATCGATTATAGGATGGATTTGCATAGGTAATATTAGTTTAATTTTTGCAATTTAAATCATAATCGATGCTATTCAATAATGGATGCTCTTAATTAAAAAATATAGGAAGCTAAGAAGATTTGTAGATAAATTTTATCAATACATAGCTCCACAAAAGCCTAAATAAGTAGATCATCGACTTTTTACATAAGGAACTATAAAAAATACTTGAAATTTATTTATTTGATATTTATTAATATTTAATTATATAATCAGAAGTAATTTTAATAACATTATATGATTAAGAATATTTTCTATTGGATATCAGTTAAGCAAGTCTTTAGTAATTATTTTAATGATGGGAAAGTGAATAATTTATGATTCCATGAATTATTCGAGAATGAAATAATAATTAAATAATTAAACGATTTAATTTATAAATTGAAATTATTTTAATAAGATTAATTCTAATTTAATATTTTCTTAATTTTAATTTTCATCAAATCTTAACTCTCAAATTTAAATAGTTGAATTATAATAATTAAGTTAAAAATATTTATATATTGAATAATTTTAAAATTTCGAGGAGAAATGATCAAAAGAAATAAAAAAATTGAGATTTACATGAAGATAGCATAAATTTCATCATATTTATAAACTATTTTATATCTAAAATAATCATGTGATATATTATAAGTTATAATTAAAATGATAGCTTTTAAGAGTGCTATAATTTTAGTATCCTTAACCATCAGATTTGGAAGTACATATGCCTTTATTGATTTGTAAACCGAATTTTTCAGTTATCTTATCTATACCATTTGTAATAAACACATTATTGGCACAATTACTACAAATATTTATTGAAGTCAAACCAAACTCCATCCTTTCCTTTTGTAAAGGTATTAGTCGATTAATTATTACAATTGTTATTCATATAATAATAACATCACTTCCCATGATTTGTAAATGAATATTTTTTATCAAAATTTAGAATGTATCAAATACCTATGGTATTGAATGTATTGAACAAACAGGTTTGCATTTATCATTTGCTTCAAATATCACAACTGCTCTTTAAAATTCTACACTCTAAACCAATTTCCTAGAAAGATCACTAAATTTTAATTTAGAAATAATCTGACAAAAATTAAGTAAATAATAACAATATTCGCCATTTTTACCATTTACAATCAACAGATGCTTTATGATTATTCAATTGTTATTTTTGGTAATCTTCAGTTCCAGTTCCATTAAAATATTAACAGTACAAGTAAAATCAAAAGAATTACAATAACCACCTTTAAGATTTTTCCTTCTACTATAGAGCAATTAAATATAGCCAGATCTTTATAAGGTTTAGTACCCATATCCAATTTACATTAAGCTTTATCTCCAAGGATTGCTCCCAAACAAACTTTTTCATTTCGATAATCAGTAAAAGCACCTTTTTCAAGTCACCATGGTGAATTAGTGAGGGTGCTTTAATTAAATTTAGCTGTACATAAGCATGGGTGATAAAATTTTTCTAATCATCTGCATTCTTCAAACATAAAATATCATAACTTTTTAGGGTTTAGTATCCCATGTACAATTAGCTTCATTGTTATCTATGTAACATTAGCATGCAATTGCATATTAAATACATGCCAATTTATCAACACATTTGCTAACAGAATTAACTGCACATTTAGTTTTAGAATTGTTGTGAAATTGCTATGAGACTTCTTATCTAAATTTAGACATACATTTCCATCTACACATTTTTTAGTTTTGTCATTCCCAATGCAATTAAAAATTCTATAGGGCATTTTTCAAAACATTAATTTAACAGGAATTCTTGCCTAAACCAGTGCAATTGTACATTATTTACTGTTCATTCAATATAAAGAGAATTTTATTTTTCTTTTATTAAATAAATTTGAAAATAATTATGAGTTACTGAACCATCATTTCCTTTTGTACCATTATAACTTTATCTAGCTGCTCTAAAACGTGTGTTTTTTTATAACATTTATAGCAATCGTATAAACAAGTTTTGTTTCCAAAAGTTTTTTTAGGTTTTACATCGTATTATTCAATTATTTAATGGAACAATAATTACATTTTAGCATCTAATTCCACATATCCTTTTTTTATTTAATTTGGTACACAATAAGAATATGGTTCGTAATTCTCGCAAAAGGTCTCAGTATATATTCATCATCAGGCTTAGTTGAGGCAAAAGTACATGATATTAACACAAGATGATCAATTCCAAACACATTTTCGATCATTTTTTTCAGCTCACAATAATCCTTAATAGATAATCCCGAGCAAATCAATAGATTTTGAAAATAAAACTCAATAATACTATTGATTAGACTTAAGTACTAAAATTGTTGAATCTATACCAATTTCACAAACAATATAGGCATAATGAAGGTTGTAAAAAAAGTAGTTTGGTTGAAATCCAAAATATTTTTTGTTAATTCATAGTAAAGGTAATAATGTAAGATCTTTTTAGACTTATTTATAAAAATTACCAAGCTTAACATAAATAAATTTTTTTATTATAACTAAAATTGAATTAATAAATTAAGTAAATTTATTGTTATATACAATTTAAAAAATTATAATTACACAATTATAAATATTTAATACTAAAATTCGCAATTTCTTATCAGTTCCTTCTTGATGCTTATTTAAATCATCATTTTCAATCCTACCGCTTTCATTTTATCATCAGAACATCTTTTCGAATTTTTTGAACATTTCCAAAAATGATCTATTTCCTAAAGTAGATTGGTTGGAAAAGTAATTGTTACACCTTAAATACTTGTTCTGAAATACTAAACACATGATCTGTTTATTATTAAATTTCAAATGAATAAATATAATTGACTTCTTCAATACTTTTAAAGTAGCTAAGCATCATTAATCTAAAAAAACAACCAGTTAGTAAATTGCTGAAATTTGTTATTCACATAAAATCAACAGAAGATTAAATTATTTTGATTCTGAGTTTCAAACTTTGTAATACAACATAAACCTTTTAATTAATTGATTTAAATCAAGTAAAATATTTTATATCAATTATCAAATTCGATACAAATTTATAAAGGTTAGAAAAATTTGATTTTTATTTTCGAATATAATAAAGTTATCCAGACAGATTAAAATATTATTTCGTAACAATAAGATATCTAAATCATATATAAGAAATTTCTTATGGTGGACATCTTTAATTTAATTTACTTTATATTGTTGTTGAGAAATTAAAGCAGACATTATGATTTTTTTTTAATAAATTTATTTTAGTTAAAAAATACTAATATATTAATTTATAAATATGTATTTATTCGAAATTATATATATTAATATGATAAATAATTCTTTTCTGCTTTNTTTTGAAAATAAAACTCAATAATACTATTGATTAGACTTAAGTACTAAAATTGTTGAATCTATACCAATTTCACAAACAATATAGGCATAATGAAGGTTGTAAAAAAAGTAGTTTGGTTGAAATCCAAAATATTTTTTGTTAATTCATAGTAAAGGTAATAATGTAAGATCTTTTTAGACTTATTTATAAAAATTACCAAGCTTAACATAAATAAATTTTTTTATTATAACTAAAATTGAATTAATAAATTAAGTAAATTTATTGTTATATACAATTTAAAAAATTATAATTACACAATTATAAATATTTAATACTAAAATTCGCAATTTCTTATCAGTTCCTTCTTGATGCTTATTTAAATCATCATTTTCAATCCTACCGCTTTCATTTTATCATCAGAACATCTTTTCGAATTTTTTGAACATTTCCAAAAATGATCTATTTCCTAAAGTAGATTGGTTGGAAAAGTAATTGTTACACCTTAAATACTTGTTCTGAAATACTAAACACATGATCTGTTTATTATTAAATTTCAAATGAATAAATATAATTGACTTCTTCAATACTTTTAAAGTAGCTAAGCATCATTAATCTAAAAAAACAACCAGTTAGTAAATTGCTGAAATTTGTTATTCACATAAAATCAACAGAAGATTAAATTATTTTGATTCTGAGTTTCAAACTTTGTAATACAACATAAACCTTTTAATTAATTGATTTAAATCAAGTAAAATATTTTATATCAATTATCAAATTCGATACAAATTTATAAAGGTTAGAAAAATTTGATTTTTATTTTCGAATATAATAAAGTTATCCAGACAGATTAAAATATTATTTCGTAACAATAAGATATCTAAATCATATATAAGAAATTTCTTATGGTGGACATCTTTAATTTAATTTACTTTATATTGTTGTTGAGAAATTAAAGCAGACATTATGATTTTTTTTTAATAAATTTATTTTAGTTAAAAAATACTAATATATTAATTTATAAATATGTATTTATTCGAAATTATATATATTAATATGATAAATAATTCTTTTCTGCTTTTTGCATAGTTAATAGTTTTAATTTCTGGAATTCTTAAGTATGATTCTGGAGCTTTTTCTGGATTTTCAACTTGTCAGAGTGGAAACACTTAAACATACACAATTAATTTTAATGGAGTTTTTGGCAATGTTCCACAACTAATTTTGGGTCTGGAGAAAATTGACATGGGAAAAGGTGCAGATTTTAGGATATAAGCCTAAAATATTTAGACTACAAGTATTGATTTCATTAATTATTAGATTTTGAATTATAGTTGAATTGTGTTACATCTACTCCTTTTTATTCAGCAATTTTTAATTGGTATGCCATAGATGATCAAAGGATCTAGGTTATAAATAATTTTAATATGGAAAATCCTGATAATTAGGTTTTCGATCATGATAATGCAAATGCAATTTTTGGAATATTGTCTATTACAAGTATGGGAATATATCATGATGTGGATTTCTAAATATCTGTACAATATTATTATAATTAGTTATAGATATCATCAATAACAACCACTCAAGTTACTGTAAGTATTACAAAGCATAATTGGTGGTTTGTAAATCTAAAATAAATTGGTTATTAGATTATATTAGGAATTCAAGAAGCTCTGACAGATGTTGAAATATTGTTCCATACAAGTTAATACAATAGTGGATTATTAACATAATATCCAAATAAATGGTTATTTTTATCTTATAATGGTTTTGCTTTGAATAATAACATAAGAACTAGATCAGTACGAACATCAGTGTCAGAATCATACATTGTTGAGACATGTAATATCGATTAAATAATGTTTAGGGTATGGAACTTATATAAATAATTATCACTTAAAAAGCTGGATTGCTTATCAATTTACAACAGTATTTTAAGCATTTGAATGCTTAACTTTAAGAATATCTTAGGCTCTTGATATGGAAGTATAGATAAAACCTAAGATATTTCTTGAAATAAATGAAATAACTTAATCATTTTCATCATCAACATATCTAATTATTGATAAAACATTAAACCTACTTAATATGAAAATCTATATGAAATGTACAAAAACAAAAACAATAGCAAGTTAATTTTTGAAATGTTAGAGTTGTTCAACAAAAAAATACTATAAATTTTCTCATTATTGTCATGGAACTATTGATGCTGTTACTTATTTTCCTAGATTCTAATTGGCTTAATCTGTCTATAAAGAATTAAATGTTAATATACTGGTTGATAGAATTATTATTACTTAAGTATTGTATAATCAAGTTTAATCATCTGAAACACTATTGGATATACAAGTTTTGAATTCCTGATTAATGAAATTAATATATGGTTTTTATTTCTTATAAAATGAAATTTCTTTAATAATTTATTTTATATTGAAATTCCATTTGTATTATAAATAATGTATTTACAATTTATAGATTAAAATTAAGGAGTATAGAAATCAATTTATAATCATGAAACATGCTTAGCAATTGCAATTAAAAATGATAACTCAATGTTGCTTACTGGATGGGATAATAAAGTTCTTGTTCATATTTTTAAATAAGGGAAATTAAAATAATTAAAATTCTTGCATCAACATTAAGCTAAAATATCTACGCTCAATTTTTGTTCTAAAAGTTCAAATATTATATCTGGCTCACTTGATGGTTCAATAATCATTTAATCAATCTCATTAATATCAAAATCAAAATGGATTTAAAAATTAAAGGGTCATGTTGACATTATTTGTTTAGCCATAAGTCCACTATCTGAAGACTTGATAGTTTCAGGCAGTCGAGATAACAGCATCAAATTTTGGTAATGTATTAACAAACAGTTTTCATGTTCTTAAACTATCTTAGACCATAACAATTGCGTATGTGGATTATCAATTAATGAATTAGAAGACACAGTTATTTCTTGTAGTTTAGATTAATTGATTATAATTTTTGAATAAGTTAAAAACAATAAATATGGAAATTGGGTTGTGAAACAAAAAATATTAGTTGATTAATTTGGTTATTGTATAAGCTTTATTAATAAAAATATATTTGTATTTTAGCCTTAATTGATTAATGATTCAAAATTAATTATTTACACTCTTAATGATTAGAAATTATTTATAAAGAGTAGCCAACTTTCAATTAATGATGGAGGAATATTATACTTTAATTATTTTCCTTTATTATATAATATCAAAAAAAATATCCTTATTTATAAAATAAATAATAATGTCAATGTCATAAGAGTAATAAAATAAGATAAGGAAGAGGAATTTGTTGAATTTAGGTTAGAATAGATAATAGAATTCGAAGATTACTAAATTTTTGGTACTTTAAGTAATGATGGGGAATATTTAGTGACTTGGAACGAAATTTCCAAATAAATTTAGATAAGAAAATACTAACAGATTGGATGAATTTATTTATTTAATTTTCAATATTCTTATTTTATATTGATAAACTATAGATTACGATTATGAATCTATAAATAATTATGTATATTCTCTATTCAAATAACAAAAACTTTTGGGATAAACTTAAAGAAAATATTCCATAGATAACTGCTTAATATAATACAAGATAATTTTAATAAAACTTATATGATCATTTTTAGTTTCTAATTTTACTATAATTATCAAATTTGAGTTAATTTTCAGGATGATAACCCAAACAACATGTAAATATAAACATTAATCCCATAATAAATGCCAGAATAATAAATATTATTCCAGATATTGAAAAGAGTCTTTTAAAATAATTACCTATTGCTTTATAGCATGAATATCTACAATAATATCAATCAGTACTATTGATCTTTCACATCTAAATTGACGTCATTAAACATTTAAATTGGATACTCTATGCACCAACCTGAACAATCAAATTTTTATTCCATCCATTAAATAGCTTGTGCATCCATATCAAAAGTGCTATTAAAATAATTACATTCTTATGCTCTTATCGCCTAATAGATATATTGCATTTAAATTTTACTTTGCTTTCGTCATTCTTAGAATACACTATTACTTCTTTTGATACTTCAGGAGTGATATCCTTTGAATAATAACATTCACAAGGACTTTTACACAGATTCTTTTATGCTAGATCATACATAGATTGAACTGTAGTATATTATGGATCTGATGGACTGCAAGTTTGATCCTATGCAATAACAATTCCTAAAATAATTGCTATTATTCCTGTTAAAGTAAAAGTCACAAAGAAACATAAGTTCCCTGCGTTAAATATTACTAAAAAAAATTTCTTATTCTTCAATACAGTCCCAAGTATTCCACTGATTGCCACAATCAATATACCAAAAGCCAATGTCCAAAAGGGTCTTGATAAAAATTTTATTGATATGAAGGCCTATGAGATTATAACATATACTTACTACTCCTAATTCCTTTAATTATTAATCCACTTTACCCAATAAATTTGTAATATAATATGCACCTATAAATGCAACTATAGCAAGTGCAAGAGCGAAAAAGACTTAAATTAAAGCAATAACTTTTAAAGTCTTAAGAGGCAAGCACATTTCTAAATTAATAATTTATGCATTGTGATCATATAATAAACTTGCTTATAATAGTTAATATATCTTTAAATCAAATTAAATTTTATATCTGATAAATAGGCTTATAGATTTTAAGTGGTAATATTTTATTAAGAAAACTTAAATGCTTTAGACTTCACATCTGGTTAAATAAAGGCTTTTGTGTTATATGTAACAGTTTTATTTTTCTATAATTTGTGTATTATTATAAAAGGTAATAAAGTATTTAGAGAAAGCAAAAAAAGATATTTTTTAATTTATTCAAAGATTAAATACATGAATTTGAATACAAATTGTTACTCTATTATTTATTTAAATTTCAAAATAAAAATATGACTAATATTAAATAATAAAGTTCATTGAGTTTCTTTAATATTTATAATGATATTTTTAGAATTATTGAAAATGACATTAATTAATTAAAAAATTGAAACCTAAATCATTTGATTTCTTTGAATTAAATCTAACAAACTCAAATTAGAATTACTAAATAGTAATCTAAAATAAATACCATACTTTTTATATTATTAATAATAGTTGATTATATTCTAAATTATAAACTCAATTTTATACTTTTCATCACCCTTTAAACAATCGAACTTAAATTTATTCAGTCCTTGCATCCCATGATATTAAGTAATTACCATCTTTACTCATTGTTCCAAAAATATTAGCTATGCCATACAAATCTGTTCCTAAATTAATTGATTATTCTAATTTTAATATTTATTCTTCATTTCCTAGTTTATTTTTGTTTTTAGTTAATCGAATCAAATTTAGATGACATCCATTTTTATCTAATATAATATTTTTTTCTTAATTAAATGTTGATGGGAAAAGTGAAGAACAGAATGAGCCTCCATCTTTAACAGCCAGATTGTAAGATTTTAAGTAAGTTTATGATTTTTAATCTAATAAAAATATGTAAAGGCAAGTAGATAACTAGGGTTAATATGTAAACATATTATTATTTATAAAGCACACTCTGTAACCCCATAAATCAACTTTTATATTCTATTTAATCATCCACGTTGATAAATTCTCTTAATACTCTATAACTAATATTATGGAGTCATATCCACAAGAAACCAATTTAGTTTATTCTTCATTCATGCTTAATCCATATACAGGTTATGTATGGACTGAAAGGGTTTACGTACATGACCATTAATTTAAGTTTTTAAATGGAAGATTCCAAAACTTGATTGTAGTATCATAACTTCCTGACACTATTAGATTTTCTTTATTGTTAAGTATCACACAAAGTATACTTTTGGAATGATTTTTCAATGATTGTATATATTTTGCTTTAGAAATTAAATTTTTTTACCACATGATGATTGAACCATCATCTGATCCTGAAATGAAATATCCTTAGTTAAAAAAATTGAGAGTAGTAACAATTTTTTCATGTTTATTCAAATATTGAATACATTTCATCATTCCTTAATTGAATTGGTATACTTTTATAATCGATTAACTTCCTGCAAGTAGAAGACTATTATTATTGTTAATGGCAATAGCTCGACAATAACTCTTTTACTTAATAGAACACTAAGGTAACAAATCATAACGTATAGCTTTTTAGGATGGTTCCTATTGCATAAAATTATAAATAATATTGATCAATTCTCTTCATATTAATAAATATTCAATTAATTAAGATATTCTATATATATTCAAATAATCCTTAATATCCTTAAAATATAGGATTATTAAATCACAAACTTGAAATTAAAAATTAAATATTTGTTTAAAATATTAATATCTTTAATATAAATTATAGAATATCATTATTTTTAATATATTCCATTACTGTATTATGAAACTATTAGATTTTATTACGGGCTAAAGGTTTTCGTCAAATAAATACTTCCAAGATTTCTCTTAAAATTCAATCCATGGACCATTCTTCAAACCTTGATTATAACAACCTCCTGCACTATTTAATTCATCTTATTTTTTACAATAATTCATAATCCTTATTTGGATCACTTTAAAAACAACTATTCCATTTTCCTTCCTTCTTCCCATTTTAATATTTTCCTTTAAATACTATTCGACAATCCCTGAAATTAATTAAATATTCAAACCTCCAAAAATTTTAATATAATTCAGTCCACATGTCTATTTATATGCCTTCCTCATTATATTATCCTCCTCCTCTATAAATATTGTATAATATTACATATTCTCAAATATTTGGTTATTCTCGTCTCTAAATTAAATTACCCAATTCCCAATTTTCTTCCCATTTTAGTATACACCTTTATGGACAATTTAGCAAAGACTTAATAATTTAATTATGTGAAATAATACTCCCTAAAATTATCATCCAATTCAATCCATTCTCCATCTTTTTCACCTTTAAAAAGATATTTGCCCCCACCACTTATATAAATATTAAAGATTCATACATTTTAATATTCTTAGATTTAATCTCCCAAATTTCAACTTTTTTGCCATCTTGATATTATCCAGAATAGGTTATTTGATTAATCCTAAGTATTAATAAATATTCCAATACTTTTCATAATTTTAATCCAATTCAATCCATTATCCAGTTTTCAATCCATTATCATAATATCCTCCACCGCTAAATTCTCTATAAATTTACTTACATATTAATCAATTATTCTAATGGTGGTTATCTGACTTTTGTTATCCATTCTCCAGTTTTTTTTCCCTTATGATAGTTACCTTCTAGAAGTATCATAAAAGTGCTCGAAATTATAAGAAAATAATCACTTTAAAAAATTCTCGTGAACTTCTATCCATTTACCACATTTCTAACCGTTTTGATATAGTCCTTCTCCTCTATTAAATTTAATAAAATCGATACGTTTGATAACTTTTATTATTTATTTTCCATATTCCCTATTTTTTCCCATTTTCATATTCTCCAAAGTAAGTTATTTAGCAATAACTAAAATTATGATAAAAATACTTGCTATATTTCTCATGTAGTTCAGTCCAACATTATATCTTAAATCCATTTTCATTATAAAATCCTCCTCCTCTATTTATAAAGAGATTAGAGTTACATTATTTCATTATTTAATTTTTTTTTCCATTCTCCAACTCTTTTTCCATCTTTATAATAGCCTTCATTGGTAATCTAACTTTTCATTATGAGATAAAATACTTGGAGATAGGCTCAATCCATTTTCCATTTTTTCCTGATTATCCATACATTCCACCTCCTCTTATCATTGTTAACATCTTAATAAATACATGATTGTATCACGAAGACAAATATCCCATTTACCTTCTTTCCTTCCTTTTTCATAAACACCTCTTTAAGTGAATTCTTAAGTACTAAAAATATCAAGATATCATAAGCTTTTAACTCTTAATATTAGTTATAAAGCTCCTCCCACTAGCCGTGCTTCCAAGCATATAATTGATCATATAATCCATATCCTCTATAAAAAATAATCTAATTTATTAACATTTTCTAATATTGATAAGATGTTTCATCTCTAAGATAAATTTCCCAATTCCCATTTTTTTTTCCATTTATATATTCCCCAATATAAAATATTTGACATTTGCTATTGATAAAAGATTGAATAAAACTTATTAAAATTTTAATGAATTTCTTTCCAATTTCCCACCTTTAGTTCCTATTATTCATCATAAATTCCTCCCCCTCTGTAATAGTTTTAACAATAATTACATTTTTAAACCATTATAGAGGATATGCCATTATCCAGATTTTTTTCCTTTTTAATAGAATCCGGTTTCTATTACTTAGCATTGGCTTATAGATAATAATATTTAGAATATACTTCTGATATATATCGGACAATTCAATCCATTAACCTTTCTTCATTCCACCTTCATCATAATTGCCTCCAATATCTAATTTTTTTCCCTACCAAAAAGCATTCCATTTACCAATCTTCTTAAATTATTAATCATATGATCCTTCCCATCTGAGATGTTTAACTTATTCTAAATTTTTATTGATAACATATCTTTTATTAGTATTAGGGATCTTTTCACTAAAATATTGAAGAAACTTTTACGTTTTCAAAATTTCTCCATCCCTCAAATATTATATTTATCCATCATCTTCTAGTATATTGATTAAGAATGGTGTAAGCTTTAATTTTTATTTATTTAAAATAAAACCTTTTTAATTTAAATTATCTATATTTTAATTTAATCTAATATATTTATACTAATTAATGATAAAGTTGATATACCTCCTCAAATGTGCCTTGTCTTTTAGAGAATGCTTATCCGTGCCTTATTCCAAAAGATTCAGGGAATATTATTGATTCATACTAAAATGGAGAATCATCATCTATTGTAGTTGATATTTCTTCAACAAATTAGTTTATTTAATTTTCCAATTTTTGAATAAATTTTCCTAGGAATTCATACATCAAGCCTACCTTTTTTTATAATATTTATATGATAATTTCTCTCTAGTTTTTCCACTTATTTAAAATTTCATTGTGCCAAATATTTGATATTTTGTGAAGATCTTTTAAAGACATATCTAATGGGTCTTTATTAAATAATTCTAAATAAATATTATCCCTTTAGTTTATTTCCCCAAACAAATAATCAAATGTATTTTGTGCTTGATCTGACAAAGTATTTATTTTTATCAAAATTTCTTCAAATTGTAATTTCATCTCCTTTTAAATTTTATTTTGATTCTCTGAATGATTCTTTGAAACACATTAATTTATAGTAGAATTCAATTTATCCTTAAACATGGAAATTGTTAATATTTTAATTCCTGGAACAATTTATTAATGAGAATATTAGCATTCTGGACACATTAGTTTTTAACAATCATGATTAAAGGTACATATATTAGTTATAGTTTAATTTCCATGTTCTTGGCACACATTATTCATTATTATTTGTAATATATTTTATTATAATATTTCCAATAATATCAAAATAATTAATATATATTTATATAGACTAATGATTAAGAAAAATTAATTAGTTAATTAAAATTGATCAAAAGCCAATAATTTTATTTCAGACTTAAGTTTTCTTTTTAGATTCATTAAGGTATCAAATCTATACAAAAATAAATAAGAATTCAAGGCAAAATAAGACAACAACCTTTAGGATAAAATTATTCATTAAATAATTATTGTTTTTAATAAAATAAAAATATAAATTTTATAAAACAATAAAAAATTGTAAAGAACTAATTATAGATTTAGATGATAAGTTTATTTGAAGATGGGAAATAATTAATCACTTAATATAGAGTAATAATTTTATTATTAGTCTCAACAAAATTACTGATGTTCCTTTAATATTTTTTATGATTTACCTTTTCATATAAATATATAAAAACATTAAAACTTTAACTTAAATGATCATTTAATTAATTAATTGATTTTATAAATAATTATGTGATGAAATAAAATTAGAAGTATTTTGTATAGTGATGTCTATTTTTAGTTATTCTTAAAACTTACAAATAACAAAATATATGCTAGTTTAAATCCATATGATAATCACTAGATCAATTTTTCTTCTCTTCTTTTTCTCTCTTACCTAGCCCTATCCAAAAAGTTTAGCTTTACTTCTTCCTGTACTTTTGATTGAACTCTACTAATTTCTTGGAATTCTTGTTTTTCTAAAGGAACTTATTGAATATTAGAATTTGCTGTCAATTTACTAGGTTAAATTTATGATTTTTCTGGAATATAACTTTAAACATTAAATTAAGGTGGTTCTTGTTATACTCCATAAAGTCTATATTAGGGGTTAGTAAGAAAAGGATCTGGAGGTGGAGGAGCAGGGACAGGAACAAAAGGAGGAGGAACATGATTTATTTTTTCCTATAAAGCTCCTGCTAATAGGGAATGCTCAGGAGTGTTTAAGAATAATCTTTATTCATTTTGCTTTAAGGACTGATTCATAGCTAAATTGATAACAGATTATGAAATACGTCCTATAGTATTGATTAGGCCACCCATTTAATTGATTTAAGAGGAGAAATTAAATTTTGATTCTTGTTATTTTACATAATCAGGTTCAGGGTGTGTAGGTATCATATTGTCTACTAAATTTCTAGGAAATATTTGCTTGGATGAATAAATGAGATACTTTAATTTCAGGTTGATTGAAATCATAAATTTTGGTTTGATTAATGAGGTAGTTCTGAACATTGGTTTAATCTACATATTATTTAGGAGTTTCAATTAAACCCTTAGGTTAAGTCTTTGGATAGTAGAACTTTGCATTGGCATTGACATCTAAGTAATTTGATTGATAAATTGGAAAGTTAACTACTTCTTTATTCTCAAATTATTCAAATTTTTATCTATCCATAGGTTGATTTGATTAAATGGATTTAGCAAAGTTGATATGAGAATGCATATAATCAGTATCAATATTAGGAGTGACTCTAAGAAATTCAGGCTATTAGGTTGTTTATGTTAAATTGGCATTTTTTTGTAATTCTTTAATTAGTTTATTATTAACATCATTGGAGATTTAGGTAAATATTTGATCTTAGATTTAATTCAATAATCCAATTAGTTTATCTTCTTCTGTTACTCCTTTTGCTTAGTTCATAAATAAATCAGCATAATCTAATCATATTTCATTTGACAATTACTTTTCATTTGAAGTATTATTTATTATTTATATTATAATAAAATAAATTATATTTGATGGAAGAAATATTACTTTTCATTTTATTTGCTTTAACAACAGGCTCTTTTATGTATATGTTAGTATGTACAGATTCAAATTCTAAAAGTCCTATGGGTATGATAAGAAGGAAAATATATTCAAATGGTCCATCCATTTTAAAGTATATTTTAAATTATTGATTAGATAATTATTGGGAAATAAAATATACATAAAACTTTAATAATTTTACAATTATGTTTTTTACACAAATAATCGTTTAGGATAAATTGCTTATTTTTTAATATTTTGGATGGCATTTGGTTTATATAGTAAATTTGGATTATTAAAACATTTTGGAAATACTCCATATGTAAGTCATGTACATTCAATATGTGGTAGTTTGATATTTTTATTTTGCAATTACTTTTTTTATAAAACATGTACAACTAGTCCAGGAATAATAAATAAAGAAAATAATAATGAATATGTGATGTAATACTAATAATACTATGATGAAATTTAATATAAATAAAATACATAATGTTCAACATGTAATATTATAAAACCAGCAAGAAGTAAACATTGTCGTATTTGTAATGTTTGTGTTAGTAGATTTGATCATCATTGTATTTGGGTAAGATAATGTATTGGATAGAATAATTACAAATACTTTTTACTCTTTTTATTTTCTCATATATTCTTAAGTCTTTATGGAGTAGTTGCAGGGATACTTTGTTTATTTGGAATAGCTTAGAAATAATAATTATTTAAACTTACATATAAAAATGCTATAACTGGAGAAATCCATAAGGCAACTTTTTTAAGAGTATTTAGTGTTATAAGTAATAGAGAAACATTTTTTATGTTCATAATATTTGTATGTCTTATATTTTTTGTCACTTTAACAGCATTTTTCTTATATCATCTAAATATGATTAGAAAGGATCTAACAACTAATGAGAGGATTAGAAAGAATGATTTTGAAAAATCTTTTCTTAATGAAATGTATGAATTGTAAGAATTAGAAAAAAGAAAGAAAGATGATGATTTAATAAAACGACTAGCTTAATTAAAAATATGTTGGAAATCTTTAAATAATAGAAGATTGTTAGGACTATTTGAAGGTTTAAGAATTATATTTAGTTAACCTAAATGATTATTGTTTATATTTAGATGAATATATGTTAAATATATTTTAATTTTATATCAATTCTAAACAATTTATTCTGGATATTAATTAAGGATAATTTCAATTTCATCTAGTAATTCATTGAATTTTAATTTTTTTAAATTATTTTCTCCTAATTATTCTAATATCTTTTATCTTATTTCATAACCATATTCATTAATAATTTTAAAATAATCACATTTTTCTTTTTCATCACAATTATATTACCAATCTTTTAATATTATTTTAGAGTAATTAGAATCTAGATCTAATTTAAATAATTCTTAATTTGAAATAAGAATTACTATTCCTTTATGATTTAATTATTTCAATTAATCTTTATTCTTCAATATAAGTTCTTTATTTAATTGATAGATAATAAATATGTAACATATCCTTTATTCATATTATTATTATAATAATTATTAAATATTTTCTAATTTATCTTAAAGTATTTGAATATCATCAAGTTCATTTCTTTTGTAAAATTTTAATTTTCTAAACTATAATATTTAATATATAAATATAATACTTTAAAATATTTTGATACTTAAACTGCAAATTTAATTACAAACCTTTCTCCTTTTGGATTTCCAGCACATATTTTTATAATTTATCTTTTCTTTTAAAAGAAACTTTCAGATAATTTATGAAATATTATTTTAGCATCCTTTTTCCAAGCAATAATATATTATTCTTCCCAAGATAATTTATTAATTTCAATTAGATTACCATTTTCAACATGATTAAATATTTATGATTAATTAGAATTTTATGAAAATATTTAAAATTTTTCTGATTCAGTATGTTAAATGAAAGTATAATTATCATCTTTAAATTTTTCTGCCAATTCACAACAACAAACTCTTAGAATTCCATCTTCTGCTAATTCATCTAATTTCTTTTTAATAAGTTCTTTATATGATTATTCTTCTATTTAATTTAAAATAGCTTCACAAACTTCTTTACATTTTTCATTTTAACCTTATCCCCATATATGTGATAATTTATCTTTAATTTTATCTTATTCTTCACATTTACATATAGATTTATGTTTAAAACATAAATCACTTTATTTACCAAATATCTCTTTACAAGCCTCTCTATGAGAATGACAATGACAACATTAAAAATTCTTATCTCCAAGTTAAACTACTACATTTTTTTTAGCTTCTTCATGACTCTCCTATAAAGTTTTCTTTTATAATAAATTTTCATAAAGAGACTAAAAATAATAAATACCTGCATCATCTAACATTTTTAATTCTTTATCTACTGCAATTGTAGTTGCATATTATTAGATATTTTTAGCTATTTCTCCAGCATAACAACAAGCAAGAAATACTAATGATTTTTTAGAATCTTTCATTATTTATTATAAATCTTCTCTATAAACGAAATCATCTGTACAATTATTCTCAAATTATAAATATTAATTAAGTTTATTTGTATCATTTTCACCATGAGCAATAATATGAATAATTTTTGGATTATATTTAAGAACCCATCTTAAATTTTCTTTTGTAGCTTATGTAATAAGATATGTAACCTTTTTATTTAGAGCAGATATTTTCTTTTTAAAATTAGATATATCATCATAATATTAAACAGGATTAACACGTTTCTCATCTTAATTTACTAAAGGATGACTATATAAAATAGCAATGTCAATCTCTGGATATTAAGGTTATATTTAATAACATTACTTAAGTTGATTAACTCTCATTTTAAAATTAATCAAATTTTCATTATTATTATTTAATTCAACTTTTGCTTTTTCAATATTATTGTATAAATTCTTTTTCTCTAACTCAAGATTCTCTAAAAAATGTTGGAATCTAATAAATTCTTGATAATAAATTTGCACCTTTAATCTAATAATTAATGGTGAAAGTGAATTCTCATCTTTGAATAAAAATTGTCCATCAAGTTTAATGAAATTATTATCTGTACACAGTAAATCAAAAATGTCCACAAATTATTATGTATTATAATTGTAAAAAGCTAAATATTAAGCACTCACTTACTGTAAATCAATTTTCCTTTCACCAACTTTCCTTCTTGTACATAATTCTTTTTAATATAATATTCTAATCTATTCAAATATATTCCTAAACTTTGTCCATTGTTATTCAAAGGAAACACCTTTTAACTAAGTTCAAAGGAATCAGGATTTTCAAAATATTCTGTTTCATCATTTGGTTAGATTCCTAAAATCTAAAGTCTTATACAAAATGGTGTTTTCATTAATATTATATTAATTATATTCTAAAATTTATTTTATATTTCTTAAATGTAAAATTATATATAATACTAAATACTTTTATGAACTTAATCAAATTAATTCATCCTAATCATTCTTATATATCTTTAATAAATCTTTCCAAAATAGATATTAACCAACTCCTCTATACCATATTTAATGAATATTAAACAGCATTTTCCATATTTCTTAAGATGTGATCTATTTCATTAATTATGAAATAAATTCTCCTAATATAGTAAAAGTTGGATAAGGATGAGAATTTGGAGAATATGTTAAAATAAAATTAATTAAAGAAATTCTTTGTAATCTTTCTATTTCAGAAAGTGTCTATAATTTTCTATCTACTTCTTAATGTAATTGTATAATTAAAGCAATGATACGTTTTTGATATTTTTCAACATTTAATTTTTTCTATTGTTATTAAATATATAGATAATACTTTTTAATATAATCCATCTCCTTTTTACATGCTACTAAAATTACCACTATAAATTTCAAATTCACTTTTAACTGAAAAGATTTGAGTAATACCTACTATTTATTCAAATATTTGCATAATCAATTTAATTGAAGATTCATAATGTCTTTTAAAGTTATCATCAATATATTTCTAAATTAATTGAATAATTTCTTCATTTATTAATTCATCATTATTTTCTTATTATTATTCATTTTAATCTTTTTTATCTTCCAAATTTATTGTAATTTTACAATTTTATTTAATTTATTTACATTCATTAATTAATTTATCAAAATTATATAATAATTTATATTCTATTTTTGGTAAACCATTTTAATTAAATCCTAATCCATAAACCATTTATTAATCTTATTAAATTCCCATTTATAAAACTTATCTATATAATTTCCCTATTATTGTTTATGATTCATAAGTGATTTATTTCTCTTTCTCCATATAATCAGGAAAAACTATAATATAATATAATATTTATTACTTTTTGAAAGAAGTTTTGTATCTAAATTGACTTATTTTCCAGTTTTTACAAAATCAACTGCATCAGAATGTAATTCAGCCAATTCAAGACAATTAGGATCATTAGCTATTTTATTTGATTTGTCAGCCCATGCTAAATGAGAATTATCAATTAATCCTAAAGTCTCAGAATTAAGATAGAGATAAAGAAAATCAAACATACTTTTCATATCAAAATTTTTATCAACATTTTCATGAAATTTTTAATTATTTTCTCTAAAATCAATCTTCTTATATTAAACTTAATTTTGTTTCATATTATCATAAACCATAGATTTAACAAGTTCTGGTGGTAATAATCTATTATCCCAACAAATAAAATATAAATCTCCATCTAGATCACCACCTGCTATTTAACAAGGAAGTGAATTTCCACTTGCTGGAAATATTAAACAATTTATTAATTAACCATATGGATTTTTACCATTATTTCTTTTTAATATTTCTTATGTTGATAGAGCATTAAGTTTTTTAATATCTCCTGGATGTAAACAAGGATTTCTAGTTACAAGTACTTCTCCTTAAATATTCTCAGGTTCAACTTAATCAACATTATTTTCATCTTAAACTAAACAATAAATTTCATTTGGTTATAATAATTTATGTTCATCTATTACTCCTAATACTCTTGCTGCTTTATCAACAAGAATAGTTGTTTTCTTTCTTAATTATAATAATCCTCTTTATTTTAATTTTGCTAATATTCCTTAACATAATATATTGTCATCCATTCCAATATTTATATAAGCTCTTAAAGCATCCATTATATTAGGAACATCTATTTATTCATCACAATAATCTACACTAAAATATTTATATATGGAAGCATCTTTCATTTATAATTCCTCAATTCTCTTTAAATATTCTAAATAGATAAATATACTTATTACCATCTTAAAGTTCTTGAAAAACATTATCTTTAACTTTGAGTGTCAATAATAAAATTATAATTTATCTATTTAAATATCCTCCTCTAAATTTATTGAAATCTAAAATTTAAATTTTATTAGGATATCCTCCTTTAGCAGGATTATATTTTATCATTGATCTTCTTAAAACAATTGTTTTTTACTCAAGATTTTCATCCAATACTAATAAACCCTTAGCTCCTTCATATCTTATTTATACTGCAGATATTTTTATTTTTTAATTTACTTTTATTTTTTATCTAATCTAATCTATTAAATCTTAAGATATCTTTCCAATACCATCAGTATATAATTTCTTATTCTTATCCAATAAATCATCCTTTATTATTATATTAATTGGACCAACCAATTCAACACTAATACTTGTACTAAGATTTTATCCTAATCTAGCTGCATTCTTAGCAATTTCATCATATTTCAAATTTGTAAAATTACCAATTGATCTAATTATTTCAAATCTTTATTTTCCTGCTCCATTGAAATCTACAAACCAACATGTTCCTTATCTTAATGAAGATGAACTCCATGTAAATAATTCATAATTCTAACCTAAAATTTTTAATGATGGAAACATAAAATTATAATAGTAAGATTAAGTAATATAGGGTATATTTAGAACAATATCTTAATTTTCATCTTCATAATGAACTCTTAAGAAATATTCAACAATATTATAATGTTATCTTAAAATACCACTAGTTACTTCTGGTTATTTATTAAAATACAATATTCCAGATGGAGTCATAGATACTCTTCTTGTATAAGCTAATCTCATTGTTGGATCATTTAATTCAATAAAATCTTAATATGTTCTCTTTAATACACTCTTAAAATATTTCAAATGACTTTCATTTTTTCTATCCATATCCTTATCATTTACAAGTGAGAGATTTGATGTTATCTTACAAAATGTATTAAATGTGTATTCAAAAATTCCATTCATAATTTATGTAGATTTCTCTGATAATTTTTTAGATCCAGCTTCACAAGTCTCAATCAAATCTTAAATGTGTTTTTATATATTGAATTTATTTTAACTGATTGCAGATAGTATATTGAATCTTAATGAAAAATTTAAATATTTGCTATTCATCAAACGAAAATAAGATATATCATTTTATAATTTAATATGAGCTATAGGATAATCAATTACATTTATATTATGAAAACTAGATATCTTTTATTTTAAATACTCACAATTCTAATCAAGTTTAATTAATATTGTAGTATTGTTAAGAAATAACAATCTTTAAATTTCATTAATCTTTTCTGATTAAACTAAATTATTTAAAAAAATGTTATCAACTTTAACAAATTAAGATTTTATTTAATTATTCTCATATTTATATCTTCCATGATACATTGCATGACAAGAAGGAGGAGATAACATCCTGAAATAGTAACACAATTATCCCTATTAATATACAGTTTAACAAAGTGTTAGATCAATATCTAATCTAATTGAAAATTGATGCATGAATCCTATAATTAATTAAAGACATTTTTCATTTCCTTTATTCTCTTTAATATAAATTTAATATGGCATATTCATTTACTTTTAAAATTGAGCTGAAGTAAAGAATTATTATAATTACAATTATTATTATTCTTAAATAAATTGAAGCATTCCTAATTAGAAACTAGCAACTTTTATCAAAGTTGAATTCATCATATTACTAACATCAGGATTAACAAAGGGATTCATAGAAATTAAATCAATATAAGCAGGATCTTTATCAAAATTAGTAAAAAATAACTTTTCTTAATGTAAATACAAAACTTGATTACCCTTACATTAAATTAATAATTTAATCTGTAATTTTTGTTCCTTATTTGTTGTATTACCTATAATTGACTTAAATTTGTTTTCTAATTACATTTATTTAACTTAATCTAAATCTTTAGAAAATTCAAAGAAACAATCAATTGCTTACTTTAATTATTAATATTTATAATCCAAAACAACACCATTATCAAAATCTTCATAATCATCATCTTCTTCATCTTATTCTAATTCTTCAACTTAAAGTATTTCTTTTATAAATTAGACATCTAAGAATTTATTATACATATTATTAGGGTCTTTATTTTCATATACAGATGTAATAATAGATTCTTATTATTCATTAATATCAATTCTTAGTAATTTAACATTTCCAAATTTTTATGATATTGTATTTTCAAATTGTGTTGCTATTTCTAATGCACTTAATTTAGATGCACCACTTTTTTCAACATTTTTCAATCTATATTGCATTAGAAAACTTTCATCTGGATTATTTTTAATCTACTCAGATACTTGTTTTACTTGATTATTAAATAAATTCATATTTATTATTTTTATATTTATTCTTCATATATTTTAATTCTTATCTCCTAATGTAATTTTTGATACTCCAACAATTCTTATTAAACTTAATACAATTTCTCTATATTGCTCTATTAAGCCTTAGTTATTAAACTCTCAGTTAAATTATGTATATCATGGATAGTGTTCTCTGTTAAATTATCATTCTCTTCAATTAATTCATCTTCTTTGATTTCCACCTTATCAACATCCAATACTTATTCTATTTTTTTGAATTTCATTATTTTCTTCATCTTCCTTTAAGTTAATTTTTTTTAATAGCTTTCTAATTCCTTAGGAAAACTAATCTTATAAATTTATTTATTACATTCCCAAAGCTTAAAAGCGTTCATTTTAATCAATCTTAACTGAATCAATTTCATCAATCAATTTTAAATGACATAATAATGATTTTCTAATATCCACATTCTATTATAAATAAATTAAATACAGTTTCTATTGGATTATTGCTAATATTCAAAATTTCTATCATTTATGGTACTTGTTCAAATATTATTGAATTAATCTAGTTTTCAGATATATCAAGAAAGGCTAGTTTCTTACTATTTTTTAATCCTTTCAAAATTGAAATTTAATTATTTTTCAAACTCAAATATTCTAAATTAATTAATGTATCTAAATTCTCTATCTCACTTATTTTATTCTACATTTAAATTTATTATTTACATGTTAGAGAAAGAGAATTTATAACTTATCAAACAATTCTAGATTCTCTATCTTTCCTATTAAGTTTATAAACATAATGATTACTTATGTTCAAAAATTCTAAGTGTATAGTCTTGAGAGACATTAATTCATTAGTTCTAAATACTTATGAGTATTGGTCCTTACTTTTAATCCTCTGTCATAATATCAATAAAATTTTGATCAATGCTAGTTTTTAGAATGAGAGCTAAATCAATTTGAAACTCTTTATCTTTGTTTATCAATAATTCTGTTTCTTTTATGTCTATTTATTCATTTTCACTATCATTTTATTCTTACATGATTATTTTGAATATATAATATAAATATTACAATATTAATAATAATATAAATATTAAATTAATAATATAATAATATTATATTAAGAAATAATGAATTTTGAATTAAAAATAAATTTTGTAATTCATAAATGGCTCAATAAATCATAGTTTGTCATATAGATTCAAACTTATTATGCATAATATAAATTGATGATGTGATAATATTAAATAGTTGTTTTAAAAATTAAACAATTTTAGAGTAATATCATATTATTAATTATTATGTAATATTTAAATTTGTTCATACAACCAATATCAAGCGCAGTAGTATTTCCATACTCTAGTTTGTAACTCCATAATGTGGATTGCTATAATCAATCAGTACATTCTCAATATATCGGATTGGTTTCATAAATCGATGACAACCAGTCTGATGTTCAAACTATATAACAATATAGTTAATATGGCACACTTGTGCATATAGCAAAAGAGCAAGATGATACTTCACACTCTTACAAAGCTTTTGCATTTGCTAGATTTCGAATTAATTCGTTTTGCCAACTTACTCCATTTTTAGTAGCAAATGTCGAAATATTGAATGATGATATCCAAAATTACGATACAGAAATTCTTGGTGTATTTAAAGATGCTATAAAAGTAGAATACTATAATATTTTAGATCTATATGGAAAACTTTTCACTTCTACCAAATGCTCTTTTAAAATAGAAAATAGATGAAGAAGACAACATAGTGAAATTATATTATTAAGTTTCAAACAAAATCTAAATTCCATTCAACCAAAAAATTAGATTATTATAAATGAATGATAATAATGAAAGAATATCAACATTGATATAATATTTGAATCATAAAATGATATAATACACTACAAATAATGAATTAGAACAAAAACTTAAGCAGGAACTAATTTCTGAAATGTAAAACAATGGAGATAATTTGATTAATTAAACTCAATAAATTGTTCCATAAATCCAAGAATTAGAACTGGATTATTAAAAATAATATGTTGAATCTTTACCATGGGGAATCTTGCATCCAGAAACTGTGAGCATATCTCAATGTAAAGAGAAATTAGATAAGAAACATTATGGTTTGGACATGGCTAAATAGCGTATTCTATAATATTTGGCAATTAAATATTTAACAAAATCTACTGGATCCATAATTTGTTTACATGGTCATCCAGGAGTGGGTAAGACATCATTAGCTTAAAGTATAGCTGAATCTCTTGGAAGACCATTTTAAAAGATATCATTAGGTGGAGTTTCAGATGAAGCTCAAATAAGAGGTCATAGAAAGACTTATGTTGGAGCATAGGCAGGTATGATTATGGAAGCAATAAAGAAAGCAAAATGTATTAATCCAGTCATCTTACTTGATGAAATAGATAAGATTAATCAATATACAGTTGGATCAGCATTATTAGAAGTTTTAGATCCAGAATAAAATAAATCATTTATGGATAATTATGTAAATGAAGAATTCAATTTGAGTTAAGTTTTATTCATTTCAACAGCCAATTATATTGAATCTATATAACCAGCATTAAGAGACAGATTGGAAATGATAGAAATTCCATCCTATACTATTGATGAAAAGGAGAAGATTGCAATTTAACATTTAATTCCAAAATAAATGGAACTTAATGGAATAGATAAGAAGGTAGATTTTAGTAAAGATGTTGTCAGATATCTAATTACAAATTATACAAATGAAAGTGGAGTTAGATAATTAGAAAGATAAATCAATTCTATTTTTAGAACAATTGCACTTTAATAAGTAAGAGGAAAGAAGAAGGGATCATATAATATTAATAAGGGATTCATCAATTAATGTTTGGGGGAATCCACAATAGGTTACAAGAATATCAGATTATAGAGTATTGGAATGTGTAAAGGGTTGAATGATGGAATGAATATTTTAGAAGTCATTAAAACAAAGGGATAAGGCAATTTATTCTAGTAATCTAAAGATTAATATATTGTTGAATAAGGAATAACTGCCTTATCTTATTTAAGGAATTGTTTTAAATACATTTAATTTTAGAATTGGGACATTAATGTTGCAAATTAAAATTGTTTGGGTGTTTGTGTTGTTGTTGCAATGGTGTCACTATTTATGAATAAGAAAGTGAAATCAAATGTTACCTTTGCAGGAGAATTAAGTTTAAAAGGATCTATTTTAAGATAAGACAATTTAAGAGAAAGTATTATTTAGGCAGCTGAATCTGGAATTGATATGTAAGATTATGATTTAATTTAAAAGTATCATTATTCCATCCTAGAATGTGGGTGACATTTAGAACTTAGAACCTTCAATAAAAAAGAGAATAAGATTAGTTGATCATATTGAGGAAGTTTTTTAGATAGCATTTGAAGATGGATTTACTTACTACCACTACCCTAATTTATGATATATATATATATTATAAAATTTACATTAAATATATATATATATTTTATATATCACTTGTAAATTTCACCTTAATAGATTGCTGTCTCTAGATTTTATCTCATTTTGCAACATTTTTAAGAAGCATTTTGAATTCTCTCTTTTTTCTCTATAAAATCTTTTTTTTATTCATGAATTGGTTTTTCTGATTATGTATGTTCTAATTTTTCAATTTCATCAAATAGTTTTATCAATGAGATAGCCAAGGTCTCACAGGCATGTTCAAAGAGTTCTTAATAATGATCAAATAATTTTGCTGACTATTAATTTGTTTTAGATATATAGTAACCAATACAATAAGACCTAATAATTAAATATTTATATATATACCATTTTAATACAACTCTAGATTGAATTAATTCTTTCATTGCTTCCTCTAAGAATTGACTATCCTAATATGTAAATTAGTAATGCTTAAATATCGAAGTGATATATTATTCCTTAATTTGTTTCAATCTCTACATAGCCTTTTCTTTGGCAGCTTAAGAGTTTAAGAATCTTTCATAATAGAAATTATATCTTTGTAAAACTTCTTTCTCTTTCTCAATATTGGCAGTAGGAGCCACATATTTATTGCATTTAAAATGATCTTTATGATCAGGTTCCCATGGTTAAGAACAAACATAACAAAAAGCTTTTCCACATCCTCCTGGAGGTTTACACATCATATAATTACAACCTTCTGATCTCTCAACTGGTTTTTTACAAAAAGGACATGATTTTGTATTAACAACAATCCATCTTACATTAGCCTCATCCTTTTTAATTTCAGCTAACCATTTCTTAACCAAATCACAAGGACATGGAGGATGAAGATCTTCTTTACAATAGAAACAAAACTTATTCTAACATACACATGTCACTTCTTTCACTGAAGTGTATTAAGGCTTCAAAATCTTATTACAATCCACTCCTGTACAATAAGCTAGATATCTTGAACAATCAACAAATCTTCTGCATAGTAAATTCTCAAATTCTTAGGCATTGGAATATTTTTTTAGCATTGAGAAAGGCAATCTGTAAGTGCATCCATCTTATAAGCATCTTGCTACTAGGAATTTATCCTAATACACTCTCTACTTTATGGTCTGTTCAATACAAGATTAACAAAATTTATGACTGCATCCTAATTGAATTAAGTTTCCTTCAAACCAACAAACTTAACAACATCCTGTTATTCCATTATAAATGATTTTTTCGTGATTATTAAAAATTCCTTTTGCTTTTAATTCAGCCAATAATGCCTCTTAATTAATGAAATAATTCTATGTGACATCTTCTCTATTCCAATTATAGTGCATAAGTAGCTTTATTACCAAGAATTATTACTTCAAAAGTATTGTCTTCATTAAAATATAATTCCTCTGAGAGCTCTTAAACATCTTTTGTGATCACTTAAATAACATCCCTAATTTCTAGGATCTCTACACTATTAATTCTATTCAATAAGTATATACCCTTATAAAGAATATTATTTTTCCACCTCTATAGAATCATCACCGCTGTCAAATTCATTTTGGTAATCTAATTACATTTTTTTATTTGTTATTATTAATAAATTGCAATTAATCATTAATAGGATTATATAAAGTGGATTAAGACTTATATAAACGATGCCTTTAACAAAATACAAGAAAAGATGAATGAGATTCTAAGCTACATTCACAATTATAAAACCAAAATTAAAAACTACATTTTTGACTTTTTAAGAATCAACTTCAATAATATTTTCGATTTTTTAATAGAATTCCCTATGAATCCCCAATATTAATAAATATTTAATTTTAATATGTTTACAATATTTAATTATACCTATATACACAACCCAATATAAACTAATAAGATAAAAAAAAAAGTATTTAAATTGATATTAAATAGTGAGATCAAATAATTAAATTTTATGATTTTCTATATTCTCAATATGAGAATTCATCATTCATGATTATCAATTCAATACAGTCTTTTTAATTTCAGCTTCTTCTACTTCAGATGGTTCATTTGCTTATATTTCTTTAGAAAGTCCATTCAACTTCTTCTTTAATGCTTCCTTTCCTGCAGCATAAGCCATCTTCTATTTTACTGGTTAATTAGTATCTGGTGACCAGAATATAAAAACCAATTTTTCAACTTGTCTTGGTGGAACGTCATCTGTTTAAGCATGATAATCATAAACAGCATATCGGGACTTTTTAGATTAAATAATAAATTTACTTCATTTTGAAGATGACTAACAAATTCAGCGTAAGTACTATCTCTTGCTCCCTTGTGATCAACAACAATCTTAAGAATATACAATGATATTTACTTCATTTTAATCTTTATCTAACTTATAAATAACATATCTATATTGTTTGCCTAATTTCAGATTATTGAATTCTGTAACACAATCATCACTAACATGGGTACCTACGTTCATAATTATATCTTAAAATTATATTTAAATTTTTGTTAATTAAATCACATTATTCATTTTTTTAAAGGTACTTTCTTAACATTAGGTGATTTAGATCTCATTTAGGTTTAAGGTCTTTGACTCTTCAATAATTAAGGTTTCTTATTAACAATTTATTTATTATTATTAGAATTATTATTATTTAATGTTGTAGTTGTAGTATTTTACATAGTTTTTGCTTTTTTATTAGAAATATCTTTTAATTTAGATGATGGTCTTTAACTACTTCTAGTTGGTGAAACAAAATCAATTTATTCTTTTTATCTTGATGAATCCAAGAAATCAGATCCAGGATTGAATGGAACATGAACTTATTCATGGAGAAAAGCATACTCTGTTGGTTATATAGATTGATGTTTAGAAACTGAAGATTATTAGGATTTCTATGAATATCTATGATTTGGAGATTGTGAAATAGTCAAATATTAAAGAGAATTAGCTTATTATGGAATTTATGTAGAATAAAATGCTTATTATTAACTACTTTGACTTGATTGGAATGATTATAAATTAGTTGGTATTTATGGTTTTTATTGAACTTGTATTTATTGTGATGGTGTTTAATTTATAGATGGTGTTTAATTCATACTTCTATTATTTGAATGTATTTTGACATTTGGTTATGAATTTTTTTATGATAAAAATGGATGAATTTTCTTCATTGATTGAGGTTCTTCATTTTCTTAATTTGATTTTAATTATTATTTTTACAATTAATTTTCTTATTAAAAAAACATAGGATGTTATTACATAGATGTTAATGTTGGATTAGAATCTTTGAAATTACATGATTAGAGTGTAAATTATTATGATTATTAACATAATAATGGATGCTATTAATTTGATTACATAATAATAAATGATTATGCCTATGATTGTTGTTCTCTTACTAATACTCTTGATTGAATTTCAATTGCATGTTCATTCAAAATATCATTAGGATTATTTGGAATTATGACTTTATTATTGTTGTTCATTGATTATTACATCAATTCTACAATACTTTCCTCATATATCTATAAATAATTTGGTCTATCCTCTGATTTCATTGATAACATTCTACTTACTAATTTATTATTAGCTCTAGATAACATGTCATTAAGAATTTCTAATTATATTTAAAGTATTAAATACCTTAATTTATTTTATATTCTTAAAAATCATAAATTTTTTAAATTTGTTCTTATAAAATAAGTTCTAAACATACCAATCCAATTGTGAAAACTTCACTTTTCTCGTTATTATATTCTGGTTTGAATACTTTCCTTCCCAACTGATAGAATAACTCAGGTGAAAGGTAACAGTATTCTTCAAAACCACTTAAAAATCTATTATATTAATCAACATTAGGTAAAAGCAATTTCACTTGATTTGTATAAAGAAAAGATTGAGGTCTCAAATCTCCATGATATTTATCACGATTCTGCAATTCAATTAATGTATGAATGATTTATTGTAAAAACTAAAACCAAGGCAAATTAGATGGTAGTTAACTTCCAAATTCAAAGATAGCATCAATTTTAAATAAATTACTACACAATGTTGACTCTTCTTCTTTTTGAATATCTAATAAGCGAATCAAACCTGGCATCTAACTAATTTATTAATATTATTCTAATCTCTTCAACTCTTTTTGATAATGCATTTCACTTTAATAAACTTTATGCACTACAGCAACTTCTTCCATTTAATTAGTATAGACTTCAATTTCACATCCGAAACTAAATGTTCAATTAAATATAATTACATTCTGCTTTCTCTGGAATCAACCTTTTACCAATTTTTCAAAAAGTGTTATTTGGACTGTTAAACTTAACCCATAAATTTAATTAACGATATTTAGTATAAAATTTAATAATAAATATCATCACATTAAAATCATAAATTCCCATTATTCTCTCATAGTTCATCTACAATAATAACATAATATCATTAATTTAACAGTTTATAATTATATTCTTACAATATGTTAGATTCATATCTATTCTGTTTTGAAATTTACTATATATTTATATATCTTCAGATTCTAGTAACAAATTAAAAGTAATTTCCAAAGATTTGATTGATTTACTATGTCATTTTAGGTTAATTTTATTTTTTATATATTTAACATAAATACAAAAAAAAAACTATTTCTAAAAGGATTATATTAATCTATTAATCCATTTTATACATGAAGCAAAAACAAAAATAAATTAATAATAATTATTATATGAATTTTTAACACTATCCACATAAATTCTAATTTAAATAGTATTTTTTATTTAATTAATTCCATATGAGTTCTAAGTTGAATAGCATTTGAATAAGATCAAAAAAAGCAATTTTATTATTACATTGTTACAAATATTAAGGAATTAGAATAAAAATACACTTACATTCTATTTATAAATATATTGTAATTTTTTATGATTGAATTAAATAAGACTGAATCTCTTAGTGTTCATTTCTCTATATCAATAATTTGATCTCTTTTTAAATAGAATCTCTCTCATATACCCAAATTCTAAAAATAGTGAAACTTAATAATATAAATCTATAATATAATTTGGAAATCATTTATTAAATGACGGAATAATGGATGAAAAAGATTAGACAATATTAAAAGTTAATAATCTAATGAAAATTTTATGATTTTGTTATACACTTTTATGATAACCTCAAAGTTTGGCATCTTTTGGTAAAAGATCTGGGGTGAATTTGGTGGCAGCAGCCATATTTCCCTTGATCTTCATCTTTCCTTACATGAAGGCTTATTGAGGATTCAATTTTCCTTGAGCCATAGCCATCATGTCATCATCTACCATTGTGAATGTGGCATCAGCTGTTCCAACACGTCCCTTGGCTATTGACTAAAGTAAATATATATATATTATGCATACTCCTGAACCATTCTTGAGATCAACAGTCCAAACTTCTGGGGTTTCTCCTTTGGCCTTTGAAACTTCAAAGAAATAGATGGCATTGATTTTCTTAACCAATTCAGCACCTTAGGATTTGATGAATGGATCCATCTTTTCAAACAAAGCAGCAGATTTCAAAGCCATTAAAATTATTTAATTATTTATTTAATATACATTTTTCTAATTTTCTTAACATTATATAAACATATCATAAATCATCTTCGTCATCATCTTAACACATATTCATTAATTAATTCATAAGGTTAGCTGCTTTTTCCCTTCTCTCCTCATCTGTCATTTTGGAAGTTCTATATAAAATAGAATCAAATACCTAATTTTGGTCATATCATGCATTAATTGTGCAAATTGATCATCTTCATATTCTAATTAATCAAGACCTTGTGTTTATTTTTCAATCACTTTAGTTTTATTAATGTTTTCTTTCTTTTCTTAAACTTTAGGTCTCATGTATGTCCAAGTATTACATTCCATAATTTCAATAATTCTAGGAAATCCAAGTGTTTCATCTTCTTAATCAGATAATTATTTAATTTATTATTTAATTGGTGAATTATCTAAATCTAAATAAATTTATTCAACAAAGCTTTCTAATTTTTTTTCCTCATTTTCCAAAAGTTCTAAATTTATTTTTGTTCCTTCTTTCCTGTTATAAATAATAGCTTATAGACCAGGTTAGATTTCATTTAAAATTTGATCACATAAATTAATAAATTAATCTAATCCATTCATATTATTAGCATCAACAATAAATAAAACACCATCTACTTTAATTTTTTATAATTATTCCAAAGCATTTTCTTAATTAAAATAATTGTAATTTATTGTATGCAAATCTACATCACATGTATAATATTTGGTATTAATTAAACTATTAAATCGATGGCAATTATTACAGTTAAGTCCCAATCTTTTGATGTTCTTCATCAATCTTATCAAATATTAATTCATCATTATTAAAATGTTTGATTAAATCTAAGATATTATAATAAGATAATACATTAAATTAATTTCATTGAATAAGAATGTTCTGGAGCTATTATGATTAGATTGGAATTAGTTTAATCCATTCTTTTTATATATTATATATATATATATATAAATTATTATAAATATTGAGACTATTTGTATGATTATTAAAATATAGATATATAACATAGAATTCAAACAAGCATTTTAACAACTTATTATGGTTATAATTCGATCATTTCCCAAATATGACCGAACTCATCGGAACTTGGATTTGAATGTGGAGTTAAAGCAAATTAGTAATCCATTGACATGATTCTCTCATCATCTCCATCAACGATTTTAGATCTATCAGTCTATTTTTAATATTTCAACAATATCATACCTTACTAACATAACAAAAGATCTCTTAAGTTTTAATAGTAAAAACAAAAACTGGTAATTTAACAGAATCAGGTATACTAGCTCTTGTGAATCTAATTTCATCTACATTCCATAATTATTTATGTTTAGGTTCAGATTTCTAATTTAAAAAAGATAATAATACTTCAGCTTCTTATTTTTTTAATAACACTTTAAAATATCCTAAAGCAGCTTCACCACATACTTTTTATAGAGATTCCAAATCTCCTAATAAATAAAGATTGTATATTTATTCAAAGATCACTTTTGCTTCCTTTTCTAATTCATATAAATCAAAATCTGGATCAATCATTCTCATTTATCTAATGGCTCTTGCAACATCACTTTCATTTGTAACAGTTTTCTAATTTATTTAATTAATTTAATTACTGCTGCATACAAAGAAACTTAAACAAAATTGCTAGGATGATTTTAGATTTTATCAGATAAATCAGCTTTGAATTATTTCATTTCTGCTTTGAATGTTACATATTCCTTAAATGCTTCACTATTTACTATATGTTATCCTTATTCACTTTATTTGAGTCTACTTTAAATCTTTTAAGCTATTTTAGATTTAAGAGATGCTTCTTCACTTGTACCTTAATCAGTAGCTTAGACTGCATTTCTTTTCCATTCTGGAATTTTTTCTTAAATCTAAATAAATTTTAATTCATACAGCTGCCAATTCTTCTTCAGTCATTTAAGCAAATTTTTCTTCTTCTTTCTTTCTCTCTGCTAACTTTGCCTTAACTGTTTCCATTCTTGCCTTTACTTCATCATCATGACTAGGAAATGTTTTTCTCCATGCTAATTTTGCCATGTTTAAACATGTTTTTCCAATACTTGTCTCCTTATTTTGATTAGCATCTGTTTTAAATTTCACTGCTGATCCTTTTACTTTCTCTGTCAATTTTGTAGCTGAACCAATAGCTGAATCTTTGACAGTATGTAAAATATCTATAACTAATGAGGGTTATTTTTCAATTTCTTCTGTTTTTTTATTTTCACTACAAAATTTATATATAACTCTTCTTTAGTTATAAATGTTCAATCTTTATAGTCTTTATGCTTATCTAAATGGAATAAACAAGTTGACAAGGGATATCATTAAATATAAAAAATTTAATTTAGGTTAATAAATCACTTAATTTTGGATATCTATAAATTTTTATTATTAAATTAACATATATATATACAAATACTTTTCAATGTAAAAAAAATAAAAACTCAAAATTTAATTTCATTTTCCAGTTTGCACACTCAGTTTTATATTGATAAATTGTATAAATAAATTTCTGGTTTTCAATTAGAAAAAATATGGCAATCAATAAAACTTACATTACCTTATAATAATAACTAATATATGATTTTTTAAGTATCAGATTATTATTAGATTAGACATTTAATATTAAATCATTGTTTTAAAGCAAATATTGATTTTAAAAAAAAGTATTATATTTTTTTTTTGAATAATTCTCTTATACAGTAATAACCATGAAGAAAACAAATATAAGTTATAATCAAAATATTTAATTGATCTTATTTTTCTTTATTATCGCAATCTGAAAGGTATTGTCGATAAATTCTAGAAGCTGATCTGATTATGAAATATTATATTTTTTCCCAACCTTATTACATAAATCAGACTGTTATTGATATAGGGATTCCTCTTTCAATTCTTGAATTATATATTCGATTAATTTTTATTCATCTTCAAAGCTTTATTTTTATAAGTTTATTTATTTCTAATTTTGCGTTTAGTTCTTATCAAATTTTGATGATTCTCTTTTTATTATTGTATGAAATCTATTCTTTAAACAATTCTCTGTTCTTTGATTATTAAAATCTCTCCTTGAAATTAATGACCACTTCTTTCCATGATTTAGAATAGCAACCAATAACTTAATTTCCTCTTCTTTGTACCATGGACCTCTAACAAACGTATAAAGCATAATTATACTTCTCTACTTAGGGATTCAATTTATTTATCCATCTCTCTCTGCATTATTTACCCAATCTCACATGAGATGATTTGCAAATCTTGCTCATTTCCATGGCTATTAAACTCCATTTATTATATCTATTCTATTCTGCATAATTTTCATAAAGCTAACTCAATACTGCATCCTCTTCTCTAGACCAAGGATGATCTACTATAGAAGTTGCTTAACTCTCCATCCATTTACTTCTGCAAACTTTCCAATGTCTATTAAATAAAATTGATCCTATCTAATCCCAATCAAAAACATCCTAAACTTTACAATTTTATTTACCATTAAAAGAGGTTAAAGTTTGTGGACATCACAATACAATTTAACAATAATATTAAGTAAGTCTATTTCAGATTAATCCATTTTTTTCCATTTTCCAACATTATTCAAATTAAACTCATTGTGTGCCTTTTCGATTTCCTTATAGGAATTGAAGATATCAGGCCATTCAGGTATAACAGTGTAGGATTATTAAAATATGATATTTTATTGATCTTTTTATTGTAGACTTTGATCAAAAAGTTTCTTTAGTTTTTCTAGCCTTGTAACAAACTTGCAATTTGCTTAAATAGAATCAGTTGTAGAGACTAAACCTTCCATATTTATATTGTTATTTGTTTCATATCAATATAGTTTAAATATCATCCTAAGAAAACGTAATGTAAGTTAAATTGTCTAAAATGTTATTTATATACAAACAAATAATAATTTATTTAATATTATAAATTGAAGTTTATTAACTCAAGCTCAATGTAATGATAGTAACAAAAATAATATGTAATTGTAATTAATATAATTTTGTATATCTAATCAATAAGGACTTAATTTGATTCGCTACAATTAGAAAACAGAAGTAATTAACATAGTTGGAATAACCTAATATGCTATATCTATTTCAATTAGATATATTAAAAAAAAGGTTGTTATAGCATCTATAAAAATGACTTATATAACAATTCATTAGATAATTAAAATTTTTCATTATGTGATCCTTTCACATATATTTAATTTTTGGTTAGCTTTCCTAATTTTCAATTTAAAAAATCACATATTACAATAAGAATTGTTTCTTATTCATACAATAAAAAAGTACTAATGGTATATAAATATTAATTATGAAAACCTATAAACATATTATTTTTCATAATCTAACTTATTTAATTATAAATTCCAATATATTAATAAATAAAAGAAAATAATTATATACATCTTTTCTATATAAATCTAAAAGTTTAAAGAAAATTTGAAATAAAAAGAGAGTTTAAATAATCCTGATCTCTAATACTTAAAAATCTTTATATTAAATAGTTTATAATTGGTTTTAAGTAAAATATTGGAAATTATTGTTAAATAAATCAATTTTTGAATTTATATTTTATTTTTTGATAATTATTAAACAATCTATAGAATTAGACAGATATGATTTTCTATTTATGATTGTGCATCTTTAATACTTTCTTTGAAGGTAAAAATATTAAAATCTAAATTATTTAATAGACTGATTAGTTTTAAACTTTTATTCCAAATGGATTTGAAAATACTTATGATTTTATATTAAATCAAAAGAGAGAAGGGGGATGAGATAAAGTTAATGATAATTTTAAATATTAAATAAATATAATTAAGATTTAATGGTGACAAAAGATTTAAATGAGAATGAATTAATTGATTATTAATATTTTAATGTCTTAAATAAAGTTTTGTTTACGTCTTTAAGTATAATTTGGACTTGGTGTGTACTTAGCATGTTCTTAAAATAATTGGAATATAGATTAAAGTTATAGGATGACATGTATTTAAGTAAAGATGTGTTTAAATAAATAGAGTAATTTATGGGAACTTGTAATCTAAATAACAGATGAAGAATTAGATTATAAATATGTGATTGCAGATTATGATAATCCTTTATAACATACTTAAATTTGGGAAAGAGGCAACAACAGAAATTTAATTAAATCAAAATCAAATAAATCACAAACAATAAGTATACTATAATATTTATTAATATTATAGAAGATATTTGGGAGAAAAGAAAGATTTCTTTGAAATTAATGGCTTTAAATAAAAATTCTTTGGCCATTGTAATTGGAAGCTTTCCTGCTTTGTCAAGTCCTGTTCAGATGAAATTATTAGATAAGAAATCTGTGATGTATTTTACTACAAGATTTTATATTGACATCATTTATTCTAATTAAGTGATTCAATTTCAATACTATTTGTTAATAAAAGATCCTAGTAATAGTTTCTTTTTGAATTTTAGCTCCTATAGAATTCATTAGTACTCCAATAACTCTTGGCATTTCGGATAGAAATTAAGAAAAATGTCAAGCAATCTCCTTTTATAGAATTGCTATATGTTGATTATAATATTTATTTATAGATTTTATTTGATAATTTTTTTCTATTTTATATATATATATATATATCATATACAATATCAATAATTTAATTGATATAGACAATGAAAATGATGAAGATTTTAGATTATTATTGTATTGACAATAAGTAGTTTTTTAGATTGCTCTAATTATAAAAGAGTAAATTTAGATACATATTATAAGATTTTATTCCTACAAATTCTAATTAATAATTAGATAAAGCATAAATTAAAAATTTAGCAATAACATTAGTAATACAATGAAATCATCTTAAATCTTTTTTACTATAACTAAACAAGTTAATTATGGAGAGGCTGTTTATATTGTCTTTAATTTCACAAATTGGAATTTATAACATGCTATTAGGATGGAATGTAAAAAGGTATTGTTAAATTTGATTATTATTAGATTGATCAATGGAGTAAAGAAATTGAGATTACTTGTTTTTAATTTGAATATAAATATGTTATTGGATAGTATGATAACATATTGGAAGGGGAAATTGTATGGGAGAATGGGCCAAATAGATCTTCAGAAAACTTGAAATTATTAGAAATGAATTAGAGTAAATTATAATTTGAAGATGTATGGGAGAAAAGAAATTTGATGTTCTTCTTAATTGATAAAAAGTAAAATAAAAGGAGTAAAAAGAATGAGGAACATTAAATTTTAATATTTGGATAAGTGAAGGCTTTGAATTCACCAGTTAAATTTTCTAATTGTTAATTAAACTAAAAAACTTAATTATACTATGTAAATTTACAATTTGAACCAGAGGAGATTACCAACCCAATTGAGATCCAAATCTATATGCAAGTTCAATTAAATAAAAGTATATTAAATTATAAATTTAAGGTTATATAGAAATAATCTCGAAAAATGTTAAAATTAATTTTAGAAATTAACCTATAAATATATGTGAAGAAATATTACCAGATTCTAAATGTTACCATCTCAAATGATATAAATCTATATTTTCTATATAAATTTTATTTACTTCTATTTATGTTGTCATTATTACCATGATTATTTATAAATAACAGTTCAATTAATTTTATATATATATTAATAATTTCCTAAGAAATCAATTATGAAGAATAGAAATTTCATTTTCATCAATACTCTTTTAAACTTAGCAATGTAAGATAATATTTAATATTATTATTATTCTTTTTTATATATGAATAATTCAAAATGTATAATAAGAATTTTATTGTTTCTACTGATGAAATTTATTGTTACTCTTATCTTATACAGATACAATCTGAAATTCAAATCATATTCTCTTTCTTAATGAAACTCTTATATTTATATTATTTAAATAAATTATTATATTATATATATCTAATAATTAAATCATTAATTTATTATTATTAGGTTTATATAAATTAATATATTAAAATTTTCATATTTTCAAATCATTCTCATAATTTAAGCAATTTCTTTTGATAAGATTTATAAGGAAGGTGTAACAACACTAATTATGGCTGCAATCATAGCAATTATTATTATGATTATTAACATTTACCAAGGGAACACAAAAATTAATGGTAATTATGTAAATAAGGTTTATTACAATGCCATAGATTATCCTATAACAAATCCAACCATTAATCCAATGAAACTAGAACTGAAAACTAATGTGAATGCCTCCATAATATAAACTATAGTAATAGACATCTTTGTATTTCCTATTGCTCTAAGAACTGAAATTTCCTTAACCTATTCTAACATATTTGCAGACATTGATGTCACAAGACTGAAGAATGACAATACCATAACAACACCTGTTAAGAAACTGAATATAATTTGAATTAAATTCTGACTTTACTTTATAGATGTTTCATAATCTCTATAATCCCAAATCCTAGCAGAAATTCCTTTGGCATCTATATACTTTTTGAAATAACCATACACAGTGTCAATATTACCTGAACTGGATACAGATATTAATAATCTTTTCATTGGATAATTTTCAACTGCATCTATCAAATTTCCACAAAGTCTTCTAAATGTTGGTAAGGAAACAACAACATTTTATTCTTAAACACTTGGCAAACTACTAAATTTAAGTGCAGGTGCTGAAGTAATAATTGAAGATGCTCTCATTTAATGATATTGACTAAATGTATTATTATACACAATTAGAAGAAATGTACTATCAATATCTATTTTAATATTAAGTTAATCAGCATAACTTGTGCCAATCATAGCACTTTGACTTCCTCTACTTGTATATAATTATTCAACTGGATTCAATTTACTATTAATTTGATCCTCAACTTTTAGAAATTAGTTATATCCCATATCAAATAGAGTATGTGAGACACCAACAATCTTAGGTCTGAGTTGATAAACTTATCCTAAATGAGTCATATATGCAGTTGAAAATCCTAGTTTTTGCATATAACTATCCAAAGAATCAGTAACCCATGCAAAACTAGTTATATTCGATCCTAATTATGATATAATATTTTCGAATTCAAATGGCGAAAGATATCCATTAGATCCAGTGATTTCAAGTTTACAACCATGCTATTAAAGAGTCAAGGTGGCTTAATTTTCAATCTGAACACTCATCCCAACAAAGATGAAAATTACAAAGGCAATTGACAAAGCATACATTAAAGCTGTTCTTCTATTTTTTATCTAATTAATAGATAAATAAGTATACTCTATGTGCAGCAAGATTCTTCAATACCATCGTTTTTTTTGCTGAACTAGCCCAAAATAAGAATATATAGACAGTAAAACGTTCAGCAAGGTATTATATATTGAATGCAAATATTACCAATCCTAATAACATACCACATAAAATGAAAAAGAATATAGACAACAGCAATCCAATATTAAATGACAATAAAGCTAAAGGTAAAAAGTAATAAACACAAATCCCAAACAATGAAGCAATTACAGCAAATTAGATTCTACCCCAAGGTAATGATTTACCTTCAAGATCTACTTCTATTTTCACTGCAGTTGATTTTGATCTGTTAATATCCAATGCAAAACTCAATTACTTACTTAATGCTTCTTTTATGGGAACATAAGAACTTAGTAAAGGAATTAACAATCCCAATCCTAGTGACATAAATACTGCATTGGTTGTTGGAGTTGCTTCTATCTCAACTCCAATTGAAGCTTTAAGTGCACTACTAGCATATAATAAGAATGGTATTGAAAGTATAATACCAGCAACAATAGCAGGAAGGACATAACTTAAAGCTTGAGTCAATACTATAAACACAACTCCCAATTTATTAAAACCTAATACTCTCAACACTCCCAAATCATAAGTCTTTGTCTCTACTGAAATTAATAACAATGTATATAAGAGTAATACACTTAATAAAAACAATATCACAATGATCATATTTAATATAATACCCAAAAACAATTAACCAAATCTACTATCATATAATTATTATAAGACAGGCAAATCCATATTGCATGGATAAACTCCCAAATCTCTTCTTATATTACTAGCATATTTAGTTATCTTCCCTTATATATTCTCATAATTGCTATCCATATATATATTAAATCTATCAGGTATATTGATTCTGATTTCATCTACAAAATCTTCAGGATTAGCAGTATACATAGCCTTTAAAAATGGTTTATCCCATGACCAATATGCAAGATTATTAAAGAAATGTTTATGTTCTACAATTATTAATTTATCAGCATCTCCATCTGGAAATTTACCATATGTTGAATCCAACAAACCTTTAACTTAATATAAGTAAAATCTTTAAGTAGCCTTTTTCAATTCCCCAAATTCCAAATTTAAAAATGTATCATTGTAATTAGTTAAATTGAATTATCTACCTTATTATTCAAAGTAATTCTCAATATAATATGAGCCATAAAAATCATAGAATTCTCCATAAATCAACATATAATCTCCTACCTTCAAACGATATGTTTCTGCTAATTTTCTACTCATTATTACTTCTGTTTCTTTTAATTCATTAAAAGGATATTCCCAACCCAATCCAATCTCCTTCTCTTTCTTAGAATCTATAGCCACAAATTTAGCTGTTGGATGTGGTTATGATCCTCCGCATTTCTAACCCAATTATTGTCCATCTCTTAAATCATTAAAATGAGCTTCACTTCCAAATTCCTATCTTTTGGATAACAATTATTAGGCTTTATTTACTGACTAATGATAAAATTATCAATATGTACATTCTCACAATCTCCTGTTTTTTATAAATATGTGAAATTGACTTATTATTCAATTCTAGGACTTGCTTAATTTGCCCTCTCTGGTCCCAATACTTCTTTAACTCTAGTAAAGTTTAGAAAGTCAACAATAAGATATCCTTATTGTCTAGCAGTGTTACTATATATAGACATTAAATATTGAGGAGACTTTTCATGTTCTTCACTTAAATAGTTCGGATTTGCAGTCAACCTAATCTTAAATTTCTGATTACACTATGTCTGATTATCCAGCTGGACCTTCAGCTGATTTTAGAAATATAAGAGGTGCTCTATCAATTATAGATTAACTCACTGCACTTGCAGCAACCACAATCAATACACTAAAAAACGATACACAATATCCACAAGGTCTTCTTTTCAATTCATACCATGATTATCCTATCATGAATAATAAAGATGAACAAATAGACATTGAAGTACCTTAAGGAACCATAGAGTCTTTTCTCTAAATAGTTTAAGGTTGCATTTATGATAAAATATTAATAATAGTAAATTTAATGAATAGAATACTAATCTAATTATCAAAATCAGTCATTATATTACTCGGCTCTAAATAATTAGTTTATTCCCTATATTCTCCATTAAGTTTAAAATACTGTTGCTTCATTCGAATAGTTAATACTAAAAGACCATATACTTGATGTACGTCTAACTATAACTTCATACCATCCATCTCTTACATGCAGAAACTTAAATTGCATAAGAGTATCAATAGGTAAAGAAAACTGATTTAGAAATTAATTATCAGCCAAACTTTTTTAATCTATACCTATATATAAATCAGTAGAAAATATTTGTATAGTATAGTAGCCATGTTCTATATGTTTAAATTTAAATAAGCAATCATTATTCTAATTTGTAAATTCATCTAAGAGTTTAATCAATACTTACTTAGACGTAAAAAAGAGTAAAAACATAGAGTTCCCTTTTTATTTTTTATGTAATAGAGTTTCGACTCATCGAAGCTGAAAACTTTGCTGGGTTAATCTAGAGGTCTACAAATATTGCTTTATTTAGATAATGCATCTCCAAAAGATATCGGAATATGAATAAAAAGGAGATATAATAAAATAGAGGAGATTTAGACAAACATTCTATTTAATTATAGTATTTCTATAATTTATATTTAATGAGCACATTAGCAGCTGCAAGAGCAGACAATTTTTACTTTGGACCAAATTACGATCCCAATGGAGTAATATATCAATTCTAAAATAGGGAAGTCTGAAATATTAGAGAAGAATGAAACTTTAAGGAAAGAGAAAACCATCAAGATTAGATTAATATAAGATAAAAAGTGGACCTAAGATAAGATTTGAAACTCCATTTCATGTTAAATGCTTAAAATGTGGTCATATGATAGCCAAAGGTGTTAGATTTAATGCAGCCAAGAGAGAAGGTATATAATTATAAATTAAATTATTTTAGTTGGTAAATTTCATAGTACAACAATATTGTAATTTTCAATGCTATGTCCTTCTTGTAAAAATACAATAGTTTGCAAGACTGACCCTGAAAATTGTGATTATAATTATACTGAAGGAGCAGTAAAATGGGTAGATTATAATTATATATGAATTTAGTTAAGTACAGAAAAGGCAACAGATATGGAATTCATTCCTGATCCTGAGTAGAAAATTAAAGAGTAATCAAATGCAATGTTTAAATTGGAGGTAGAAGTTGAAAAAGTTAAAAAAAATAATTTGGCTCCAGTATTAGAAGATTTATAAAAATATCGTTTAGTATTAAATAAAATAGATATGAAAGGAAAATTGGAAGGATGATTTTGAAAAGAATTTGATGTTAAGAAAGAAATTTAGGGAAGAAAAATAAAAATATGCATAAATAGAAGAAGAAAAAAATAGAGTTAAAAATTTTGGTTTACCTTTAGAAGATTTAACAAAGTCTGAGATTGTAAATTATGAGTATATAAAAAATGTTAGAGAGATATTAAGGATGTTAAATTTCATGAATCAAATAGTAGAAAATAATAGAGAGAAAAAAGATAAGAAATTATGAATCAAAGCATATTACCTAGTGGTAGAATGAATTCGTAATAACAAAAATAATTAGAGGAATTGAATAAGAAATTAAGTCAAATGCCTGCTGCTACTAGAAAAATAATCAAATAGTAATTAATGCCAAAAAGAAACACTATTAAATTTTGAAGATTAATTAATAATTATATTTATTATATATTTATTATACACCTATGAATAAGAATCGCCATAGTTCTATGCATAAGATCTTAGGTCCTCCTTAAATAGTTATGTTTGATGGAGAAGAATCCAGATTCCAAAAAAGGATATTTAGAGGTTTCAAGTTCTGTATTATTAAGAGCATTCAACTGATAAAATTAAATTTTGTTGGGAATAGTCTCCAATTAATAAGACAAATGATTTCAACTTTCAAAAAATCAATTATGTAAATCAATAGGATATGGATATTCATGTCCGTAATAGTTATTAGCTACCATAATTACATAAGCGTAAAAATCTATTAAATAATGAATGTTTTGTAGTATCTCCATAATTAACTTTTGGTTTATTAATCATATATATATTTAGAATCTGAATAAAAATTTGGGAAATATGCTAAACGATATACTTAAGACTCAGACTTATTTTCACTTAAAATTCCTATTGATAAATAATATTCTCAACACTCATCAGCATATGGACAGTTTCATTTTTAACCAGAATATATACTCACTAAAACTAAACCTGTTCTCAAATATCATACATCAAAAAGTCAAATTCTTGGTAACTCAAGACTACAATACATTAAATTAAGGTAAGAATAGGTTTGATCCTTTAATATTATAAATATATAATTAAATACGTATTTTATTAAGTTCTTAATGTTTTTCAGATAATTAATTAAATGAAAATAAAATTTAAATCTTTGATTTCACATGATACAATTATTATCATTTAATATTGCATTTTTCTTCATTTTTATCATAAAATATCCTTTAATCAAATTACAATTTATCATAATGTCCTTTATAGATTGCATTTCCTAGATATAAAATATCTTCTTAGTGTTTGTAATTGATTTTATCCTCAAAATATTTATTCAATCATAAAAAATAAGAAAAAACTAAGTTCATTTACATTTTAACTAAAAACATAAACAAATTATTCAAAATCAAGAGCAAGGACCTGATCTTCTCCTCTTTAACAGAGTACTTTCTTTGAGAGAAAATAAAATGGGAACTTTTCTTTTTTAGTTGTATAATTTATCAAAGACAACTACATATCGTTTCAAATTGTCCTATTGATGTAGTTAAACATTAACATGTCTTTTAATCTAGTCTCTATGTTATTAATCAATTGCAGCTTATTGTGGGTTATTTAGAAGCTCATCCGTTACGAGCAAATCGACTTCACTTTATTATGAATCGTGCTCTGGTGATTTTTCTAATATCTCATTGTCGTCTAGTTTACTAATAACTGGAAGAAGAGATTATTAATTGCTAATTGTGAGGTCTTATGGTTATTGAGTTTTTTATTATGTTTTTTTAGAATGACAAACTCCCATTATGAAAGTAAGGAGACTTCTAATTAATTAAATTATTTTTCAATATATCCGATGTGGGTTGTTTATAATACTAATATAAAAAAAAGATACAGTTTCATAATCAATTTATCCCACTCTTTAAACCTCTAATTCGCTTATAGAACATTCCATAAATGGAGCTTTTCCTCTGCAATATAAGGTCATAATTAGATATAAATCTGATTATTAAACCTAAAACTAATTGAACTCAATGAAAATACTAATCTTACTCGTTTCTCTGTTTATTCTCAATTAGGCTTAAATTTTGTCTCAATAATAGAATAAAGAAAACTAACTTATCATAAGTTTAGAAAACTTAGAAAATGAGGCTGTCATAAATTTCTAAAATTAGAATGTAAATATTAGTTTTATCTTAGAGTTAATTTGTCGATCAAGTATTCTGTCAGAGAAGTAAATGTGAATGCATATTTACATAAACCAATATTTCAGAGGAATAAATTGAAATTTTGGAATGCAATGAGAACAAATTAATAATTCAAAGAAACAATTCAGAACTTATAGCTAGTTTGGGTTCATCTTCATAAAGAAGGATGTTAGAAGCATACTCAGATAGTGATATGACTGATTCAAAAACAATAGATTCAAGATTAACAATCAAATGGAAATTCAACAGTGATGGTACTATAGAATTTGCAACAATTTGGAATAAGAAGACCTGGTTAGGAATAGGATTTGGATCAAGTGTAAGATTACTCTCTAGATTTTATAGATGACTAACGTTGATATGATCACCCTTAATATATCTGGAAGCACAGTTGAATTGTTAGACTTATATTCAACATCTGCAAACACTCCTCCAACAGACTCTCAATAAGACTATATATTAATTTCGTATGAAGTAGGAACTGCTTCAGTTAAAGCAAGATTCAAGAGAAAACTCTCTACCGGAGACTCAAAAGATAAAACCCTTACAAAAGGAAGTTCATACAATTGGTGTTATGCTTATTCAAGTGCTTTAGGTATTCTTATTAATCTTATCACTTAGTAATGGAAAGACATACTGTTAATTTAGGATTTTCAATCACTCTTAGTGATAGTGGAACTACATCTACTGGATCAACAGGAAGTGGTTCTACATCAACAGGTAGCGGTTCTACATCTACAGGAAGTGGTTCTACATCTACAGGAAGTGGTTCATCTGACACTACATCTGGTTCTAATGATTCCGATAGTGAGAATGATAATGAAAATTCAGAAAATGAAGATTCCGACTCCGATTCTGATTCAGATTCAGATACCACAATTACATCTAGGACTTCATTCCAAATCTAATTAGGCATACTTTGCATGATTTAAATAATGTTATTTTGAGTTATTTAGAAATAGATTGATATATGAAAATAGATATCACCTTTTTAATAAATTTTCTTTTTAAATTTAAAAACTCTATTGTTACATATTCAAAACTTAGTGAATATTGTAAGTTCTATTTAATGGATTATATTTATTATTAGAACATCTTTCAAAACTTTGTTCTTTTTTATCAAATATTTCTAAGATAGTTTCTTTCCATCTACTCTTTTGATTTGATCTTTATTACGAAATTGAGCTTTCTTTAAGTCTACTCTTTTTATCACTTTCATTTATTTTATTCCAAATTTCATTGGTTCTGTCATTCTTAACAGGACTGAACTTCTGTTAAAATGTAATCATTTTGGAATCTGAAGTTAATCTCTCTTCTATCTATTAGGTAAGAGATTGTATACGAATCAACTATCTTTGGGACGACAAAAGTGAGGATTTCTATTCATTCACACATATTTTACTATTTACAGAGATTAAGATGGAGCAGTCATAATTTTTTCAATTTCAATTAAGAATTTACTTAGATCTTCAGGAATACCCTTTAAGTTCCTTAGTTCTTCTTAATACTTAGCCATCAATTAAATTTAAGATTCCTTAATATATTTCTATAAATTACATATTCATTCTCTTATTTTTATATTTCTAATAATTACTAAGTTTCAAGTGCATTAACTTCATTAATAAGACTATTTTTTTTTTATTCCAAAGCAATGATTTACTAATTACATAGTTACAGATGAAATTACTTTCTAAAATTCTTGACTAATCTCATCTCTTGTAGATTAACACTTCTATTAAAATTGAAATTTTTGATCTTATATGTCTCTAATAGATTCAAATTTATTTTTGAAACTTTTATCCAATCTCTCCAAATATAGTTGTACTCTTTCATTCAAAGCAGGAGCCATATCAATTTTGCCTATAAGGGATTCCTTATTTTTCTTAATATCCTTAATTTCAGAGGTCTCCTTGGTTTAGTCTACTTTTTGAAATTATAAATTGTTTGCATATTTATCTTTTTTTTATTCAAATTTTTCATCATTAATTAATTCAGTTGCTAAGTTAGCCTTAGATTCTCTAATTGTTTCAGATTATTTTAGATCAAAATCATTATCCATATTATGCTCTTCTTAATTCTATTCAATAAGTGGAATGATGATTTCCTTAATCACATATTGAATTGCTTCAATAGTATCTGGATCAAGATGGGTTTCATATTGACATTTTGAACATATAGCTACTTTCATAATATCTTGAGATTCTGGGTTCTGTTGTTGAGATTGTAAATAATTGTAAGCTAAACAAACGAGACAGAATTTATGATCACAATCTAATTTGACATAATTATCAGGAGTTGTTTGACATTAAGAGCAGGCAACTTCAAAGTTAGTGTCGCTGTCTTGTGTTTCATTCATTTTTAAATTTAATATATATAAAATATGAAAGCATTAACTCATAATTTAACATCCCTATATATATTAGCTCATATAAATACTCTAAAGTCCTAACAAGAACAATGTTTTCTCCCTTTAAAAGGATTTTCCCCAATTCCTTTGTTGCCTTTGTCTTGCGATCATATTCAACAGCTCTATCTAACACCAAATTCAAATATTCATCAAAACCCTAAAAAGGTAGAAGCTCAAATAAATTACTGCCAATTTTCCTTGAATACGAAGATTGTCATTTTCCACTAGCCAAATCTCCAATTGAGTTTTCTCTGTAAATAATGTGAAGAAGGCATGGAGTGGTTGTGTTATTTTCTTTTATGGCTTTCTTTAATACGGGGGATGTTGCATATCTTAATTTAATTAATTAAAATGGCTTCAGCTTTTCCTAAATTGCCTGGTTTTGTACCTACACAAGAATTAGATGTATTATACCAATTTATATACATTAGAAACCCAACTTCAGAAAGGTCTCAGCTGTTAAACAAGAATAAAATAGAGAAATTGTAACAAATTGAAATTCTAATCTTTTTTTTATAGAAACAACTGCCAAATAAAGAATATCCAGTACCTCGTAAATAACCAATACAAGTGCCATCATAAACAGGAATGTTCAACCCTGATTATTTAAGCACAACTCATGCTATGCATTTGCCAAAGGTATACAATCTAATCAGTTACATCAATAAGAATTCAAATAATGATTCAGAAGAGCTCTACCAACCAAGTTGGGTTAAGATGGATAGACATGTTCTTAGATTTAGTGGCTTCTTCAAAGAGGCTGTTGTTGAGTCAGCCCTAGAAAATTACAGAATTCGCAAATTAACAATATTTTACTTTTTGGAAGACCATTCAATTAGCATTACAGAACCTAAATAAGAAAATAGTGGTGTTCCTTAGGGAGCATTCCTTAAAAGATAGAAAGTAAAAACCTCTCGTTAATGATGCTTAAGGTTTTAAGGGCTGATGGCTCAAAAACATTCATTATACCAGAAGACTTTAGAATCAATTAAGATATTGAGATATTTGGCAAAACCATAAGACTTTATGATTGTGATCAATATACAAGAGAATTTTATGAGGTTTCATTCTAATTTTAAATTTCTTATAGGGTATTGGATAACCACAAGAGCAATCATTCACACCATAATCAGATTAATTTGAAACAAAGACTATGACTAAGTATATCCCTTAGAAAGATACAGTCATGAAGGACTACTTAGAACATAAATTAGGAGGAGGAAAAGTTACATCTCAAAAGCAATTCTTAGAAAATGATAGGAAAGTATTATGATTCTACATTACTAAAAGGTTTTAAAATTCTATGTATTCTCTGATATTGAATATGTCTTGCATTACTATTTGGCTGATGATACTATTGAAATAAAAGAAATTAATTCTGCAAATTCAGGAAGAGTTCCATTTCCCATGATGTTGAGGAGATAGAAGTTACCACGAAAATTCTCACTCAATTAACCTGGATAAACATATGCTGAAGATTTCATAAGACCATAAGACATTCAATTTGGATAACCATTAATTATTTATAACAGAAAATTTACCATTCAAGGTTGTGATCCCTTTACAAGACATTATTATTAAGAAAAGTTTGATGTTGATTTTCCTTTGGGTGGTTAGGAAGAGTAATAAATAGAATAAAGATCAAGTATTTTTATAATTAATAATATTATTAATTAGACATTATCATTCCTCCTCATAATGGTATTGGTGATGAATAAGATTCATTAGGATATATTTATAGATTATAACCTAAACCACCCAAGAAGGATTTCTTTAAATGGGTTGATAATTAAGTAAATCTAAGATTTTTGGCCATGTTCAATACTACAAAACCTGAGGATAAAGACAGGTTATTATATTTAATTTATTATTAGAGTTTTTGTAATTACTTATTTTTTAAATGATGATAGTCTTTTAATATATGAACCAACTGTTAGAAATTCTGGTATATTTCAAAATTTTAATTTTATTAGGTATTCCAGATGGTAAATTTTTGGAGAAAAGAAAATACAAAAACGCATATAATAATAATGAGTTTTTCTCACCTAAAGATTTGATTGTAGGAAATGAAGTTATGATTAATGGATGGAAGTTTTAATTACTGGATTGTGATGAATTCACTAAAAAATGGTATGCTGATAATTTTAAATGACATTCATCTATATATATAAAAATAATAATTAAATTAAATATTAAGCTAATGGGTAATGGTTAGTGTTAGTAAACAAATCTAAAGAGTGAAGTTAATATGATTATCACTGAAGAAAATGTTCATTCGGATGAATCTGAACATAATCTTACATCAAAGATAACAGATAGAGTTTATAAAGTTAATTTTGTTAGAAATGAACTAATGCAAAGATTATAATCAATAAATCAAGAAACGTAAAAATTTCAAAATATTACAAAGAATAGTCTATTATATGTAACAGAACTAATTTTATAATTGAATAAATATACTGTTGGATAATTAAAAACTATGATGATTGGAGCACATAAAACATATTAAATTTTAATATAAGCTATAATTAAAATGAAACCTGAAAATACAGAAATAATTCCTGTTTTGAGTGAAGAATATAATAATTTTAAACTTTTCTATGAATTATAAACATAACCAGCCTAATAATTGTATTATAGACCTGTTTATAATGAAAATTATGAAATAGTTAGAGAAATTAGAGTCAAAAGAATAAGAAATTATGTAATCAAAGAAGATAATGTAACAGATCTATAAAAAACATAATAAAGATTATAATATTGGATATAATTAAGTTAAAAAAAACATCCTAATTTATTAAATCTAAGAGCAGCAGTAATACAAAAAGATGTATGCAAATATGTTACTGATTATATTGATGGGATAACATTAGAAAAATTACAAAATAAAAATATTTAAAATAAAGACAAAATAAAAATAATGCAATAAATGGTTGATTCTTTAAGGATGTTGCATTCCTAATAATTGGTTCATGGGGATATTAAACCTTCAAATTTTATGATTACTCCACAATATCAAGTAGTTTTATTGGATCTCGATTAATTAGGAGCAGAGAGACAATCTGCTGATATGACATATTTGTATTCATTTAAGGATGATCAATGCCCAACATTTTAAGGAGATGTATGGTCTCTTGGGTTATGTATCTATTCATTATTTTTTGGTCAAAGAATAGAAAAAAATTGGACTATTGATGATTATAAGGGAAGAGATTTTCCTGCTTTTAATATTAGATCTTATGGTCCTATTTAATAAATTCTAGATGCTTGTCTCATTGATAGTCCAAAAGACATCTGGTACATAAGTACTTTAAGTAAGCAATTATGAAATATAAATAATTATCATAAAAAAAAAGTTAAACTACTAAATTAATATTTATATTTTTAAATAATATGTAATGAATATAGAATCAATCATCTTCAGGTTGAACATCAAATATACTTTTTTAAGGATTTCCAAATTATTATTTATATTCTTCAGATGCACATGTTTATGCTAAAAGGATAAGTAATCTCTCTAATTTAATATGTAATGGTTATTATTAACGTTATTCCCAACTCATATCTGGAGCAGCAGGTAATGAAACCTTTTCAGCAATTCTAGCTATAGCTTCCATAAATTCTACAAAAGTCATTTAAAAGATTCTATCACTTTCTAATTCATCTATTTATAACATCATTGATAAATTAAATGCCTATTTATATAAATTAATTTAAATACCAAATCTGCATCTCTATCAACAAATTTTTCATCGAATAGTCCTGCTTGTCCACAAATTTCATGTAATTCATCGAGACACATAAATTTCTTTTATCCTGGTTTTACTTTTTTTATGCTGTATCTATTATAAACATAATTTAACAAAGTTTTGTAATATTTTAAACAATCATCACATTATTCATTAAAGTATCTTTCATCTCTCCATTTTTATGCATTATATTATTACATTATAGGTCTACATTGATCTAAAATCATTTATACAGAATCAACCATATTATTTGCTTATTTTTATTTCAAATATTTATCATCTGATACTCTTACTAAGAATTCCATAAATTAATATCTACATAATGCTCTTTCTGGATTTCTATAATTTCCTTTATATTCAATTGAAGCAGCACAAGTTGCAATAAATTTAAGATCCAAATCTGATAGTTTAAATGTTTTATTATCTACCAATTCTGTTGTAGAAGAGAAATCTGTAATTACATTTGATGATATTGACCAAACATCTCCAGATGGATTATATGATGAATACCATTTATATGTTTCTTTTATCATTTTATAATCTTTCCATAATAAATTTTTAACTTCATTAAATTCATCTGGATTTTTTACAACTTTTGATATTTTACTACAACTCCAATCTTTTTCAAAACATTTCCTTAAGAATTCTTCATTTTCAAAACGAAAATCCTTAAACCAAATCGAAATTGGAAAGGACCAAATTCTTTTTTATTTCTTTAATTTAGGTGGAATATAAATAGGATCTGGAGTTCTTGGAAGTACAGAAGTAAGTGCTTTCATTTCTTTTTTATCCATTAATTAAAAATGTTTTAATTTCTTTACAACATTAATATTATCTAATTAACAACTCACATTGATTCCATTAACTTTAAGTTTTATAACATGACCAAATTTGATATTATCATAATTTACAGCTGTTGTTTAATTATCTATTACTGTAAATAGAAATTAAGTTTATCCAGTAGGAATCATTAATGGTAATTTATAAGTACCATCATTTCTTTTTGGAATGTAGACTTACTTATATTCTTCAAAATTCATATGTAAAAATAATGGATCACATTCTCCATCTGGAATCCAATCAAATACTTATTCTTACCATCCTTCACAAATCCAACAAACATCTTCATGTCTTAAAGTTGTTACTTATTCTAATCCTTTAATTCTTAATGTTTCACCTAATACTTTTTATTATGCATTATCATCAATAATTAAAAATCCTCTTGGATCTACAACTCCCCAATTACCTGCAAAATGAAATCCATACATAGTTCTATTTGGTTTCAAACTATTAGCAATTAATTTACAATCCTATAATGTGAATTAATTAGCTGATAAATCACAATGTAACATAACTTTATTTTGACTTAAAAAGTCACATACTTTTTAAGTACAATTAGATTTTTCACTAATTCCAAAACCATTCCAACTTCCATCAAAAACAACCATATTTTTATTTTCTATTAATGCTTCAAAGATTTTCTATCCTCCAGATCCTTTTATTTAATTCTATATTTTTAATCATATATATTATATACCCAGTGAATATAAAGTTCTTCTAGAAGATCTAATTACAAAATAATTTCCTTCATTAAATCACAGATTTCATTTGTTAGGAAATTTTTGGAAATATTTAGTACTTTCACTTTATTTTGAGTATTTAATAAACATTTCAAAATTTTCATTACAAATTTATCTCCAAGTTTGTTATCTTCAATATTAATAACTTCCATCCTTTATTTATAAAGAATTTGTACTTATTTTCTCTCATTTACAACTATTGACATAAACAATCAACACCCAACTATCCAATGTCATTTTTAGATAAATCTATTACTGTTGCTTGTTTTCCAATTTAATTCAATATTGTAACTGCACCATCTTATTTAATTCTGTTATTGCTTAATAAAAATTCCTTAATTCCTTAATTTTGACGCAAACCTTCAGATAATACACTTATATATTTATCACCATAATGATGATTATTAATTGATACTTATGATTCATTACCATTTAATTTAATGAGTCCTAATTTACAAGGCAACACATCTAATGATTCTGCTTACTTAAGCATCTAGGTTTATATTGAATCATTAATTTTATGATAATCATTTTATTGTTTCACCTTATTAAGTACTTTATAATGTTAAAAGTAACTGCGGGCAGATTAAGATCCTACTAATTATTTTGGTATTTAATCTTCTAATTTTTGTTCTGGCGATTCTTATAACTATCTCATAATATCTTTATCAGTTAATTTATCCTCCTCTTTTTTTATTGGTTGCAAAACACTAAAACGATCTACTCTTTAAAACATTTATCTTTTTCCTGCAGGACTGTATAATTAAGGAAAAGGTGAAGCTGCATTTAATTTTATCATTACTGTTCAAATCAGATGGGTTTCCAACAGACATAGCTTTTGAGTAATCCTCAACAGTCTTATCACTGAATTGCAAACTAGCAATCTTACGTTTTGACCCTTAAATTGAAAACTTATTTGATAATCCAACATGCATTTTTATATAAAATATATAAAATAATAATCAAATAAATAACTAAAAATACTAATTTTATGCTTAACAATCTCAAATCTCTATAAAACTTTATTATTATAGAGTAAAAATAGCAAAGATTCAATTAAAAAATATCAATTTGTTATTTTATTGATTATTATATCTAATAATTCATATTATATTCCATCATCATTAAATTAAATTAATATGAAGTATTTTTATAGTATAATTATTAATCATCAACTATTTTTAATTTTTGATTTTATTTTTGCAATAATATACACCTATTTTTATTAATAGATCATTAAGATTATATTTTAACATAACAATTGATATAGAGATCAAATTGATTACTGTAAGGTTGAAACTTAATATTTTATGTGTTTAAGTATCTCTAAAGATTATCCATTGATTTAACTAATAATAATTCTTTTCAAAATATTTTTGTTATTATCTATTGTATTTCTAAAAATAAATTTCAAAGTTTATTATTGTTGCATATTATAAAAGAACTAATCATTATTCTAAATGACAATTAATCTCAAATATAAAAGATTTGGTTTAATTTTTTATTCTTGATGGGATTGATAATTCGTAATTATTAATAATTTAGAAATGAGTCTCAATATATCTGAACTGCATTAAAAATTAAAAGAACAATTGGAGTAGATCGTGGGTTAATAAGTTTGAAAATCAGAAAATAAAGATAATACAAATGCAATTATGGAGAAAGAAAATATTCTGGTGTTCATGATAAAAGATCAATAAAGATTGGAAGAGGATGGACTTTTTTTCAATAATCAAGTAGATGAAGAAGATGCTTGAAAATAGCCTAACAATTCCTAATAACTAAAAAAGTTATGGGAATGTATTTGGTTTTGATTATACTTCTTTTATTTATATTGATATTTAAATATTTTGTATTGTTTATATGATCTGAAAACATAAGCTAATTGAAAAAAAAAATACTCTAATGGCTACATCTGTTTTTAAAAATCAACTTCCCACAATTTCAGTTGTAGATTATATGATGGAATAAAATGGAGGATTAAATATAAAATTGATAAATAATAATGGATAAGGGAGTTATCATTTGTAAAAGGAAAGAACAAGCAATGATTTTGATAAATACTTAAACAAACCCTCGTATAATGAAGAATTTTCATTTACTGGAGAAAACTTTTAGTTATGTAGTTATTATAAAATATAATTAGCAAATTTACATAAAAAATATTAATATTATCTATAATAATGAATAGACGACAAAATGGATAGGATGAAAATTTAAGTTGGATTTTGAAGTATACGAATGAATTTGAATAAGAACATATTGAGAGCTAACATATGCATGTATTAAAGTAGGAACAATTTGGATAATTGAAATAATCAGATGAGATTTTGAGTGCTTAACTGTTTACTTTTTGGAATGGTAATTTAGAAAACAGTAAATTTATATTAATGCCAAATCTGTTAATAAAAGTAACATAATAAAATGGTATGTTGATGCCTCCTTAATAATAATTTAATTTAGGGGGTGGAGCATTTTATTTATCATTATCAGAATGCACAATTACTTAAAAAATGATAGCTCATAAATCATAATAAGCTTTTGGAATGATGTTATCAAATTCAATAGGAACAACTTATTTATTTTTTTCTAATTTTGTGACATTTCGAACTTGGTACAAACAAATGAAATAATTTTGTAAGCTCACAGGATTCTTAGAGAAATATAAATTAGGTGAAAAAATTTTACCTGGATTTTACACTTGTACAAAAAAAAAGAAAAAGACTCAATATACATGTTAAATCTATAAAACAGATGATTTTGAATAATGTAAAGAATTAGAAGATGCTGTTTATAATGAGATACAAATTTTAAGAAGCATTAGACATTAATCATTATTAGAATTAAAGAGAGTTTATGAAAATAGTAAATATCTATTCATTGTTTATGAATATTATAAGGGAGAGACCTTATTTAATCTTTTGAATTCAAATCTTTAACTTCATGAAGTTTAAATTGCATCTGTATATAATTCCAATTTTAAAATAGATAATATATCAAATTTTATCAGTTGTGAAATTTCTTAATCAACATTAATTTTATCATGGTAGCATTAACCCTTAAAATATATTAATTAATACTCAACATTAAATGTTACAAATTACATTAATCAATTTATCATTTAAAGAGTATAAAGTTAATGACAAATTGGATTGGATATTAAATAGAGCAGTAGAATCCTTTTTGGCTCCTGAGATATTTGAAGGAATAGCACCAAATATTGCTACAGATATATATGCTTTAGGATGTGTATTATATTTTATGACATATTATGATCCTAAAAAATATGAAGTATGTGTTTGATATATTATTTTTTATTTTTAGTTAACAAATGAAGAAAAGGATTTCTATACAGTTATGGATAATTTTGAAATTTAGACAAATCGTATTGATGAAAGTGAATAAAAATTAAAAGTTGGTTTCTAATAAAATTAATCCAAGAGTAATGTTAGTTCATCATAATTGGATTTACTAAGGAAAATGTTAGAATAAGATTCAAGTAAGTACATAAATATATGAGATAAAAGATTGACAATAAAAGATGCAACTAAACATCATTGGTTTGTTAATGTCAAAAGTAAGATAAAATCATTGAAAGTGGAAAGAAAAAGAAAAAAACCACTACCTAGTCTTAGAACTATTATTGAATTGAGAGAGATGAGTGAAATGGATGTTAGAATGACTATCATTCAATAATAATAAAGTGGATTAAATGCAATCAATCATATGAATTCAAAACTTTAAACTACACCATCCAACACAAAACGTACTTTAGTTTATACTCAACAACCATCAAAATTAAGTTAATATGCTGGTAAAAATGAATTTGATGATGATTATGAAAGTATAATTCGATTTTAATTAGTCCCTGATGAAGATCTTTAATTAGAAGTCCCTGTTATAAATTACAAAAGAGAACCAAAACGAAAACCTTCAAATATAAGACTGCTATGAAAATTTTAATAACTATATAGAAATTAATAAAATGAATATTCCTTTACCACAAGTCAAACCAATTTTTCAAGATAACTCAAAATTACAGAGTGAAATCATCGGACTCTTCAAGTCAGGAGATCTTAAATGGAACACGGGTGGAACCATCGCAGAAAAAAAAGAAGGACTGAATCTAGTTGTGTAAGGTTTAAAAAAAATGTCATTGTGGATTGAAAGTATCTTCTCTCTATTCTATCATAAAAGGAGAATATGATGCAGAAAAGAAGAAATAATTACAACTTTAATATGAATCAAGAATGGAGGAAACATCTAAAAGATTAGAAACTTTAGAAAAATATGAAAAAGGTGAAGTAGTTTAAGAATCTAATGGAAATGGAGGTTCTAATTAATAACAACAAAAGTAATATTGTTTAATATCTTAGAAAATAGGGAGAAAAAGATTCAAAGAATGAATTATCTAATGCACTTTCTGAAGCTATTGTTAAAGATAAACCTAATGTTAAATGGACTGATATTGCAGGTTTAGAAGCTGCCAAATCAGCCTTATAAGAAGCAGTCCTTCTTCCAATTAAATTCCCTGATTTCTTTGAAGGAGCAAGAACACCCTGGAAAGGAATCCTAATGTATGGAGTAAATATTTAAATAAAACAAATAGCCTCCAGGAACAGGAAAAACCTATTTGGCGAAAGCTTGTGCTACAGAAGCAGAAGGAACCTTCTTTTCTGTATCTTCAGCTGATTTAATCTCAAAATATGTAGGAGAGAGCGAAAAATTGATTAAGACTCTATTTTCTATGGCTAGAGAATAGAAACCATCCATTATATTCATAGATGAAATTGATTCAATGTGTGGAGCAAGAGGAGAAGGCCAAAATGATGCAAGTAGAAGAGTAATAACTGAGTTCTTGGTTTAAATGTAAGGAGTTGGACATGATGATAAGGGAGTCCTTGTTCTTGGAGCAACCAATCTTCCATGGGCTCTAGATACTGCCATTAGGAGAAGGTATTCCTTAATATATATTATTTGTAGATTTGAAAAAAGAATCTATATTCCACTTCCTGATGTGTAAGCTAGAGAATATATGATATAAAATTCTCTCAAGAAAACTAAAACTACATTAACAAAAGAACAATTTGAAGATATTGCTATTAAAACAGAAGGATATTCTGGATCAGATATTAGTGTATTGGTTAGAGATGCTGTTTATGAACCAGTTCGTAAACTTTAATCTGCAAAAAAATTCAAATAAATACCAGTCAATGGTCAATTAAAATGGGCTCCAGTTACAGACAATGAAGAAGGAACTCCAAAAACATTTATGGAACTAAATCAACGAGATATTGCCATTCCTGATGTTTGTTACAATGATTTCTTATTGGCTTTGAAAAAATCCAAGAAATCTGTTTCACAAGATTAATTAGGAGAATTTGAAAAGTGGACTAAAGAATTTGGCCAAGAAGGTTGATCATTTGCCTAAAATTATTATTATTACAAAATTCAAAAAATTTCATTATATCAAATCTAAATTACTTATTTTTTATAAGATGTAACCAAATTATCAATCAAATATATAATAATATAAACTTACCATTAATATGAAAGCACAGATTCCTAACACCAACCAATCATATTTTGAATTTGTTCCAGTTTCTTCCTCTAATTTTACTTCTTTTTCTTTTTATGCTAATTTATCAACTTTTTTTATAATCTTAGATTTTCTCATTTTCCAATTTTATTCTTTTAACCATTTTCTCAGATCCTTCATATTTTAAAGGAATAATTATTTGAATTCTTCTTATACTGAAGTATCATATAAATCGATTCCAAATTATGTTGCTTTTTCATTTATAATGGGTTTTGTAAAATTTTATCTACTAATTCTTTCGATCTTCATTTTAGTTGCCATTAATTAAGCTAAAAATTATCTATGTTTTTCAGCTTCTTCATGTTTACCTTGAGTTTCATATAAATGTAAGATTTACACACCTCTACTTTCTATAAACTTACCAAGTTCATTGATTTCTTCAGGTATTTAAATACTTGTATCTTCTTCAAAACTTGGTTCATATGAAAGTGTATTAAATGAGTATTTCTTCCAATCTTCACTATATTCATAATCTTCTTCTTCTGAAGATGAATCATCATCAATTATATCTTATTATTTTTCTGTTGATTATATTCCTTATGTAGTTTAAGGAGATGTTTTATCAATATTTTTCATTACATTTTATGATATTTCAATACTTGATCTCATCATCTTTTTCAATTCTAATTTGGCTTTTGTAAGATCCTTTCTTATAGCTTCATCATCATCAATTTAAAGTGCTTTCTCTAGATCTTAAATTGCTAATTTATAATCACTCTCCTCAGCATTTATATTATCCAATCTAGCCTAAGTTTTTCAAAAACTAATACTTTTGCTCTTCTATAATATGCCTTAGAATTATCTTAAATATTTAAAACATAATCACAAGCTGCAATCGCATCCTTAAATTACTTTTCTTTAATGTAGCAAATAGCTAAATTTAGCAATAATTTTATTCTTATATCAACAATTCTTTAATCAAAATTATCATCCTTATATGTTAAATCATCATCTATAATTCCTTCATTTTTCCAATTCGGATTCTTATTTTCTATATAAAGGAATACACTTAAAGATTTTTCATATTCATGAGATGCATTCCCAAATTTTCCTTTAAGCAAATAAGTTAATTTTTATACCTTATTAAAATAAGTTATTTCCTTTTTCCTTTAATTAATTTGCAAAATCAAGTCTCTACTCTATATCCAATTTTCTTTATTCAAGATATTCATTCAAATAATATAAACCAGCTTTTATGAACAAAGGCTATTTTTCAAATACTTTTCTTTTGGAATGCATTTCATGTGATTTAATAGCCACAGCCTATTAGAACATTTAATTAAACTCATTCATAATTTATAATATATTTTATATTAATTAATCAAATAAAATAACATTAAACTTGATTATTTAAGAAATTAAGGTACAGGTGTTATTTATTAATTATATGGAGATAAAATATGTATTAAAAAGCTTATAAAAGTTAATCTCCATTAGAATTTATAAATTATTATATAAGAACTTATATTAATTTATGTCTTATGATTGTAAAATTCAATCTGTTTGATCTAAAAGATTTATGAATAGCAAAACCTCCTTTAGTTAATCAAAAATTAAATAATTAACTATTTTACAAATATGTTGAATATGAGAATATTGATATTTAATACATTTTTTATTGATATTCTTTTTATTAATGATACTATGATTTCGCCCATTTTTTATATTCCTTTACAATATAAGCCCTGATAACTTTTATTAGGCATTGATAATCTGTATATAATTCTTTTTACATTAAATGCTATTGTTTCAAGGGTAAATTCTACTAAATACTAAAATAATCATAATATTTCAATTATATTGCTCTCTCTCCTCTTAAGAAATAGTATTTCGAATAAATTTGATGACCCATTTTATTGATCTTTTGTAATATAAAATTAAAAATTTCTTATAAAATGAAAATGGATTGTATATAATATTAATTGATAATTTTACAATAATTTAAATTCATATCACTCTACTTTAGACTGTTATCCTTCATTCTATTAGACATTTTATAAAATTATTTTTTTATTTATAAATATTCTAAATTTTAATTTTTTTTTATTTCTATTTGAATTACAAAAAGAAATTTATGTCTAAAATTTCCCTTTATAAAAGTGAAGATGACCCTAATAGAATTTTAGATAATAGATTATTAAAGGGAATTTCTTATATTTTGGAAGAGTTTATTGGTGAACCGAAGGTTTTAAAATTCTAAAATCCTTTATTTGATTCTGAGAGTACTCCTTCAGTCACACTTGAAAATTATTTGATTAGAATTTAAAGATGTGCTAAATGTAGTGAGGAATGTTTTATAATTGCTATTATTTATTTGGAAAGAATTTAAGAACTAAATTAAGAATTATAATTCAACAGATAAAATATCCATAGGTTATATTTATAATTAATATCAGATTTTTTATAATTGCAATTGTTTTAGCAATAAAATTTCATGATGATGATATATTTATGAATGAATACTATGCTAGGGTTGGAGGAATCTCATTATAAGATTTAAATGATATGGAAAAATGCTTTTTAACAATGTTAAACTTTTAATTTTATGTTTACGAAGAGACCTACTATTAGTATTTAAAAAGAAAAAAAATAAATTTTAGAAAATGATAATATCATATTTGTTATTAAAAAGATTATTTTATATGAGATTTATTTGTTAGATTTATATATAAAAATAATTATTTTTATTTTTATTTTTTTGTAATAATAAATATTTTATAATCCAAATTTAATAGGCTTTTTATTAATAAAATTATAAGCAAGCTTTCTGAAAACGAAAAAATTTATGATGTAGGAGAATAGTAATTTAATGCCTGTTGATGAAATCTGGAAATAATTGAGTAAAGTAACGACAACTGTAAATAGGAATGTGAAAAGAATGTCTAAATTATTAGATCAACTTATTACTCATACACTTTCTAATGATGGTGATTATTTATAAATACCTTAAAGGAAGGTAGATAATCATATTAAAGAAAGAGAGAAATATGCAAAAGATTATAAATAATGTGTACTTCGTGAATTGAATATAAAATTGAATTGGATTATAACAAGTTAGAAAAACATTTGTAATAAATGTTAAATGATTTGTAAAACTAGAAAAGGTTACTTACTTCATTTTTTATAAAAACATTGTGAGTACAAATTCTATTTTTGTATAAAATGTTATGATAAATTTAATAATTTTAATAAATTTAAATAGCATTTATGCAATAATCATGATGAAATAATGATATTTTAAGTGACAGAATAAATATAATAATTAATAGATCATGGAGCAAGAGAAATATCTAAAGAGTGATCTATAAAATATAATTTGATTTATAGTATTTTAATTATTAAATTTATAAAAACAATTTAAATTTTTATAAAATATCAATTTACAATAAATAATTAAATTAAGGATATTTTAATTTAATATTAAAATTATCCACTTTTCCAATATATGATTAAAATATTGTTTCATAATCCATTAATTTAATATTCTTAAAATTGTTTTGTTTTATAATTTTATTCACTCCTTTCAAAACTATATCATTTATAAGAATAAATTAATAAAGATTTCTTAAAAAAAACTAATAAATAAATAAACTTAAATTTTATAATTTTAAACTACTAATATATCTTATAGGATTTATTCTAAAATTGTATTAATATTTATATTAAAGTTCTTAGTTAATTAGTAACTAAAAGCAATATATCTATGTATTCTTTCTTCTTCTTATTAATACGGAATTAAATTTAATTTCAATGTATTTGAGAGTATTATAAAATTATCAATTATTTTAATTTTCATATATTTAATAAAATGAACTCTTTAAAATTTTACTTTTTCAACTTATTATTAATTCAATAATAAGTTTAATTAGAATGAAAAGAAATCTGAAAGAATTTTAATTAGTTTATGAACATTTATAAAATATAGATATTAATCATTTTTTGGCTAAAGCATATAAAAATATTCCAAAAGAAATTAAACTGGCCACTGTTCTAACTGCATGTAATTTACCCCATTATTTAAGTAAGCCTATTTTAGAATTTTCATCTAAATTTGTTTACTCTAATAAAATTTTATTAGTTGGCATTATAGCAATCAATGTAAATGGGATAACTGAGGCAAGCAATAAACCAGCTTTTAAGGTAAGTTTATTTTAATATTTAGCATAGTTAATAACTCCTACTAATCCTCCAAGAAAGGCTAAAGAAGCTTACCATTTTGCAGCTCTTTTGTAAGATGGTACCCATTAATTATATGCAACATCAGCTCCACAACTTAGTCTTGCAGGATGTTCAACAATATTAATGTAGATTGATGCTCCACTGAATAAACCAGCAAAAGCTGTGCCTAAGAGAGTTAATTTAGTTTAGGTATCCATTTTAATTTATTATATTTATGTGAATTAATTTTAATTACGGCTTAAAAAATGGTTATGAAATATAAAGACTTATAAAATCTGGTAATTAAATATTAGTATTTAAATACAAATTTTATAGATAATTCATTCATTCATACATATCCATATTTAATAATTTAAGTTTAAAAAAAGCAATTCAATATTTAACTACAAATTTAATAATATGAAATAATCATTATAATTGTAAATTATTGATACTTTGTTATTTCATGTTTTTTTATGTTAAACTAATTCATTATTATGTTATATTAATAAACATATTATTTGTAATATAAATTTATATATGAAGTTTTACTATAAATTATTAAGCATATTCATTTTAACATAATGAATAAATGAGATTATTAGATTGAGAGAATTAGAATAGATTTTTGAAACAATGAATCATAAGGATTGAGAAATAAGAATGAAAATGAATTAATTTATATTCATGATGTAATAAGACTTCATATAGATAATTTATGAAATTAATTATTCTTGCTCTCCTTATTTCCACATAAGTCTTTGGTCTTCAAACATCATGCACTAAACTTGATCCAAAATAAATAAGTGACTTACATGATGCAGAAAATTTAGTTTTCTCAGGATACCTAAACATTTTTGAAGAATCCGCAAGTGCTTTGGCATTTTTATTTTATGGACATTAATAAGCTAAAACAGTTGATAAATTAAAGGATTATCCAACTTTAATATACTTGAATGGATTACTAGGAGAAACATCTTAAATAGGAAATTTCATAGAAGTTGGACCAATCAGAATTAATTCATAAGGAACCCTTGAGAAGAACGTTAACACTTGGAATTCTTAATTCAATCTATTGTTTATTGATCTAGTTATTGGAACAGGATATTCCTATCACGATACATATTAAGATATACCAACAAATGCTGATCAAATATCTACACATTTTATCTATGCTCTTGAGTAATTCCTTAAAGCTGATAATGGATGTGTGAAAAAACTAAAGTTTACTGGATTAGAAACAAGTGATTGGTATATATTTGGTGAAGGCTATGCTGGAAAGTAATAACTTTTTATATTGTAGATAAGTTGTCCATATTGCATCTAAAATTTTAGATTCTTAATCTGCAACATTAAACAAAAATCTTAAAGGTATTGGTCTTGGAAATGCTCACATTGATGCAAATAGCTTAATTAGAGAAATTCCATCTTTTGCATTTAATCTTGGGTTGATTGAGCCTAGAGAGAGATCTGAACTTGAAAAACTTGCCTTAAGAGGAATTTAACAACTTGAAAAAAAGGATTATTTAGGCATTCATATGACTATTTAAACAGCTATAGGGATGATTCATTAATTCAGTGGAGAAATAAATATATAGAATATAGATTAATTGACAGATATTGAAGATCATATTTCTAAATTCAAGGCATATTTAAATTTAAGCAAAACCAAAACTAATTTAAATTTTGATACAGGAATTCCTTTTTAATAATCTTCATCTGAAATTATTAATGCATTAAGTGAAGATTTTGCAAAACCAGATGCACTTCCAAAATTAAAATAACTATAAACAAAACTTAAAATTTTAATTTATAATGGTTAAAATGATGTTCTATGTCCAATTCCAAGTACTTTAAGATATTTAAGTTCTATTAATGATGATTTTAAAACAAAGAAATTAGAAGTCTAATTATAAGGTAAAAATCCAGTTGGTTACACATTAAAATCAGGATAATTAACATTTGTAACAATTAATAATGCAGGTTTCCATATTCCATTAGAAAAAGGAGATGTTATTTTAGAAATAGTTAAGTAATGGAAATGAAATTATCAATAAAAATATTATCATAAATATATTTTTTATCTTCAAGTAGTGGTAACTTAACTTCATTTCTTGTTTATTCAACCTTGTTTTCTCATAATATTCTATAAAACTTAATAATTTTTTATTTCCATCACTATTTTATTCTTCCCTTCCAAATAAGGCTTATATTTCTTCATCTAAATCTCCTCTTCATGACACACAAATAATAATAATAATAATGAATCTTCCAATGTAATCTTTCTATTTTTAACCTTATCATACATAAAGAATTAAACTATATTAAATAAATTTCTAATTTAAAATTAGTTTTGCACTTGTATCTAGATTTCAAATAAGTAGGATCAAATATACATTTTCTAAATTCATAATAATTAATTCTTTTATCACCATCTATATCTATTTTTCCATATAAATAATTCTGCATCTTTAATTTTTAATAGATAATCTCCTTTTACAAGTGTATTTATAATGGTTTTTGTATTTATTCTTTGTTCAGGTGGTTTAATTTTATCATTCTTAAAAGTCAATAAGTAATTGAAAACAGAATTAAGTCTTTTTTGTTCTACATTAGATGATTGTTTTTCTTATTTAATTTTTCAACTCTTTTTTATTACTAACTAAGTTTTTAGTAGTAGTCACAGAAAAGAATTTAGAGTGTTATCTATATTTGATTATTTAATTATTATTAAGTTGAATTCATTTATTAAATAATATATATATATAAATAGGTACAATAATCAATCGATCAATTAATTAATAAAACCATCATTAATACAAACAATTTCTCTGCATTCTCTAACAAAATCATAAGCTTATTCAAAAGACCAATCATTCTTTCTCATCAAATACATTACAGTAAAACAAGCTGATCTTGATTTCCCTTATGCACAATGTATGAAAACCTATTCATTAATGATAACAAAAAAACCTTCCCATTTTCTTAAAATGCATTCTCTATAAATTAATATACTTAATCAAAATATTATTTAATATAAACTTGTGGTTCATCATAAATTTCTACTTTCAGATATTTCACTATATTTATAATGATATATTGTATTACATTAGTTACTGTAATTTTATATTTCAACAGTAGCATTTACAACATGAGTTATACCTAATATATCTATAAGCATTTCAGTGTCTTAAGCATGTTCACCATTCCCTAAATACAATTTCTTTTCGATTATTTCATTAGGAAATGTTTTATCCAAGAAACCTCTATTTCTAACAATACTATAATTCAAAAAAGGATAATTTGCAAAAATAATTTGAACAGGATCTAAAAGAATGTAAATTTATCTAATCTTGTCTTTCTAGAATACTTAATATGCTTTGAACATAGTATCAAAAATCTCTGAATTTGAATAGAAACACTCATCTCCATAATCTAATATTTATGGTTGGCTAACAGATCTGTATTTAATCTTTGGACCACTTGATATTGAAGTTTCTTTGTATAAATACCAAATCATTACCATGTAATTCAAGAAGTCTTCTACTTGATATAATAGTTTATTTGTTTCCTTATTAAAATAAATTTTATTGTGAAGCATCTTCAACTATTTGATCATCAATCTATTATAAGATCATAGTTTAAGCTCTATTTTTTCTTTGAAACATATTATTCTTATTTGTAATTTTTGTAATCTCTTACGATAATGAAATAACTTCTTTTATAGGAATACAGAACTAATCAGAAGTTTAGGATCCTTCACTTTTTATTTTATGTTTAAAAATCAAACTGAACATATCTGATGTATCAAAAGGAACAAAAAAATTATAATTCCTCTTTCTATTGTTAAATAATTTTTCTAGTTTCTGACGTTCTGAAATTTATTCTGGATATTGAAAATGTTTTTAAATATCTGCAACTGTGTCAATATTATCCAAATTAGTTATATGAATACTATTTTTTAGGTAACCGTTTTGATTTTCTCTAAAATCATACACTATGAATGGGAACTTTTGAGAAATATTAAAAAAGAACTGAGGAGTGCAAAAATTAATTTACATTATATATTATTAATTCAAGCTAGCTCATCTTTAATGATTTTTATCATTTATTTTATATTAAGATCTATTTCATTTGTAAATGTACACAAACAATACTTTTCTACAAAAAACAATAATTGTTTATTATCGCATTTCTCTATATTACTCATTAGACTAAGTTCTTCAAAATTACTAATCTTATTTGATAAATTTCTTGGTTTCTCAATCCATTATTTAGTAATTGTACAATATAATTATAATTATTTTTAAACTTCAACTTTTAAATCATCAATGTACTTTGCTATTAAATCATTCAAAGTTGTACAATCTTTATAAGATCTAATCTTACCATTCTTTTAATTAACTTAAAAACATTGAGTATTCTATTCATTGATTTTTTAACGAAAATTTTCTAAAAAGAATTTCCAAAAATAAAATAGAATACATTTCCATTTTAATAAAAAAAAATGATCATAACTATATATCTAAAATATTTATTGTTACTTTATTTTTTCAAATTATTCAGATAATTTTGTAAATATCTATAAATTCTATAATTTTTCTTAATATTTATTATTATCCTTTATTTAAATCTCATTTTCAATCTCCAAAAATTATTTTGGCTATTTCAAAAACATATCACTTTCAAATATCTAAGGCCATGTAATTCTATTCTCTTCATAATATTCTAACATTCTACTAATCATTTAAATTATCTTAGGGTTTCTATTATTCTTAGGAAATTGCACCTTTTAATTCTACAATATCATATATCAATAAACCTTAAATGATCCTAATCTTATTTTCAATTAACCTAAATCTACAATTGATTCATGAATATTCCTTCCAAATGCTAATTCATATAAAATACATCCAAATGACCAAATATCAAATTAATTTGAATACTTTTTATCATCAAATATTTAAGGAGGAACATATAAAGGTGTACTAAATAATTCTAATCAATTTTACATACCCTTTTAATGTATACAATCTTGCTTATTCTGGATTTCCTTCTATAAATCTAGCAAATCCAAAATCTGCTATTTTTATAACATTTTAATGTAATAAGATGTTATCTGGTTTTAGATCTCTATGTATTACATTCTCTTTAACTAAAGCTTAAAAGCCTTTTGCAATTTATTAAAATATATCTACAATCTTTTCATCAGAAATATTGGGACTAAGTATAGAATATGAAATAAATACTTTTTTTTCATAAACTCAGTCAAAGTTCCTCCATCACAATATTCAATAAATAAATAAATGTAATTTTAAGAAACTTTGAAATCGTAGAATCCAACTAAATTCTCTGACTTTACTCTTTGCATCACTTAAATTTCTCTACTCTTAAACATTAAAATTTTATTACATTCATGATTTCCTTTAGAAGTTCTTCATTCTAAATTCCATTATGTGAAGATTGTTTTACAGCAACCTTAATATTCAATTTCTTAGATTTCCCTAAAAAGACCTCTCCACATTTTCCCTTTCCTAATTCATTATTATTAGATACCAAGGGGCTTTTTATAAATAATGTATTCTCCCACATCCTTTGCAACAGAATTGTCTTCAAATTTATAAGGATTAGACATATAAAAAATTAAATTAATTTGTTAAATAATTGTTTAAACTACTTTAATTAGAATCAAATACAAAAGAATTCTTTTTAATAGATAGCAAATTAAAATTAAGTATTAATAATAATAATAATAATAATGGTTCTTAATACAAATTATTAGTATTTCTATATTAGTAATAAGAATATATATTTGAATTATTTAATTAATTCAAAATTTATGTCAAGTTCAATTAAAACTTTTAGGTATTGTAAAATAGCTGGTCATTAATCTAAAAAGATTATAAGAATTTGTGTTTCAAATTAAACATGTACAAATAGATATTTATGTGAATTATGTTTGAAATCATAATAACATCAACATATTGATCAATGTATAAGTATTGATCAATTTCTGTAAAGAATCAATCAAATTAAAATGAATTACAAAGATGCTAATAAAATTGAAGAGATATCTTAAATACTCAAAAATAAAATAAATTCTTGTATGTCTATAATTCAATAACAATTCTCATTATTAGAGGATAGAGTTGAAGGCATCAAAACAAATATTAGAAATAGTTTTACAAATATCACTTAAGTCTTAGATTAGTTGGCTTCCAATCCTTTAGGATTTAATGATGAAAATCTAAATAGAAACTTATATTATCTTTAAGAGGAAAGCTGGAATGAATTTCAAATATCTGTAAATAAAGGTTCACATATAATGAAATAATATTTCAACATTTTACATGAATAATCACTTAAATTTAAATTAACAACTGGACATTCATAATAAGGAAGCACTGTCCAATTATTATAGATTCCAGAGACAATATGGCGTTTAAAAGGAATTGATCAATCTTTTGAATCCTAATTACCATATCGTTAAGATATCTCCAGATTCATAATCTATTACTCTGCATAAACTTAAGAGCTGATGTATGATATTTTATTATAATATATATGAAGAAGGAAAACTAATAAATAATAAAGTTCAGTAAGGATATTGGTGTATCAAAGTAAAGGATAGACCACATATTAAAGGAGGAGGAAATTATAATAATGGTATTAAGATAGGTGAATGGACAGAAATTGTAAGAGACAATCCATTTTAATATCATTACATTACTCATTATTTCAATAATAATGGTGAATTATATAATACTGTGGATATAAATTATTGTGACTTATCTTCAGATGTACTCAAAATCCTAGAAGAATATGAACAACCAAACTTTTAATCTAATTAGAATTCAGTAGTTAAAGACTTATCATCAAGAGTCTTTCTTTCACCAAAAGCATTTCCTAATGATAGAGTAAGATTAGGTTCATATTCATCAATTGGAAAGTCTAGTAGAAAGTTAGAGAAATATCTATGATATTATTATTAGATAGCAATAAAATTAATATTATCTCTTGTCTTTCTATATATATATATTATTAATTAATAGAATTTTAGTTATTACAATAATAATTAAAAAAAACATATGATATTTTTTTTTATAATTAAAGTCATAATAATAAATCTTCAATATCATCATCAAAATCTACTTATTCAGGAGCTGGTGCTTAATATTTTGGTTTATAAAAGTTGCTAGTATTTTATTAAAATCTATCATTTGACTCTTCAATGAAATCATCTGGATAATCATCTGAACTTTATTGGAATTAATTTTAAGCAATAGATTAATTTTGAAATTTAGATTTATTATCTTATAAAGGTTCAACATCATCATATGATTCTAAATCTCCTGATGAGTAATCTTATTATAAATCATCATATTTTATTGATTTTGAACCTGGTATTGTTGGTTATTTTTATTAATCTTCAAATTTTTAAATTTTTGAATCATAATTAGATTAAGAATATCCCATTGATTATTAAGGATCCATATAAGATGATTATTATTGATTAGTTAAATAACTTTATTGAATAGGATTTTAATTAGATATTTTTTAATTATAATTTTATTTAGGCATACTTTCATTAGATAGAAAGTCTTCTTCTAAATCTTATTCAAAATGTTATTAAGATTTTTATTATTAAAATTAGATTTATTAATTATTTTATATTATTTTTGAGGGGGAATAATGTTTTTTTTCAGTTATTGATTTATTTTTTGAATTTTAATTATTACTATGTTATTACTAATCCTATACTTATTATGATGGTTATTATTTAACTTTATTTTAATCTGATTCTAATGATTATTCGAAATCTGGAGTTGATGGTCTTTTATGTTTTTTCTTTCCTTTTCTGATTGGTTATTTAATTTCTTAGACAACTTATGCTGCTACTAATTATGTAAAATTTTAAATTAGCTTTGCAAAATTGTTTTATAATTAGACCATTTGTGTTTAAGGTTGTTGAGGTTGTGTTTTTTACAAAAATAATTCTGGATTATTTTATTATAATGAAAGTAATTTTTGTTTTCTTTTTTAAGTTTTTTTTAGAAATATTTATCTTTCCATTTCATCTTATTATTCTTTAAGATTTTTTTTATATTCTAAATCTTATATGACTGTTCCAATATGTTCTTTTGATTAATCAAATAAAATTTCTTTTAAATGATCTTCATAAATTGGTAGATCATTAACAATCATATATTGAACTAAATCTGGAGTTAATAAAGGTATCACTTTTTCAACATGTTACTCTTTTGATTTTTTTATTAATTCTTCTTTAACTATTTGTAATAATTATTCTTATTTTAATTACATATATAAATATTAATAAATTATAATCAATCAGTTTTAAGTTTATAATAAATATAATCAATAAGTATATTATTATTAATTTATCATATAAATCTATTAATATATAAATACAATTGATTATTATTGATATAGAAAATTGAATTAAAAATTCAGATTTTTAAATAGATTCTGTTACTTCATTTATATAATATTTTTTTGTATTAAATAATAAAAGTTTGTATATATAAAATTGATACAAAAGATAAATTTTTACATTATGTATATGTTATAAATAACAAAAAAGATAAGTCTATTCATTTTAACTGATATTATCTTATTTGTTTAAATTATATTTATTTGGATGACAAATTTATATGAAATTTGAAAAATTAAAGAACAATTATCATATACTATAACTATGTTCGAATATATCAATATATTGATTTTTTGAATTTTGTAAAATCTAATTGACCACTCTTCAGTTTAGAAGAACTTAGCAATTGTTGAATTTTTGATATTGACATTTTTATATCTAATGGTGTTTAATATCCTGATTAATGTTAACTATCTTGTATTTTTGTACTAGGAGTATGGAGACTTTATTTAGAGATTGTATTTAGGTTATATTTAAAATTAGCTAATTTGATTCGAAAATTGGTTGGTGGTGCATGAATTCTTTGTGGTTTTTCATGTAAAGAGGGACTATAAATTGCTTATGCTTATTTTAATGATGAGAGAGTAATTTTTTTATTGCTTTTAAATCTATTGATTGTTTTCGAGGGTTGTTTTTGTGGCTTATTGAATTATTTTTGATAAAATTAAAGACTAAATAAGGATGATGGAGTATAGTTTTTATTTTCTTCTTCTTTCACTATCAAAATGCTTTCATATTCTTAGTCATAGTTGAGATGCTTTTCTTATATTTCAGTCTTAAATCTGCGATTCATTAACGATTATATTTTATATAATATTTTGAAGCTGGAAAGAATTCCTATTAATTAAAATTTATGATCAAATTTAGTATAAAGAATAATTATGAAAAATTATCTATTTTTTATTAATTATAAATAAGAATACAAAATAAATATAAGTGAATATCTATGATTATTATTATATAATGTAATATATTTAATTTATTATGCTATCTTTTATTTTATATTATAATTAAATAAACAAATAATTTTAGTATTATTAATATCTATTATGATATATAATGGATAGTAATAAACTTTCATATTAATGGATAATATTTAAATTATAAAAACAATGTTTATAACACTTTTTTATTTGCTATCTTTATTCAATTTATTATTTTAATTTGAGAAAATTGCAAATTTTTGAATGAATAAAATTTATAGATAGTACAATTTAGAGCGTTTGCGTCTATAAAAATCTTAATTAGAGTCAATCAAATTAGACAGTAATTATCGATCATATATCAAAGGATCTGAAATGAAAAGAGGAACTGGTAAGAATGCAATTAGAAAAGTTTTTGGAATTGATGAATCAAGCAAACATGAATATGATATTTATGAAAGACAACAAATAGATTCATTTAAGAAATGTTTAGATGATGATAATCAATTATTATCAGATGAACTTATACTAAGATTCTTATATGCTAATTAATTTGATTTTGATTAGACAATTTAAGTAAATATAACCTTTTAAAAAAATAAGCATATGCGCACTCATCATTTATGGATTACTAATCCTAGTAATTTTAAGTGGACATTAAATGCTGAAGAGATAATAGTAAGGAATAGATAACTATATTAAGAAATAAGGAGCAATATATATAAGTGGAAGAGGATTGGGTTTGAAGCCAATTGTTGTAGTAAATGCTGATAAATTGGATATCTCTACTTATCCTATTGATGAAATGATTAAGGCTATTTCAATTATCTTTATGGTTGTGAAGGATTATATGTTAGCATCTGGGAAGGTTGAAAGTTGGTATGTAATCGTTGAAGCGAAAAATACAACAGCATATAAGATTCCATTTAATGTAATTGTATTAATATATTATGGTAGCATTTGAATTAGATTTTTGAGGTATTGAAACTAAATTTCCCATGCTATTTAGAAAGAGTGTTTATCTTGCAACCTTAAACATCAATCTAAATTACATGGTAAATTGTAGAGTAGTTTATTCCTCACAATTCTCGTCACAAAGTAGAATTTATTGATAACGACTATTCTCTCTTATTTAATTACATAAAACCTAGATAATTAGAATAACGACATGGAGGTAGGGCACCAAATGTATATGATTATTGGCCACCACATGTTGATGATTTTAATGAAGTGGAATTCTTAGAGAAATAGAAATTGGAAACACAAAAGATCAAAGAGTAAATAAGTGCACTTTAAAAAGTTATGCCTTTTACTTCAAATATTGATTTTGCAGTTTCAGATTTACTAAGGAAATAGTATAAACCTAAAACAAAAGTTTATTAATAAGAAACATATTTAGATACAACTAATTATTATGTAAATAAAACAGTAACTAAAACTATGTTATTAAATGGACCTAAAAAAGAACATGTAATCTCATATTAAAGTGAGCAATAAATATAATAGTAATAGAAAACTTAAGAATTGAATACATCTCTAGAATAGAATTAGAGGATTGCAAATAATAATAATTAATAAGGTACTTATTTTCTTTAATAACCTTAATAATAATAATAAACAATTCCTCTATAAAGTCGATTTGTAGGTTCTAAGACAAAATTAAATGAGACATAGGGTTCTCTTTTAAATGCAGCAAATTAGAATCCATTATTTCAATCAAGATTTGTAGGCATAAGAACTTAACATTTAGTAACAAATAAAGATGTTAGTATAATGCTTAACAAAGATGAGAGAGTGTTGAATCATTCTTAATTAATGTGAAATTTGTAATATCTTAAAGATTTATAATATATATTCTTATTCAAATCTTTATTATTTATTATGATAATACTTTAAATTTAAATTGTATTTGTATATTAAACATTTAGAATTCATCTTATCTATTGAGGATTAGAAAATAGTTAATTGTAATATGAATTTGGTTTTCAAATCCGTTTTTATGTATATATTAATATAAAAATGAAGTGGACCTTGATTATTGTGGCTATTTCTATGTATGCTTTACATGGAAATTCAGATCTTGATACTGTTAAACAATTACTTACAGATTTGAAAACAAATGTGTAATTGGACATTGAAGCATTAGATGCAGCTTGGGAATTACATAAAAATAATAAGTAATCAATAATAGATGCTTTGGGTTTTTCAACTTAAGAATAGAGATCAGAATGTTCAAAGAAGGATGAAGATGTTGAAAGTAAAAAGAGAGACATTAAAATTACTAATGATTTTATAGCATGGATGGAGAAAAGATAGAGATTAAATTCCAATCGTTTGGGAGTATTAGAATAAAATAGGTACTTTTACAAACTCATGCAAATAGATGTCAATCAAGCAATAATTATGTTCATGATATTAAGAATTATAAAATTGCATTAGCATTAGTGAAATTTTTAAGAGAACAATTAGATAAATTAGATAACAATGCATCTCCTGCTTAGAAATAAGAATTTTTGTAAAAAGTAACCAAATTTGTTTAGATCTATTAAACAGGTAAACTTTTAACAATGGTTGAAAATTTATAAATCAATAATGATGGCTCATATGTCTTACCAACTGTTGAAGGTGATGAATATGATCTAAATGAATCTATTTTATCTTCAACAAGAGGAAAAAGAAATACAAATAAAATTCTTATTTAATAATAATAAACAACTGTTATTGCATAAAATGATGGAGATGATAAAGCAGATAGTGCAGTTGTTTTGATTCCTAGTTAATGTGATGATTCAATCAATACAGTTATTGTTGTATAAAATGATGATGGTACAGGTAATGATGATGATTTACATATTAAATTTACTAATGGAGGATCTAATACTAATGGTCATACTAAACCTATTCCTAAACCTCATGTTGATCCTATTCATAAACATCATTCAGAAGAATATGTAAGTGGAGAAGAATTTATTGATAATAATTAAGAAGAAGTAGATGATAATGAAGAAACTGAAGAAGAAATTGATGATGATAATAATACAGAAGAATAAACACATGATCATGATGATAATAATACAGAAGAAGAAAAAAATGATAATACACAAGAGGAAATACATAATGATGATGATAATAATAATGAGGAAAGTAATCATTAAGATAATAATGATACTACTGATAATGATTAAAAAAAGACTGGGGATGATGAATCAGTTAGTAAGCCATCAGTTACTGAAGAAGAAGATTTAAGTGTATAATTATAGAAATTATATTAAGGATATTAGAAAGGTATTAGATGCCATTGAAAAACATAGTAGAAAATCGTTAGATTTAGAATAAGAAGATGAAGTTAGAAGTTCTATGATTTATATTGATTTTAAACTACACATTGAATTAGAAAATCAATATTTTAATAAATAAATTGCTGGAGAAAAAGAAAACTTAGTATATTATTATTCTTATTTATTATTAGATCAAATTAACTAATCAACTTACCAGTAGAGTCTCTATTTCAAGATAATGTAATGCAAGACTCAAATAAATTTCTATTGCTTTTTAAGTCAGCTAAGATGTAATCTCTTTCATTTTTATATATAATAGGATTATAATGATTCATATTAACATTACTTAGAACTTAGAAAATCAAAGGAATATGAGTTGGCAACCTTTGAAGATATTTACAGAATTTATACCAATTAGGTTGTCTGAATTATATTAAATAAAAACAAATTTATTTATACAAATTAATTTATAATATGAGGTTGGACACATCTGTAATCATATAATTTTATTTACTTTAGTATCTAGCTTATTTGACTAAGGATGAATTGAGAGTACTTGTAGCTGTGGAAATGGGCATGAAGAATCATGAATATGTACCTGTTTCATTGATTGAAAAAATATCAAAAGTTAAAAGAGCCAATGCTTATTAAATTTTACAATAACTATTGAAACACAAACTTGTTTAACATGTGGCTAAAAAATGTATAACTCTTCAATTAATTCATTCTAGATGATGGTTATAGACTCACATATTTGGGTTATGATTTCCTAGCCTTAAGTGCTTTCTATAAAAGAGGTACCATAGTCTAAGTTCTTTCTAAAGTTGGAGTTGGAAAAGAATCTGATATTTATAAATGTATCAATTCAGATGGTAATTTTGTCATCCTTAAATTGGCTCGATTGGGTAGAACATCTTTTAGAACTATTAAAAATAAGAGAGATTACATTAAAAATAGAACATAATATAATTGGCTATATCTTAGTAGATTAGCTAGTATTAAAGAATATGCATATATGGAAACTTGCTATAAGAATGGATTTCCAACACCAAAACCATATGATTGGAATAGACATGCTATTGTAATGTCTTTTATTGATGGATATACTTTATGTAGTATTTAAGAACTTGGTGATGTAGATGGAGTATTTATCTAATGTATTAACTTAATTGAAAAGTTTGCAAGTCATGGACTTATTCATTCAGACTTTAATGAATTCAATCTTATGATAACAGAATAATAAAAAATTCTAGTCATTGACTTTCCTTAAATGGTATCAACTTAACATTTAAATGCAGACTTCTATTTCTAAAGAGATTTAGATTGTATTAACATCTTTTTTTAAAGAAGATTTAAAGCAAATTTGCATTCAGATTTGAAATTACAAGATATTAAAGTTATTAAACATCTTGATCATGAAGTCAAAGCATCAGGTTTTATTAAATCGGAACTTAATGATAATAAGGAATTAGAAATTTTAGAAGCAGCATTATAAGAATAATAATAATTTTAATAAGAAAATGAAAATGAAAAATTCTAATAAGATGATGATGATGAAGATAATATTGGTTAAGATGATGATGATGAAGATAATTAAGATGAAGAGGGTTAATAAGATGATGATGATGAAGATGATGAAGATAATTAAGACGATGAGGATGATGAAGATAATTAAGATGATGAAGATGATGAAGATGATGAAGATAATTAAGATGATGAAGATAATTTAAATAATCAAGAAGATGATTAAAAACATTAAGAAGAAAATAATAATCAAGAAAATAAAGTATAATAATTATAAGATACTTAAATTCCAAAAAATCTAACTAAAATCACAGAATTAGACCAAAAGAATATTAAAAAATTTGTTTAAAAGAAATTTCGTAAAAAGATGGTTATTAAAAAGAATATCAATAAAACTAAAGGAATGGAGGATAATAAAACATTAACTGAATAAGCACTCCATTATTTATGATTTGTTAAATGTCATTTATTCTATAATTAATATGTCATTTTTACATAAATTCAAATTTAAATAGTTTAATTATTTATATAATTTCTATTCATATATATATATATATCTATATTAAATTCAGCATATTATCCATCTATCTTTAAATCTTAATATGGTCTTTGTTTCCATAGTTTCCCCATCTTTGTTTTCCTAATTCTATATGACAAATAATTCTTATTTATAAATAATGCATTATTAATGCCAAAATCCTCCTGGTATTTTTAGAGGTTTGATATTCACCATATGCAATATATGATTTTCACCTTTGATTGTAAAAAGAAATGATTGATTTGAACTAACAGTATTTTCATCATAACCACCAAAGATCATCAAAGAATTAGGCGAGATTTACACTCCAGCTGCAAATTACTTTAGGCCTTTAAATAAAGGAATACTTTGAATATATAGATGATATTTACTCTTTATTTGTTATCTGAGGATCAATAGCCTGCCATATCATATCTTTTATATTAAATCTCTCAATAAAATTCATTTACTATTTTTCATACAATCCTCCAAATTTGTATATGAATTAATTATTATAATTTACACAACAAGAGGCTATAGATGGATATAAACAATCCTAGATTGACTCACTTTTTCTTAATATATAATTATATCTTTCACAAGTCTTCTCTAAAGTTTGATTTTATCCAAGTCCAGATATTGAGTAAATATAATCCCCTACAATACAACAACCATGGGATGATCGACTGATTAAGAGAGACCCAACATTCACTAAAGAATATTTATCAAGTAAATATATTCCATTTGATTTAGTGTTAGGATAGTTGTTATCAATTGTGGTTCCTCCAATAAGATATAATTAGCCAGTTTTAGTAATTAGCGATTAATGAAAAACAGGAATTTAGAAGGGTATTTTTAAGTTAATTTTCTTCATTTCTTTTGGATTATCAAGATTGATTAAATTTAATTCATTACTATTATATTTAAAATAATGAAGGACTTTATTTTATACACTTGGTAATAGATAATCTTCGACTGTAATAGTGAATTCTGATTGTTTTTTAACTTATTAAATTTCACTTATCTAAGATAGTAATGGTGTCTAATCCAAAGATGGAACATCTTGAATATTAATTGGTTGATTAATTAATTGTTATTTCTCTTCAATTTTTAACATAGTTGTATTTGTTTTTTTAAATTGTATCTAAATGGATTATGCAAATAATTCATCAAGTTTTTAATTTAAATTTTGAGAGACAACTAACAATGGAAATTCTTTATGAATTAAAAATAATTACTCAATTTCAAAATTTCTTTGTAAGCCTCTTAATTAGCTGATTAAATTAATTAAGTAGTATTTAGTAAGTAAATGCTTCTAATAGTTTTAATTTAACAATCACTTTAAGTTTCTAATTTAGTTCCTAGTTCATCTAATTATTAAATTAAATTTTTGATTCTATTGTAAACTTCTTTAATTTATGATTCCTATATAAATAAAGAATAATATTACTTTAAATGCTTAGATCAAATTAGTACTAAAGTCTTGAAGTAACTTTTTATTATATAAATCAATTTTATCAATTATTTTTGATTTTAATTGTTAAAGTGATTCTCTACAGAGTTCAATATATTATGAAGAGTTTTCAATAGTTTTCATTTCTTATAATGACAAGATCTAATTCATTTCTGATATTGAAGATCGTATTTTTTTGGAACAATTAGTTCTACAGGATTTCAAACTTTCAATTTGACATTCTTTGTGTTCTCTAAAATGAATTTCAATACATTCTGGACATAAAGGTTATAGACATTTAGTATTGATGCACATATTAGTACATGGTTCTTGATGTATTTAACATAGTTCATTTGAATAATAAGTAAATTATTAACTCATTTATTATTAATTTCATAGATTATTACTTTGTTATTCATTTCTAAAATGATAATTATTTTGTAATAATAATAATCTCTATAGTTTATTGTATTAATAGAAATTATAAGTTATATAAAATAATGAATTTCAGCTTAGACGAAATGAGAAAGGAATAGATTGAAGATATGAAAAAAGTAAGATCAATTAAAAAATAAATATAACATGATATTGAGAAATTAAAAAGTGAAATCTAATTAAAAATTACATTTGAGTACTCTAAGAATAAAATCTAGAAGATGTTTTGGAAAGAAAAGAAAAAAGATTATAAGAGGAAACAATTTTAAGAAGAGAAACATATTAATAAAGAGTATTAAATTTTTTATAAAATCGTTAATAATTATAGAGATTATAATCATAATAGATTTTATAGTAGACAGAGTGCAAGATTTAAAAAATATAAGGAGTTCTCATGAGTAAATGAAATCTACTGTATAAATACATATATTCAATATGTTTTACTTTAATGTAAGCAAATAAACATGAAGAATAAACAGCTTAAAAGATATCGAGAGCAATTTAATTAATTAATGATCCTGATTTATAAATGTAGTTTAAACCAAATAAAAAATTGATTATATTATAGAAAATAGCAGAAGAAAAAATTAGAAGAAATGTAATCATTCTTAAAATCATTTGTAATTAATGAAGTTGATTTAATAAGATTTTCTAAATTTATAAATATAATAAAAATAAAGAAAATTAATAATAAAAATGATATCATATTTTATTATTATGATATATATTTATTTATTCTACATCATTATTATTATTATTATTATTATTATTATTTCTTTAATGACTCTAAATATTGATTATGAATCTTATTTTGTTTTTCCCATAATTCTTAAACAACTTTCTTTTATTTTTTAGATAATTCATTTCCCTCCTTATCTTTTACAGGTATACCTTTTTCATCAAATTCAGAGTATTTATCTAATTAAGATAAAAACATATCTTTTGGATGAATCTTTGCCTTTTCTAATTTCTCTAATTCCTCTTATTTCTTTTTCTCTTCTTCTTTCTTCTTAATCTATTCTTTCTATTAAATAAGTTTTTATTATTATTCTCTCTCTAATTTCAATTCTTTTGGATCATATTATTTCCAAATTGATGCCTTATTATTATTATATAATTTTATACTTATTCTTTATCTTTATCTTCTATTTTAATTCCTAACTCAAATAATTATTCATCTCTCAATTTGTCACATAATTAAAATAATTACTATTTATTTTTTTCTTAAGAAGCAGCTAAAACTTATTATTAAAATTAGTTAATGCAATCTACAATTCCATTTGATAAGTTCTTTTCATATTAGAATTATTTCTAAGTTACAATATTTGAAATAGCTTCAAACTCTCCCTTTCTAGCAGCCAATTTCACTTAATCTCTTATAGAACATACTTCTGCCATTATAAACTTAATATCTGATGAACTATTATTTTAAGTTTAATAATTGAGTCCAATTAACTAAATAAATTAATTAATATATGTACTCCCAAAATAAAATGAACATATTGAACAACACTTTGAATTAGTGGAGCTCTAACTGTTTTATTTGCAATTTATACATTAACTTAGTTAATTAATTTATCAATTGCATCTATAACAGTTGGAAAATCAAAATTCTTAAGTAAAGCTGCATGGATCACTTATTTTGTACTTCTAAGTGAGTTACTGATTAAAAAGTCATTTTATGTCCATTTTTAAGGACCTGTAACCTATGATTCTCTTAAATAGATTTTGGTATTTTAAAAGAATTCTTGATATGCCTTATCTTTTGATATTGCTTATTCAACTTGCTCTTCAGAATAATTCATAACTGCATCATATTAATGAATTGCAAAATTTAATCTGATTTATCTAGCAGTGTATCTTTTGAGTACTTCATCAATAGTGAGGAAGTTCTTAAGAGATTTAGACATTTTACGATCAGCAATATTAAGATGACCAAGATGAATAAAATAATTGATCCATTAATCACAATTGAAACATGCTTCAGCTTATGCTAAAGAATTATCATGATGTGGGAATATCAAATCAATACCTCCTGCATGTAAATCAATAGGATTTCCCAATATAGCACTAGCCATAACTGAACATTCAATATGCCATCCTGGTCTACCTTCTCCCCAAGGACTAGGCCATTTAGGTTCTTCTGGTTTACTGGCTTTCCATAATGCAAAATCATTAGGACTTCTTTTTTCTGATTATTTATTGGCTTATGATTCTCCTTCACCTTCTTATAATAAATCTGCATTCATTTCTGGTCTCATTTTTGGATATGTATGCTATAATATATAATAAAAATGATTTACTCCATCTGCCAAATATTTTTGAACATCAAAATATACACTTCCATTACTATCATAAGCATATCCATTGGCAATTATCTTTTCAATGAATGTAACAATCTCAGGAACATAATCACTAACTCTAGTTATTACATCAGGTAATTCAATATTGAGTGCTTCCATGGCAGAAAAGAAATCCTTTTCCCATACCTTTGTAAATTCAAGAAATTCTTATTTAGCTTATTTAGCCCCATTAATAATCTTATCATCTATATCTGTGATATTCATAACACTCAAAAGATCATAATTAAAATAATCTCTCAATGTTCTTCTTATTACATCAATACCCAAATATGTTCTATAAAAATATACATTATATAATTACCTAGCATGACCCAAATGAGAATTGCTGTAAACTGTAGGACCACAATAGTAAAAGCTTAATTTTAAAACTTATATCATACTTAACTTATCTTCCATTTATAGGAATGAATGGGACTAATTCACTACCCTTCAAAGAATTAGCTAATTTTAAGCCTGTAACATAAGAGTCTTCTTTAATTGATGGCTACTTATAGTGAGCAAATAAATCTTTTTATTGTTGCATAAATTAATTAATGGTTCTTGTTGCAAATTTAATCATTTATGAAAGAATTTAAAAACATTTAAATCAAATAAATACTTAGTTAATATAAGAATCATATACATAATATAATATTCATAAAAATTCAATATATTAAAATTACATATTCCATTTCTGAATTCATACGATATTATCATAATAAATAATAAGTCATTTGACTTAGAATATTAATACACCAAACGTTAAAAAATAAAATAAACATAATTAAAAATAATGGATATAGACCTTCTTTCCATTCCTCAAGATTCATTTTCTACTTCCTTTTAATAAAGAAATCATAATAGTAAATCAAATAAGGATATTTTAATAAAAGAAAGTAATATCATATGTCATTCAATAATTACCTATCAATTTATAAAGCTTGTTTTATTCTTAGCATATTATTAAGAAACCCTTGCATCCCCTTTATGTAATGCTGCCTATCTAATTTTCATTCATGATGTTATTACTTTACTTTTCTACATGATATTAGAGTAAAAATTGTATTAAATCAAATAAGTGCTTTAACTTTTAAATTCACCTACAAAGAACTATTTAAAGAAGATTAAATTCTTAATATTTTTGAATTGAATCACAGTTTAATATTTTTGATTCTTTAAGAAGTTTTTTCATCATTTAGACCTTTGAATGGAATAGTATTCCTTTATAAGATCTAATAAAAGTGGTTTAAGTATCCTTTAATTATAGTGAGAATACTCTATTACTTCACATCAATCTATTATTTAGTTTAATGGTTAAATAGTTCTCAAGAAAATAGTTTACTAATAAGATAATAATTAATTGAATTAATTATACTTTGGTTTACAACATTGACTATTATGATTTTAATTGGAATTGTTATAGTTATTAATATCACCTTAAGAAAACAGATTAGATTTACATTCTAAAATAAATTATAATAAAGTATTTCAAATCAATTAACTGAAATCAAGTTTTAAGATCTGATTTAATCATTTTAAGGATAAAATATAAATTGGTATTATTAAGAATTAATTTCAGTCCTATTTGTTATGAATAAATTAATGAATTTGATACTATTATTCAATTACCTTGCCATTAAAAACATTTATTTCATTCATAATGTTGTAATTAATGGTTATTCTAAGATCTTCGATGTCCTCTCTGTAGAAATGAACTTCAATGTAAAAAATAATATTCAATTAAAGTTTCTTGTTTTTGATTAATATATTTATAATCTAAAACTTATTTAAATAATTTAGAAATCTATTTTAATTCAAATATTCTCTAATATAAACATTATAAAAAGCTCTTATTATAAATTAATTATAATTTAATCATTTTTTTCTTTACGAATCAATAAGAGTAATGGATTTTTTATATGGAATTGCCAATTTATCTTATGGTTTCTAAATTGTATGAGAACTCCTTTATGTTTCTATATGTTCTGCTGTTGGTTTAATAAAGATTTTGGGTCTCAGTAACCAAATTTTGTATACCCAATTGAAACATTAATCTAATGATGGTTGATCTTAAGATTTCTAATTCTTATATTTTAGATTGACAAATTACCATACCTATTGATAAAATAAATAATTAATTTACTAGATAACTATCCATATTTGAGAATTATTCTTATTAGTCCCAACGAGATTCAATTTTCATTGTTCCTTATTACCATAAATAACAACAACTCATCCATCTACCATACTCTTTTTCTGCATAATATTGAAGAGCAATATACATAATTTTACTAAGTTTGATGGTTGTTGTACTTATTTACAGAATTTACTCATACAATTATTAACCCAATGTTATTTCAGATCTAAATCTAATATATTATAATTATACCCTGCAATAGGAATCTCTTAATTTATATCAATATTTTAAATACTACTTTTCTCCTAACTTAAAATAAGACTTGTCCTTTTATTAAGATTTGTATTTTGAGATTGTTCTTAGTGTTTGTATTAATTATCAATTGCTCTACATAATTTAATGGTTTCCAGAATTACAAGATGACTAACTGGATTTGATTTACCTATTCCTAATATTAATTTTGTTATATTGATTATATCATCATCAGTATTTTTTATAAGATCCTTAAGGAAATGCGCTTTATTGAAATCTATTTCTATATATTACATAAATAATTCAGGTCCTGACATATTGGGGAATTGATGTATATTTTATACTAAAAATGATAAAAAATCATTTGGATTTGTTTTTTACTCTTTTGCTCTTATCTATAATAGAAATATAATAGGATTAATAAGTAAATAGTCATCATTAAACCCTGGATAATCTAATAGATTTAATTCTTCATATGTGAATTCAGTGAATGATTTTTAATCTTTACGTTTTAGTAGACTTGCCAAGTTTTTAACAGAAGTGCTAACTTATTTTTATGAATCAATCATATTTTTTTAAAAGACATTAAATTAAAAATCCATTTCTTTTAAATCCAAATTAATTTTTCTAATTTCTCCTTCTGCATTCTCTAAATTATTTAATTCCTCAATTTTTGTTTCCAATTCTGCATACATTTATAGCCATTTCAAATTCTCTTCTTTTAGATGTAAATTCTTTTTCTATTCTACTGCAACTCTTAATTAATGTCCTTTTACTTTTTAAATATATTTTTCTCTTAAAGCATCCAAACTGAATTAACAATCTTTTAATTATGCTTCTACTGCTCCAACTTGAATATCTAATAAAGCTTTGTATCTAGTTTATGACCATTGAGTATTAAGATCAAGAAGTACTACCCAAAATTTCCATAATTATTCAATAAAGATTGCAAGAGTTTTATCATCTATAATTTTGATTAATGATGTTATAAAGTCATCCATTATATTGATTGCTTTAATGAAAAAATCAAATCTAAAATTATCTGTAATGTTTCTTTCCTTTTTTTCCTTAATTCCAATTTAATCTTTATCAGCCAATGATTCATATAAAAATAATTCTTACATTATATTTTTATCGAGATTTATTAATGTTTCATACATTTTAAAGAGCAAATTAGGATGCTTTTCATAAAGATTCATTCCATGATTCAATTATTATGTTTCATAAAAATTAATATTGAGATGATTAATTACAGTAGGAGCTACTAATTTAGCTTCTTTAACAATTTTATCATGATTATTTGACATAAATGATTCTTCTATATATCTTTAATAGATTTGTAAGGGTATTTTAGATGCATTCTAATTTTCAATGATTCTACTAGTATTTGTATAGCATTTTCTAGATGAAGATCCAATTTATGCACTTTTGACTCTTTGACTAGTTTCTGTGTTTATACGAAGAACAGGTTTTGTGTTTTTATAAACTCTCTCTGTATATTAACTTGCTTAATTTGTACTCAATGAATAAGCTGATTTGGCAGATTTCATTTGATTATTTTAAATATAAATATTTAGTAACACTCAATAAGTGAATAGAACATATTTTAGGATATAAAAAGAGAAATCTAATACTACTAAATTTACAACAACTAGACTCCATTTAAAATATTTTATAATATTGTGATAATAATATAATTTAAACTTTCTTTTATAATAAAAACTTTGTTTTTCTATAAACATAAAGTATTGATAATAAAAAAATGAACCCAAAAATGTCAATGGTATTACCGTTGCCTTAATTAAAACTTGAAAATAATGATGAATACGAGAATAGAATCACTCTAAGATTATACATAGAGAAGCTGTTAAATTAAAAAGTTGGGAGGTATGATTGATGTAAAATAGATATCTCGAGATAATATCAGGTATTGCAAGTTTGGCTAGTGTAGGAATATATATAGTTTCAACTTATTTTGATTCAGTTGAGTGGTTAGCTACTTTGGATATTGTGGTTTGTTCTTTATATTTGACAGAGTATTTATTGAAATTATTTGCTGCTTAACATAGATTGTAATATATATTTTCTGACTTTGCTATTATTGAGTTGCTGACTCTATTTCCTCTTTTTACAATTTAATCAGTAGGAAATTGGAATTATTTGTAACGACTTATTAACATATCTCGAATTTTAAGAGTATTTCGAGTAATAAGAATGATCAACAAATTGTAATAATTATCAGACATTGAATATGGTGGAGTGACTAGATAAATATATGTAATATTTTCAACTGTTACAACAATTATTATTGTAACTGCTGGAGTATTATATGCATTTGAATTTCCTAAGAGACAAGAATTAATAGAGAATGATCCAAATAAAGGATGTTCTAATCAGATTGATAAATGCCATTTCCATGAAATGATATACTTCACTATAGTTACATTATCTACAGTAGGTTATGGAGATGTAATACCATATAGTGAAGAAGGACGAGTATGTGTTATTGTACTAATTATTATTGTACTTGTTGTGATACCTAAACAGATGAATGAATTGATTAGATTAATGGGATTATAAAGTGTTTATGCTAGATCATTCTATAAACCNTTGGCAGATTTCATTTGATTATTTTAAATATAAATATTTAGTAACACTCAATAAGTGAATAGAACATATTTTAGGATATAAAAAGAGAAATCTAATACTACTAAATTTACAACAACTAGACTCCATTTAAAATATTTTATAATATTGTGATAATAATATAATTTAAACTTTCTTTTATAATAAAAACTTTGTTTTTCTATAAACATAAAGTATTGATAATAAAAAAATGAACCCAAAAATGTCAATGGTATTACCGTTGCCTTAATTAAAACTTGAAAATAATGATGAATACGAGAATAGAATCACTCTAAGATTATACATAGAGAAGCTGTTAAATTAAAAAGTTGGGAGGTATGATTGATGTAAAATAGATATCTCGAGATAATATCAGGTATTGCAAGTTTGGCTAGTGTAGGAATATATATAGTTTCAACTTATTTTGATTCAGTTGAGTGGTTAGCTACTTTGGATATTGTGGTTTGTTCTTTATATTTGACAGAGTATTTATTGAAATTATTTGCTGCTTAACATAGATTGTAATATATATTTTCTGACTTTGCTATTATTGAGTTGCTGACTCTATTTCCTCTTTTTACAATTTAATCAGTAGGAAATTGGAATTATTTGTAACGACTTATTAACATATCTCGAATTTTAAGAGTATTTCGAGTAATAAGAATGATCAACAAATTGTAATAATTATCAGACATTGAATATGGTGGAGTGACTAGATAAATATATGTAATATTTTCAACTGTTACAACAATTATTATTGTAACTGCTGGAGTATTATATGCATTTGAATTTCCTAAGAGACAAGAATTAATAGAGAATGATCCAAATAAAGGATGTTCTAATCAGATTGATAAATGCCATTTCCATGAAATGATATACTTCACTATAGTTACATTATCTACAGTAGGTTATGGAGATGTAATACCATATAGTGAAGAAGGACGAGTATGTGTTATTGTACTAATTATTATTGTACTTGTTGTGATACCTAAACAGATGAATGAATTGATTAGATTAATGGGATTATAAAGTGTTTATGCTAGATCATTCTATAAACCTAATCATGAGATTCCACATATCATTATTTGTAGTTATGTTAGTGTACCTTCTTTAAAGAATTTCTGTAATGAATTATTCCATTAAGATCATGGAGGATAAGATAAAAATGCAATCATTTTGAAACCTTCTATACCAAATACAGAAATGGAAGACTTTTTACATAATGAGCGTTATGAAATGTTCCTCATTTATCTTCAAGGAAATCCAATGGTAGAAAGAGATCTAAGAAGAGCTGCTGTTACTTAAGCTAAAGCTTGTGTTATTTTAACTAATAAATAAATAGTAGATAGTCATTCTGCTGATCATAAGAATATTCTTATTGGATTATTAATAAAGAAATATGTGAATCATTTAACTGGTTGTAATATTAGATTATGTATGTAATTGATTAAACCAGAAAGTAAGATGCATTATAAATAATCATTGGGAGTTAAAATGATAACTGATTAAATTATTGTTGTTGAAGAATTTAAAATGAATTTGCTGGCCAAATCTTGCTTTTGTCCTGGCATTATAAGTTTATTAGGTAATTTAGTCACTTCAGCAGGTGAACAAAAAGAAAGTTTAGATTCTGAATGGCTTACTCAATACACTGATGGAATGGGTCATGAAATTTATAGAACTGATTTGAGTTTTAAATTTCAAGGAAAAACATTTAGTGAAGTAGCAGCTATTGTTTATAATGAATTCTCTGGAATACTATTTGGTTTGGAATTAGATTTTGGTAAACAAGCCATAATTAGACTTAATCCTGGTGTTTATACCATATCAAATACAAATAAAGTTCATGCTTATATCATTTGTCAAGATAAAAAAGTTGCAGATCTTGTTGCCACTTATGACATGACTACTGAAGAAATAGCCAATTATCACTTCTCATTGTAATCAAATATCACTGACAAAGACAAACCTAATGAAGAAGAAGAAGATAAAGCTGAAGATCCTTTATTATCTGGAAAAGATTAATTAGATGAATAAGATATCATAGAAAAAGATTATCTCTTTCTTAATGAACCTGTTTCTTTAATGGATGCTACTTCAATATTCTTATTGGAATAACCAGAGATTAATAATCATATTGTTGTTTGTGGTATCCATCCTTCTATCTATTATTTTTTGCTTCCTTTAAGAGCCAAATATTTGAAAGAAATTCAGTATGTTGTCATTTTAGCACCAGAAAAACCAACTGAAATTTGGGAATAAATTAATCGATTTCCAAAAGTCAAATTTGTTTAAGGATCTCCACTTATTTCTGAAGATTTATAAAGAGCCAGTATTCATTGTGCAGATAAGGCTGTAATATTTGCATAAAGTTCTGATGCCAACAAAACTGAAAGTGAAGATTTCTTAGATTAAATGCATGATGCAGAGAGCATTTTTATTTACAAAGCTATTAAAAAAATTAATCCTTCTATTTAGATCATGATTGAATTAGTCTCAAGTTCCAATATATAATTTTTACTTGACAAAGATTATAAATTTCAAAATGATTTCAAATATGAATTGGTAAGTATTATGTTAATTAGACTCCTCTATAAGCATCAGGAGAAGTCTACATTTCTGCCATGATTGACACTCTCACATGCCAAGCCTATTACAATCCACATATTGTTACCATATTGTAATAAATTCTAACTGGTATGAGATAATCAAACCCTGTGATCAAAGCTATTTGTGAAGATTTAGATATCAAAGATTCAAATCTATATCAAGTTCCAGTACCTGAAGATTATCTAGTAATTTATATTTTCATTTAGAATAAAACTTTTGGAGAATTGTTTAATTATTTGTCTATTGAAAGACATTTGATTCCTTTAGGTCTTTATAGGTTAGCTAAGGCTGTCGATAATAAGCATCCATATGTTTATACGAATCCTCCAGCTGAAACTACTCTCACTCCTAGGGATAAGGTCTTTGTTTTAGCTCATTAATTACCTGCAGATTTGAGTGGTATACCATTTGATGCTAATTCTGATCCAAAACAATTAAACACCAAAGAAGTGGAAAATAATAAGGCCTTGAACTTTCTTCTAGAAAAGCTGAAACAATAAACTTCATCTTAAAATGGTGTTAATAGGGTAGGTGGGTATTTATATTATTAAACAATTAGCCAAATAAAAGATTGATAAGACAGTCATTTTTTAAGGTTAATAAATTAAATAGACAAGAAATATAGAAACAGAAAACATGAATCTAAGTATTGAATTATATAAAATATTAAGATTTGGCAGCTCTACATGTATTAGATTAAGTGAATGAATAAATTTCTATAGTTAAAGATTAAATCAATGATATTAAAAATAGCTTGATCTAAAAGGAAGATGAGATAGTAGAAAAGTGCAGAAGAGCAATTAGGTATGAATTAGGAACAGTGATTTAATAATAGTGAATGCGTTTTTAATTAATATAAATATTTATATAATTATATTATATATATAATATAATTATATATATATATATTAAATACATGATTAATAAGATTAAAAAAAAGACAAATATGATAATCATTTAATCATCACTCTTATTGAATATTTTCTTTAATTAAACATGTATAAATAGAATCCATAATCAATTATATTCCTTTTGATATATAAAGTGGCTTAATGCATTTAAATTTTTACAAAAATGTTATTATTTGGTATTTTTAACTCGCTTATTTTAAATATCCCTATTCTAATAAGTAGATAATTTGATGTATAAATGGTTTATTAATATATTGCTATCATCTATTAAATTCTAAGGCATTATTTTTTATCTTAGATTTTTTTAATTCTTATTGTATTTGTCAGTATATTATTGTTAAAAAAATAAGTTTTTTTTAAGTTGCAGATCAACACCTCCATTATGTTTTAGAACAAAATAAACTTCATTTTTATGTTTTTTCACAGTAATTATTTAACAACAATTAAAATTTCAATAATTAAGATAAACTGGAAATTATCGTTATTTAAGGATTGAATCCCTAAAAAAAAAAACATTATTATTTTTATGAAAAACATGACTCTGGTCTTGGTTTTATTAGTATGCACTGCAGTCTAAGTATTTGGATAACAAGTGGTTGTTTCCTAATCTTTCACAGCAAACGATTTTACAGACGCAGATGGTAAGAAAAATTATTAATAATATAGGCTGGACGGTCGCTGGAGGACTTGCTCATGTTACAGAGTGCAGTGGCACAAAGATGTTTGGAGGTTTTGGAAAGTTTGGTGCCAGGGCTGTTGCAAGTAAAGTAATTGAACTTCCACCACATTCATTAATTAATTTAAAACTTTAATTTTGGAAGTATGATACATATAATAACATTATAGGATTGATTCATGGGACAATGAAGAAGCCTATGTCTTTGTTGATGACTAATTAGTATGGTCAAGAAGATTCTAATTCAATGAAGGTGAGGGACAAAAATGCGGTTAGGGAGGAGACTGGAGGGAAATGATTGTTAATCTTAATTTGAATGTTAAGCACACAGGTCCAACAGCAGTCATTGTTATTACATCCAACTTGAATGAAGCTGCTGATAATGTAAGATACAATTATAATTTATTTAGGAATCATGGGCTATTAGAGACTTTATTTTATCTGTAGAAAAATGTCCAGAAGGATGTGCTGCTTGCTAAGCTGATGATAAATAAGAAAACTGTAAATTCTGGTAATCTTTTGCTTCCAGTTGGACTGCCTTAGATTCTAATTAATTAGGAGCTGATGGTTGGGATGTTGCTGGTGGATAAGCTCATTCTACTTAATGTGGACGTAATTATTTAAATTAAATTTTTTAGCCGCTGGTGTTTTTGGAGGTCTTGATAAGATGATGGCTAGAGCAGTTGTTAGTAAAGTTCTTAGAGTCAAACCACATTACAAACTCAAGATCAAGGTACTTTGGGCTAAAGTTGACTCTTGGGATAATGAGGCTGCTTAAATCAAAATTGATGGAAAATTAGTTTGGGAAAGAAGATTCTAATGGTATGAAGGTTACTTTGGTAAGATATGTGGTTGCCCTGTATTTGAATGGAAATCAATGTTTGCTAGAACAGAAGTAGATGTTGATCATACTGGTGAACAAGTTAAGGTTGAATTTACTTCAACTCTTGATGAAATAGTACATGAATCTTTTGGTTTGAGAGATTTATATATTTTCTATGCAGCTTGTGCTGATAATTGTGCTGAATGTACAGGACCAAAGGATTCTGATTGCAAAAGTATTATAATACAATATTCAAAATAGAATGTGCCAACAATTGGGCTTTAGTTGGAGGTAAATGCTAAGCTTTACCAAACTTTATTCTTTTGGAATAATCTTTCTTGGAAGATAAATTCACTGGAATTAATGGTTGGATCCTTACAAACAATAAAGCAGGAAGAACTGTAGCTGAATGCAATGGTAAATCAATGGTTGGAGGTTTTGATATTATGGGTATTGGTGCAAGTGCCAAGAAAACATTCGAAATCCCACCACACAAGAGACTTAGATTGTAATCAACAATCTATAAGATTGACTCTTGGGATGGAGAATTCATGATTATTAAGGTAGATGGAACTGATGTATGGAAAACATCTTGGAATCTTTAAACTGGAGGTGCCAATATCTGTGGATAAGGTATTTGGTGGGATGGTTTCACTAATGTTGATGAAATCTTCAATCATCAAGCTCCAAAAGCTGAAATAGTCTTTACATCTACTTTGGATTAAGATGCAATAGATGGTAATACTATTTTTAACAATAATTAGAATCATGGGGTTTCAGAGACTTCAAATTATGGTATGAACCAAAGGAAGCTTGTGCAATATTCTACAGTGAATGCGATTTCAAAGGAGCTTCATTCGAATTTTGCTCTAAATCACCAGATTTCTAAAAAGACAACATTCCTCCATAAATTAGATCTATTAAGATTCCCCCATAAGGAAGAGTAACTTTATATGAGAACACAGATTATAACGGAAAGAAGGTTACTTATACCTCAGATTAAGCTTGTATCCAAAGCTTTGATGTAATAATTTTAATTATATTAAATTAGTTTTCATTGATTCAAATGAGTGGACATGTTGAAGGAGGTTGGATTGAAGTAGAGTAATGATTTATTAAATAAATAAATAAAGATATAAAAATAACATAATTTAAAAATATAATAGCATTATCATTTAATCTGTAATAATAATCCAAATTAATCAAATAATTTATCACAATAATAAAATTAATGACTAAATAATTCTGATAAAAATTAATCTATTGCTTTCATTTATTTTTTAACTGTTTCATGATCTTAAAGTGAAACTCTTAGATTTCTTTCTTATTAAATAATTTTAGTAGCTTCTTTTATTTCATCTATTGTTTTTTTACATTCTGAGACAAATGATTTTTTTTCTGTTTAGATTGTGAATCTTAAATTATAATAAACGATTCCTGGAAAAGCCTATGATGTTTCTGAACTAAAACAATCTACTTTAATTTATTTAATTTATAGGAAATATTCTTTTTAAGTAGAATTCATGAATTTATTAGTGTGTTTAGATATTTTTGTTTCTTCTTCAATCTTTTTAACTAATCCATATTTATTAATAATAGAATCAGGAACATTGAAAAATTCTAATATTTCTTTTCTCATAAGTATGGGATTTTAACTCATTCCATCTAACCATTGTTGAATATAAAACAATTTCTTTTCAATTTCAGCATCTCCATAAGATGGTTTAGGTAAATGTCCATTTGCTAATTAATATAATTCTAAATATTGACAATTCTAAACCCATTAATCATTCTTAACTTTAATAGTTATAGGGATTAGAACTTTATGTTAATAGTTGATTAATTTTTTAACAACTTATCTTCCTACTATGAATTGAACTTTTTCCATTTTTTATTAAACATAGACTCCACTCTCACTTTCATCTTCAGATAAAGTAGCAGAACTTAATTCATCCTTATATCTTTCATAATCACTTTTTTTATCATCATATTAATCACTATTTTAAGATTTATTATCATCATTTTTATCTTAGAATTCTTCAAAACTTTTAATTCTCTTAATCATTCTATTTCTTTTAGCAATAAGTCCTTCATCTTTTTATTTCTTTTTTTTCTACTATTTTTTCTTATTCAATTCTTATTAGATTTATTAAGGTATTACAATCAGTTTATCAGGATATTCATTGTCTTCAACAAAAGGAAACTGTTATTAAATTTAAGGAATAGGTTCTTACTTTAATGGACTTTCTACTCCTCCTAATTTATCTATGTCAACAATTTCAATAACTTGTTGTTACCATTATTGTTCAATTTTAGGTTAAATAATATTAGATGATTATTTATCATTACATTTTAATTCTTAGAATTAATTTATAGTATCTGCTTAATTTATTTTATCAATCTCATCATCAGAACGAATAATTTATATTTATTCATAATCAGAATCTTATTTAATTTCTTTTTAAGATAGAGATCTCTTTTCTGAGACTTAATTTCTATTATTCAAATTAATTTTTGGTATTTCCTCTTTAAATGATGGATAAGAGACATCTTCTGATTAAGAATTCTCTTCAATTATTATTTAGGATGATCTAACTTTTCTTTTAGGTAATTATTTTGGTGATTCAATAACTTCAATTTATTTATCCCAAATTTCATCATCATCTTTTGAAAATACAATATCCATAATTGCAAGTTGAGGATTTTTAATATCTAATTTAGTTGATTATCTAGTTTAATTAATTAGAAATTAAGCCACTTAAGTAGTTGGATGTTGTTATTATTAATGTGTTTAGTTTTATAGAGTAACTAATAGATGATCTTAAACAGTGGGTTCATTCAATTCATGTAATTCAATCTCTTCTTAATATGTATTTGGTTAGAATTTCAATAAGATTAAGTATTATGCAATAAAACTATCTTATTATTCAAAAAATTCACAAAAAGGATCTATAATATGTCATAATCAAATAATTACTATATTCTAATGGATCATCACCTCTTTATCTTTAATAAATAACCAGAAGAGATGATAGTACTAAGCAAATGAGATCAAATATTTTAAGTATGAGTTCATTGCATATTAAATTGAATAGACAAATGAAAGGTAGAAAGGTTAAGAGTGATTCATGATGAAATATTACTGTAATTCCAAATGAATAAAATAATCCAATGATTAAGAAGAGACAACATAAAGCAGATAGTAAATCTTTATAGAAAAGTGCTACAATTAATTCAATTATTAGCACTATTGCAATTTAGAGTTGAAAACCAATCTTAATTTTTAAAGCAATTGTTTCTGGTTTATTTCTAACTTATTTGTAACCTTTGATTTTCATTTAAGCATAACCAGCATATACAAGTGGGAATAATCCAATAGCAAATTAATCCATAATAATTAATAAAGTATTATTATTATTATTATTATATCACTATGCGAATGTCACTAATTTGTCAGGATGACTAGGTGGCTATTCAGATTATGAGATTTCAATTGATTATCCATCTAGAGTGCTATTGCTTTCTTTTTTTGTTTATGTCATTTCAGAATAACGCATACGTTGATGTAATCTTCTGTTTTCTCTTTGGATGAGCATGATGATTGCAATTACCAATAGAACAATAATAATAAAAACACCTATGAATATATAAATAGCTGATGATTTAGTGTGATGAGTTTACCTGGTAGTATTTGTTGAGTTCATAGAATCAATGAATAATTATTTAATTATTTTAATCTTATTTTCAAATTATTAATTGTTTCATTCTATTTCTTCTTTACTTACAATAGACATTCTTAATATATTATTACCTAATTATATAAATAAAAAATATAAATTATTTTTATGAACAAAAGATCTCTTACATAAACTGAAAGAGCAACAAGTGCAGCAATAGGTAAAACTTAAATAAGTACATAACATAAACATACTTTTATGACATAAACATAAAAAACAGAGAATTTGTAAAAATTAATTATATTAATAGATTAAATTAAATTGTTGAATAGGAATGTCCACTCTATACATAATATAAATAAAAGAACCTTAATTATCCAATTATGAAGATTAAAGAATTTAAGAAACCATTAATTGATCCTGTTGATCATACTGATTATATTAAGTTTAAAAAAATGAAGAATAATTTTGTAAAAGAATATAAGGAGAAATTAGATAATTATTTTTAGAATAATACAAAATATGAAAGAAGATTTTTCAAAATATATCATAGAAAAGATTAAATTTACTTTAAACATAAAAATTCATCTTAAAAACATGTTGAAAATCCAGAAGTTACTGATATGAGAACTTATAATTAGATTTTATAAATGAATTAATAATAAACTCAACGTGCAAATTTGAATAAATAATAAGAAAAGAGAAGAAGAGAATTAAAGATGGAAGAGAAAGAAGAAAAAGAATACATAAAACTTATTATGGATAAATTCTTAAAAGAAGAATAGAAATATTTTGATAAATTGACTAATTTGGAAGAATAAGGATAATAAATGTTTTAAGAGAAAGTTTAATTAAGAAATAAATATACTCATGATTACATTAAAAATCCATAAAGAGAATTTGTTGAAAAAAAGGATCTTATAATAAGTAAGGTATTATAAGTTCCAGAAAATTTGAATTCATCAGTTATTAGTAATGCTGGATCTCAAATTTAATCTTAACCTACTATATATTAAGCAAATATGCCTTTTTCTAGTGCATTCTCAAGTTTTCAATAATTACCCTCTCTTTAAAATGTATTACAAAGAATGAATTCTAATGTTTTATATTAATTGCCTGTCCCTTAAATTTAAGAATATGATTTATAACCAGGTGAACAAATTAAAAAACCATCAACATATTAGACTCAATAGATTTTGGATCTTTAAAGATTAATTACATTAAATGAAAAAATTGAATTCACTTTTAGAATAGTTAGTGAACCTTCATTATTAGATCTAGTTGATTCTAATGGTTGTACATTATTACATTAAGCAGCATTGAAAGAGAGAAATGGAATTGCTAAGTTTTTATTAATAAAGGGGATAGATTATAAAAAGACAGATAACAAAGGGAGAACTGCTTTGGATATAGCAATCAAATAAAAAAATCAAAAATTAATAGATTACATAAATCAAATTAAAAAGAAAGGACTTAAAGAAATAAATTGATATTTATATTCATTCTCTATATTCTCTAAAACATAAAGTATTAATAATAATAGATTAATTTTAGAATAATATTCATAATGAATAAGATCTATAATAGATTAAATTCTTTTTAAACTAATAACAATTGTTATCAATTTAATTTTATAATTTTACAATTTTTCAATCAGAGACAATAAATTACTCATATTCTTCAATTAACTAATGAACATAATTTAAAACTTAGTATTCTTCTAAAGCAATTTTAAAACATTAAGCAAAGTCATAGTATTGTAAAGATGTTATTTTGAATCTTTTGTGGATGATTTACAAATCTTGTTTCTTGAAAAATCTAACACCATAAAGAAGTAAATTTAATTTACAAAGTATACTTTGACTCATTTCTGATTCTTCAGTTTCATATATTTTATTTAAATGTCTTTAAACAAATTCATATTCTAAAATTGATACTAATTTTGGTATTAGATAATCTTAACCTAAACTTAATATTTATTATTCTCTTGTTTCCCCTAAAATTATTGGTTTAATCTCATCCCAATCTTCTATAAAGTCTTATAATACTAAACTATCATCAGTCAAATCTTTAACAGATTCAACTGCCTTTTATTTAAATTTATCAAAAATCTTTTCATTTATTATAGCTTTTTTTGAATGAATTAAATGTAAATCTTCTCTTGTAATTGCTTTTATATTATAACGAAAGAAATAATGAAATATATTACAACAATGTGCAACAAATCTTTATCTTCCTCTACGATGAATTAATTCAGATAACATTGCATCTTATGCACAACTATTTACAAAATTTTCAATAAATTAATTAAACCCTAATTAATTTACATAATATTAGAGATCATTTTTATTTATTATTGCATATTTATATACATCCATTCTTCTTAAAAGTTATCTAATATTCTTCCATGGTATACCAGTTTTTTATAATGTTAATGATAAATAGTATTTAAAATTTGTAAGTTATACATTAGTTAAGGCATATTTTACATGTCTTTCACGAAGTACTTCACATGAATAATTCGGAGAATCCAAATGATAAATTAATTAAAAGAAGAGTCTAGCAAATTTCATTTCTTATGTTGCTACATCAATATTTTCAAAATATGGAGCTAATGTGACATCTGATAATATCTTTTTATACATTTATTTTGTAATAGCTTTAATACCATCTTCACCTCCATATATCTCAAATTCTAATATTTCATTAAGTATGTAAGGACGAATATTTTCAATGCGTTCACAACAATTAAACATCTTTTCAGTTGAAATGTTTAAATGCATGTATTTAGTTAAAAAGTGATATTTAAACTTAAAAAAATGAGCATGTGTTAATTACATACCTAAATGAATTACTCTTAAACGAGGTAAATCTAAAAACATTTATTGATCATATGCAGTTGCTAAAAGATTTCGAAATATTTATTTAACTCCTGGATAATTTTTATTGGGAAACTTAACACTTAAAATATTATCTCTTCTTGTAATATCCAAATAAATTTGATCTACTTCATAATTCAATAATTCATCTGTTCCTTATGGTTTCGGTGCTACTTTTCGTTTTCGAGATAATTCCATCAAGTATCCCTTAATTATTTAATCTTATGATTTAAGAGGTGCCAATTATTATTAACTATGAAACCTTGATGATTTTTGAATAACACTATTGAATAATTCAGAATTTCTAATTAAACATTAGTTCTTTTCTTTTTATCTCCATCTATTCTTACGAAATAACACTAGACCTGACATATTACTTTTTTCACTCTCTAAGGTTTTAAATCGTAAACTAATTTGAGAATCCATATTAGTCACTTTAGGATTAGTGATGGCGTAACTAAAATTTTATTCAATTTAAATTGAATTTCCTTATGGTTGATATTTTGTTAATAGAAACACAGGATTCAATTTTGGTTATCTTCTTTTTTCTGGCTACTTTTTTCTAATAGCATATGTTTCCAAAAAATCCTTAAACGATTTCTAAGTGTCTGATATCATAAAAAAAATAAAAATTTAAATCAATCAAAAACAATATGTTTCTTGTAATCATCAATAACATCTAGAACCCATTATAATTTTGTTGGTTCATCCTACATGACAATCTTCATAGCCTAAAATATATATGAAAATTTTAACTTATTAAAATTCAAAATATGTTTATTCTCGAATATGTAATCTCTTGTGGAGAACTTCAATATCAGTACGTTTGTAGAAATGCATCCCATACAGAATTAAATTTAATTTACATTTTAAATTTGGACCAACTTAAGATTCATTATCCTTTCATAAGATGATAATCATGTTACTTCAAATACTTTGTAAATAAGTGGTCTTTACATAATCTCATTTTCTAATTTATATGCAATACGATTAACTACTCCTTAACCTCCAAGTAATTTAATAGTGGTCTTTTTAGGTTTATTCATTAAAATAGGTGTAATTTCTTCCCAATCCTCTTCGAAATCACTTAATAAAATTGGATCATTTGTTACTTTGCATACAGCTTGCATAGCTTTTTCTTTAAATTTCCTATACACTTTTTCTGAAATGATTGTTTTATTTCTATGAATAGATTCTATATCATCATCAGTTATTGATTTAACATTGTCTCTGAAAAAATAATGAAAGACATTTTCACAATGAGCAGTAAATCTTTACTTACCTCTCTTCTAAACTAAATCATAGAGGATAGGTTCACTAGAACACAAACGAACAAAACTTTCAATAAATTCTCTATATCCTCCAGGAGCATTATTAATACATTCTTATAGTGAAGGTTTATTCAATATAGCAAATTTATAAGTATCCATCTTTCTTAATAATATTCTTAAATGTTTATATCCAATTCCTAATTTTTATAAAGCAGTAGATAAATAGAATTTAAAATTAGCCAATTGAACATGTGTTAATTTATATTTAACATGTCTTTCTCTCAGTACTTCAAGAGTATAATTAGGAGATTCAGTATGATCAATTAATTAAGCAAATAATTTAGCAAATTTAACAGCTTATTCTTCCAATTCAATAGCCTTGAAATAAGGACTTAAAGTGTAATCTTTGAATATCTTTTCATACATATTCTTAGCTACTTCATTGATTCCATATTCTCCACCAAATATTTCGAAATCACTTCTTTAATTAAGAATTAAAGGTTTAAAATTTTCTAATTTGTAACAACCCTTAAATAATAATTCAACTGGAGTCTCCATTTCCATATATTGATTGATAAAAAGATATTTGAATCTAATGAATTATTCTTTCTTTATAAATAATGGAGCATGAATACTCCTCATTCTGAATTGATCAAGTAGGATTTATTATGTGTATCCAATTCCTAAAATACTCTTATAAATATCTTTTAGATATTTAAGATGTTTTCCTTAGTACTTAGTTTTTAGTTAACGGTCTTAAATGACTCGATGATAAAGGGATTCAGAATGTTAATCAAGTAATTCATTACTGCCATATTATTTGATTTAGGTCTTTATTATCTTTTGGAATTTAGTCTCAAAAAATTTGCTTATGATTTCTGTTTATGTTTATGTTTTTGGAAGTTGTTTTAATTCTCGATGATTCTATAATGCTTTAGGTCTACGAAGTTACTAAAGCTATTCATGAACATTTCGTAAACTGTTACTATTAGGGTTCTTGATTTTATGTTAATGTGGAGTAAATTTGAAATGAACTGGAGTATTGGGTAGAATTATATCACAAATCTAAGAATCACTAATCATAGGTAAATGAAAAATTGTTTTAGTAGGAGTAAGGTCTTGAGTTTTAAAAGTCTTTATTTTATTTCCAAAGTCATTAATTGTCACTTAACTTTATGAATCATGTTTAATTATGAACTGATTTTGTGGTTCTTAGCGTAATAGAGTGCTTAGTTATTTTTCACATCTAGATTTTTTAGAAATTTTAGGGGAAGCTTATAGAGTAGACAATCGTCCTGTTAATTGAAACTTTTAATCTTCTTTGATTTATTGTTATTGCATGAAATCTCTAAATGTCATGCTTTTACTATCATTTTTGAGATGCTCAGTTGGATATTTGAAAGGACATCCTGAAGTTGAGGTGAAATTACTCATAATTATAATAAATTATATTTATCCTAATATTTAGAGACATTGTTAATTGTATAGATCTATTTGTAAGATTAGAATGATTATGAGTTATTATAATATGTATTAAAATGCATTGATTATATTCAATGTTTATTTTGATTTTGGTGGCCTTTCTCAATATATGCAAAGCTCAACTGAAATGCAAAGACTCACATAATTTAACTGTTTAAATGGAACTAAAAATCTTAATTCCCAACTATAATTGTTATCTCAATACTACTTAAGAAGTCTTGGTCAATATGACATCATAGAATGCAAGTTTAGTTATAACAGGATAAAAACTTTAACTTAATGAGAATATTTACTTTGAAGGATTCAATAGTGTTCAATTTTAAGAGTTAGAAGTTAATACAAATACACATTCAATAATTTCTGATTCACAAATCATATTAAAAAAGGTCACACTTTAGAAGCATTGTCGTTTTATAGGTTCATTAATCATAATTGAGAATGTGACTATTACTTAAAATGTATTTAGAAATAGATAAATGTTTTCTTCACCTGTTATGATTAACGGGTTATTCATAAAGGATACCTCATTATTTCAAAGTTCAATCACAAATCAATACCTTGAACTTTAAAACCTTTTTTTAGAATCAGTTCATATTATTAATTCAACTTTAGGAAGTGTAGATTGTATTAATTAAATTGTAATATCAAATTCTTTTATTGCATCAAGTGAATTTTTAAAATGTAATATAATTTAAGAGATCAAATTATATGATTCATTTATAATATTATCATCCTTGATAAGAGCATCAGGTTGTGTCCATATTTCAGTTAGAAATGTTTCACTCAGTAAAGCTACTTTATTTATATTGGATAATGAAAATTAAGTACAAATGAAAAATATTAATTTTTCATTAATAACCTCAGATTCCTCATTAATTACTGTCAATAGTCCATATATTAATATAACTGATATGGTGAATTATTAATTGAAAGTCTAATCTATCTTTTAAATAAGTAGTACTGACATGTATATTAAGAATATAACATGTTAGGAATTAGATGGGAGTATATTATTGTCAAATTAAAGTTAAGATTTAATACTTCTAATAAATTAATTTAATTTGATAGAGAGTACATCTAGAAAATTATTTGACATGAGTGGTTCATTTTAAATTAGGACTGGTATATTCAAATCAAATAATTGTTCATTAATTAATAGTATAATAATTCATGAAGTTTGGATAGATTCAGTAATATTTTAAGATCTAAATAATCAATTAATATTATCAATATCTGATTCTAATACTCTTCATTTAACAAATTTAACAATAATAGCTTGTGAATAAATTATATTTGCTAAATTTAATACTATTATAAGTGTAACCTTATAAAATATTAAATTAAATAATTGTAAAGAATGTAATTTTATAGTTTAAAATCAAACAAACACATTTATGAAAGATATAAATATATAAGATATCTAAAATTTCTTTAGTACTTTAATATACTCATAAAATTCTAATTTAGTATTGAAAAGATTAAATTTAAAAAATATATCATCTAATGCTCAATAAATAATAACTATAGTTGAAGGTGAAGTAATTGAGTTAACAAATTTAATTATCAATAATGTAGAATGTTAATTTTGTGAAGGTATTATTAAAATTTCAAATTTTCATTCTGCACAAATTTCTAAATCAAATTTCTCAAATTTATTAACATTTTAAGGTACATTAAGTATTGAAAACACTATAAATTTTACAGCCATAAATAATCAATTTATTAATATAACAGCTATTGATGGAACTAGTTTTTATATTTTTAATTCCTCTATAAAAATATTATAAAATGATTTTATCAATTTAATAGCAAAATAAAAAGGAGGTGCTATTTATCATATTCAAGCATATAATACAACATATTATATAGAAAATAATAGTGTATCAAATATTACATCTTCAAAAGGATTATTTACTTATTTAGTTACTGAATCCATAACAGCTTTACATACTGATTTCTATATAGATGGACCAGTATTCTTTGAGATCTTTAATTAAACTTATAGTCTTAATAGTCTAATAAGAAAATAGATTTTTTTATCTTTTCAAAATTTTAAAAGTGGAAAAGAAATTAATTTTAATATAAGTATTTTGGATAGTGACAAAGTTAGATTATGTAAATTCTAAGAAAATATCTATTTAAATAATTATTCATATAATTTTGATTAATACAGATGTAATTATGAAATATCATATTTATATTATTAATAAGAACCCTAAGATGAATAACTTGCAATAATAATTCTATTGGAATCATTAAAATTATATAATAACATACCATTTTCTATTTAAGTTTTACTTAATTTTACTTAATGTGAAATAGGAGAATAATGGATAAGAAATTCATGTTAAAGATGTATGTATGGAACTTATAGTTTTGATTTCTAAGCACCCTGTTTATAATGTATACCATAGGCTCATTCTTGTTCAGGTGGAGCTGAAATAGATATAAAGCCAGGATATTGGAGACCACATAATCTAACTGATAGTATTGAATAATGCAAACCCTAATTATCACTATGTTTGGGTGGTATAAATAATTTTACTTGTGGGGAAGGATATTTAGGAGCCATTTGTTAAGATTGTGATTATTATTCAATAAGATGGGAGAAATAATATGCTAGAAGTCTTTCCAATTATTGTGTTGAATGTCAATTTAATTTGATAGATCAAATTAAACCAATTTTAGCATTTCTATGGATATCAGTAATATTAATCTATTAATTTTTTAGAGTGTCCTCTATCTTTCTGTTTGTGGAGCCTTAAAGATGGCTAGAGCTTAATTGATTGGACATTATCTTAGACTTATTGGATTACATTTTGGTACTAGATCAACAATGACTATAGATCAAACAGAAGTGTTACTTAAAATGATATCTACTTACTTTTAATTGCTCTCTATTTTATTGGTTCTTAATATCAAGATACCTCAACCATTTCAATTTTTATCTCAAATTATTGGAAACCCTCTTTAAACTTTTGGATTTTAAATTGAATGTTTACTAATTAAAATGTAATTCTAAATTGAAATAGTGTATCTCAAATAAATATGGAACCTAATTACATCAATTATTTTTGTATCTCTTTTTATATTCACATATTTCATTCAATCTCTTTGTAAACATTTGGAAAACTCAATTTAAACAATATTTATTAATAGTTTAATTTAGGTTTTATTTTATTTCTAAGGTGATTTAATAGAAGGATTGTTTGAAATACTATTTTGTCTCAAGGCATCTGGATAATATTATATATAGGCATCCACATAATATATTTGTTATACTAATGAACATTAAATTTATATAAGAGCCTACATAATTCCTGTATTATTAACAATAGGATTATTTAAGCCTTTGTTTTATTTCATTAAACTTAATAGAAACAAGAATAAACTGTGGACATGTTAAATTAGATTACCTTATGGTTACCTATTTATAGAGTATAAGAATCAATATTATTATTGGGAATTTGTACGATTTATTGTTAAATCAATGTTTTATATTCTTTCTACATTACTTATTTAAGATTTCAAATTATTATTTTTATTTGTTATATTAGTATTACTATGTTATTTAGAATTACTCAATAAAACTTAACCATATTTAGACCATAAGTTCAATGTTTTAGATAAGGTTTCAACATAATTAGAAATAGTCAGTTTAATTTTAGCTTATATTTAAGATGATAATAATAATTAATACATTGTGGATATTACAAATATTTTAATATCCATCATTAACTTGATTTTCATTCTTTATTTTATTTATAAAATAATGATTGAATTGAGTTTAGAATATAAAAAGAAGATATAAGAAAAATTAATTACTATGATTGAAAGATTTCCTTGGTTGGGTAAATGTATTAAGAAACCAGTTCCTTCTACAATGCCAGCACGTATTAATTATCTTTGGAAAAAGGCACGATTACATGTTTATAATTTTATATCTTAAATTGGAAATAATACTTTAGAAACTAAAAGTCAAGCTTCAACTATTTAACGTAGTTTTGATATCAATCAACCTGGTTTGTTAAATACTCTTAAACCATAATTAATGAAATACTTGTAACATTTTTGTTAAATTTTTAAGGTAATATCCGCATTCTCAATTACGAAATTAAGGTTAATAATTAGAAGTTTCATAGTAGTCTAGTGAAAATGTTTCTATAAATTAGAGTTAGATTTTGGAAAAACATTAATAAATAAATGATTCTTCTCTTATATAGCATAAGCAAGAATAATAAAATAAAGAAGAAGAATGTTCTTAAGTGCAAAGATAAACATCTAATTAGAATATTAAGAAATGCACATCGTTTATAATTTAACCAAAATTAAAAATTAAAGTAATAAAAAAACAAAGAATTTGATAATTATTTTTTTTGTATATAAATTATAAATATCATTAAGAAACTATATTTAATCTAAGAAGATCGTTATTTTTTTTAATTTTAAATTCTCAATTCTCAATTCTCAAAATTATTGTAAATAAACTTATTTAATTATAAATTAATTATGAAAATTTTATATAACATATTATATTTAATATTAAATTTTTTAATTGTGTTATTTTTTGATAATTCTAATTTTTTGTATCACAAAATAATTAAAAATAGATAATTAAATGACAAATATATATACAATTACATCAATTAAGTTTAAATGGGTACACATTCTAATTAGATATGAAATCTGTTGCTGGAGTATAGACTTATAATTTTGCTTGTTTTGGAGACAAATACTAAAATAAATCAGTTCTTAATTAAATATGATATTAATACTTCGAAGAGAGTTAATCATATTCATCAGTGAAGAAAGGATGAGCTATACAATCATAAGCACTGTATCTTAATTTAGGATCAAAATTCAACATTTAATGCAATAGATCGAGAGCATTTTCATTTTGAATATGAGAACTGATTCGAATATTACCTGCTTAATTTTAACCAAGATCTTCATATATAGGTTTACCAACAAGTAATTTATGAAATACAGCTCCAGTACTAAATATATCAATTTTTTCGGTGATTCTAGTTGATTAAAATACTTCAGGTGCAATATATCCTCCAGTACCAGCTCTAGAAAAAGAGGGTTAATTAATCACACAGAGTCCTAAATCAATAATTTTTATTTGTAATGGATTGATAGAGGCAATCATGATATTATCATATTTAATATCTCTATGTATGATTTTTAATTAATGCAAATGATTTAAACCTAATTTTTTCGATATATAATAATACCCTCCAAAATCTGTTACATAACATCTTAGATGATGTGGATTGGTAATTTATAGTTGTACATTTTCTAAAGGTCATACAATGTCCCTAGAGATAGGTAATCCATGACAAGATAGCAATTCATATCGTCAATGTAATATGAATTAAAACCAAGTACATTTGGATGAGGATGCTTTTAAAGTAGTTTCAGTGCTTGTAATTCTTCTGGATTCTATTTTGTATTACTATAGTTATTTACTTCTTGATGATGAATGAGTTTAAGAACTTGAAACTAGTTTTGTTATTTGGCAAGGATTATCTTAAAAATGATTTGTAAATAATGGTACCTAACATTTCTAATTATTTCTAACATGTTTCACATACTTGAAATCTTTTTCCCAGTCGGCAAAAGCCATTAAACCACTTAAAAAACTTTTTAACTAGCTGAGCTGGTCACTGCTTCCACCGAAGGTATACCTTCTAGTATTATGCTTACAAAGACTGAAACCTTCAATGGCTTTAGAATGACTTAAAGAATAAACTATAATCTTACTTAGAGTAGTCCCAATTAAGTACATAATGAGTAGTTTAAAAGTCAATTTCCTTCTCAATTTTCTCACTTAAACTAGTTTTCTTAAGTCCACTTAATGATAGTCTGTCTTGATAAACAGTTAAAGTAACAGTACATCCATTTCTAATAATTTATGATAGCTTTGTAGTAAATAAAAAAGACTGAGAACAATTTTTCATTAGTTTAAAATTACATGCAGTTTTACTCTCTATATAATTTTCAATATTTGAACATATAAAATATATAAATGAATGTTCATCATGGGCATTAAGATTCTATCTTAAACAATTCCTTGGCTATTATAGTAATAACATGTAATTAATATAGAATCAACATCACAATAGTTTTGACATTTTGGTAGATGATGAATCAGAACACAAGTTCTGGACAAATAAAAGGAAATATTAATTAAAATGTCTGTTAAGAAGAATTATTCTAATGCTTTATAATTCTGGGCCTGTTTATTTTAGTTACATGATAGTGAGTCTTTACATTTTTAAATTACTACGCAAAGTTGATACAGACAAGACATTTCGATAATAATATATGAAGTAATGTATTTCTTTATTATAATCAAGATAATATGTCTACGATTATATGCTTTGTATTTGCATAGCCTGTATTTATACAATCTTTATATATGGTTTGTTTAATCATTCAGGTAATTATAAATCCTAAATATTAAAGAATTATCTGAGGTCAATCGAGAATATTTTCATTGGGCAGTTAATTGTGTTATGTTTATTATGTTGTATACAATATTCATTACTTAAAAAGAATTGGTTAAAATTGAAGAAGTGGAAATCGAAAAAGCTGTAAACAATTTCAAATTATTTTTTTAGCAATAAATTAGAACTTAAAAAGATAAGGAACAGAGATATGTATTTTCATTCAATTTCTCCTTCCTATTCAGCTAACAAAATTTTTACAATATAGGTCTTGGTAGAGCACATATGGATTTCATTAAAGCACAAGATTCATAAGATAAAGATAATCTCAACACTATTCAATAATTCTCTAAATAAGTTGATCACATCATTGATAAAGAGAATCTAGATCCTACAATGATTTACTTTAGCATGTGTTCAGATTTTATAAATAGTGAAATATAGGCATCACCTATGGCTAAGAAAAGGAAATCAAAATTGATTAAAGAAGTAGAGAAGGCTAAATCTGTTTTGGATTATCTTTAAGATTTGGGATTTAATGGTAATAGAAGTGTATTCTAACATTTTTTATTGCCACATTATATATATACTAGAAAATACTTAATTCCTGATAGTAATTTACAAATAATTGTGGTTATAACATTAATCACACTCAAAGTTTTAATTCCAATATTCTTTTTATTTTGGCCTATTCATCCTTATACTCTTATCTATTCAGTTATATTTATGGGATTCTATATGCATTTTTTATCCATTATATTCTAATTAGTATTGAATGATGATCTGAAAACTAGAAATTATATTTTATAAGCTTTGAATAAGATCATTACTATAGATATGGATTAAGAAAATGCACTTCATGAATTAATTGATATTACATGTTCACTCAGTCTTTAGAGTTGGAATCTTATGAGAACAGTAGTTATTTATATTGAGAAGAAAAAGAAAGTAGAATATAATTATGTTTATGGTTTTCTTGCTCTTTATGGAGCTATATGTTTTGGTGGATTTACATTGTGCAATTTTGAATTACCATTTATGAGAGCTATAAATTATTGTGATGATGATGTTTTATTGTATAACATTCATGCAGACATCGTATTATCATTTATAATATGTATGGGTAGAATCTATCAAGGTTCTAATTTTAATCAGACTTTTAATGAAATAGATGCAGTAAACAATGATAATTACATTAGAATATTCATAAACTTACTGCAATATATGAAGATTTATATACATTATTTGATTATTATTTTAAGAATAAAGATATAGTTGATAATAGAATATATAGACAAGTGATTGAATTGATTTACACATATTAAAGAAAAAGAATGTAAATGCCTTTATAAAGGAATGTTAAAAATAAAGTAGACATAATAGAAACTGAAGAAATGATAATAATGAGAGATAAAGTAGCTGAAATTAAAAGTTGTTTAGAAAAGATATAAAGTAATGTAGAAAGAGATGTAAAGAAATGTCATGATAAATTTATTGGTATATTTGATGCCAATTTTAAAAAACAAATGAGAATTATGATTTTTGTTATTATAACATTTGTACCATCCTTATCAACAAAGTAATATTATATTTATATCATTATAGAGTGTACAAATATCTTAGTTAAATGATGTGATATAAAATATATTTTTATTATATCTTTATAAAAATTAATAATATTACATTAATTACTTAATTTTATGGTAGTTTCTAAATACCTAATCATTATTTTCATTTGCTTTTGATATCATAACATTCTATAACACTCATTATTAATTGATACCTTTTGATATAAATCATATGAATAAGGATTTTTAATATTTTCCTTAAGAAACATCAATATCAAATTTGAATGTACCATTTAACAGAAATTCTTCACACATAATAAATATTTCATATTTAAATATTCACAAATTTAGGATGTACTCTCTTATACAATTAGAGACTGATAACATCATTGGGTTTGACGAAATTATTGAACATACATTTCATTAGACCATGTGTACCTAAGGGTTCTAAGATATTTCCCTAAAAAATATATATAGAAATTAAATACTCTCAATCCCAATTTCGTGGAGAGTTCAATAGGTTTGAAGAATTTGATATCATCTGGATTGAAAAACATCATTCTAATGACAGCTTTTCTCTTATTTATTTTAACTGGATATCCAGTAAGAACAATTCTCTTTAGGATTACTTGGAAGGTATCACATCTTTATATATCTCCAACTCCCATAATTTCATTGTTTCTGAAATCAAAGTCATTTTACCAAAAGATTACAGGTTGTTATGGGAATGAATTATAAAAATAGAAGGAAGCTAAATAAAATGTATCATCCTTAATTTCTTTAACATATTTAGTTTTACTACAATTCTAAATATTATATATATATATAATTACATTTAGAATACGAGAATATATTGGATTAATATGAGCTCTTCTGAATCCAATTTATGCAAATACTTAATGTTTTGATTTGAGAACACAATTATGCATCTAATGTCTATGAAATCTCACATGCATTTATGTCATCTTCCTTTCATGTTTCAATAATCCAGAAATAACATATATCTTATTAGGTTGAGTAAGTCTTTGCACAATCAATTCAGGTACATTTCTTAATGTAATTTTTATTCTCTATCCAGGTTTTATTTATTCCTTTTGTTTCATTTCTTCCAAAACATCCTACTTAATCTTTTTCAAAAATCTGAAATTATAGATTTTTTCAGCCTCATCTGGTAAAAATGTAAGAGGATCAAATTCACTAGTTCTAATATTCTTCAACCCTTGATATTTATCATATCGTTCTCTCAATTTAACTTCCACTCCATATTCAACTTCATCTTCATAATCTAAATCTTCAGGGTCTCTATGTACAATCTCAAATTATTCTCTTTTCTTTTATGCTTCATCCTCAAATTCTTTATCAAGATCTTCATAACTAACATCACTTTCTTATTCAATCATTTGTTCTTCCTCTTCCTATAATTGCATTCCTGCTATATCTTTCAAGAGATCATCACAATCTCCAATATCATGTTATTTATCTCTACATATTGGATCCAAAGATTCTGGTTAGTTTGATTCGTATACTTACTCAATCATTCCTAATAATTCTATTCGTGCAATTTAAAAGTCATCAACTCCTGTTATATGTACTAATTAATCAGCACTTAAACCATTCTATCCTCTCCATGTACCTGTAATACTCAACTCTCCATTCACATAAGCTAAATCATCAGGTAACATATATCCATGTGTATCTCTCCATTCTACTGCTTATTCATGTAAAACAACAACACTTCTCATCAAAGTTGAACAATCATCTACTATATGAGATCCAGGAAATTCACTCTCAAAATATCTTGTGAACAATTTCTTAACTACATTCTTCTTGCTCTGATTTATTTCATTCAAATCTTATATGTAACATACCTATTAAACCATTCCTTAAGCTCTCAAATTACTAAGCAATTTATAACCCTACTCATCATATGCATTTGCATTGCTATGAGGATCCAAACTTATTGTATTTGTATTACAATCTCTACAAGATAATACTGGACATATTATATCTGCCACTTTACATGCATCTAGTATTTATTCAGCATTTCTATCCAAGAATATAAATCTTAATGGTTATTTTATTAATTTCCCATTTGCCTCTACATTTAAAAAACAATCTTAAGTGCAATAAGAACTTACTCCCACTGATTATATATTGAGATGCTACATTAATTGAAATCTTTTTATAATCACATCTAATACTTTAATGCAGCTATGTTAGCTTATTAATTCATTGGAAACATGGCTATGATTTTTGTATTTACTACTTTAACAACTTTCACTTTTTATTCTTAATCCTTCTCTTTTTTCTCAATCTATATTTCCTATTGACCATCCTTATTTTTCGTTTGTTTGATCTCTTATTTCTTTATTTTCTTCTTCAATTTGCCCTCACTCTTCTACTTTGCTCTACGCTTCGATTCTCCCTTAAATGCCTTATTTCTCTACAATGTATGACCCTTAGGCATAATTAAAATGATTTAAAAATAATTAAATATTTAAACAAACAAATATGATAATATATTTACAATCAATGAGATTATCAATTATAATTCAATAAACTAATTTATTATCTACCCATCTTCCTTCCATCATCTTTCCATCCATTCTATAAAATACTCCTTTCCCATTTATTAAATCCCTTTCAAACCACCCTACAAATCTCTCCCCATTTGTTAAATGTAAACTTCCTTATCCCTCCTTATTATCCATCTAAAAATTACCACTATATTTCATCCAATAACTATAATAATTATCTCTACAATACTTACTCTTCCACATAATCAAAATCCCTATAATCAAATGATTCCTCTAACATTTAAGGATGTTCATTATACAAAGTTCCAAAACCATGAAATTGATCCTCATTCCACTTTCCCTCATATGCTGGTTATCCAGTTCCATAATATAATGTTCCTACTCATAATAACTTAAAAATTACCTTCTCCATGCATTTTATTCTCTTTCCATTCTCCATCATACAAACCACCATCCTAATAATAAAATCTACCCTATCCATGTCTCATCCCATTCATTTTAATACCTTCATAACGAGATCCATTTCCATAATGTTCCACTACAAATTCAGGTGCATCAACTTTTTCAGCTGTGATTTGAGAAGTTTCACATGGCAAATTAAACTCTTTTGTTAAAGTATTCTTAATTTATTATGGTAGATTAGTAGAATCGATTAAAATTTTGGAATAATCACAATTACTTTATCTTTAAGTATTTATGTCTTCACTTATTTAAGAGTCTATATTCTCATCAAATTTAGAATATTTACTATAAATTTCTGAAGGTACAAATTTTGATAAAGTATCATATTAATCTTATTGAATTTAGATTACTTATATTGGTAGTATATTTAATTCTGGTTATTAATTGATCTATTTAGATATTGAATTCTTTTAATTAATTTATTATTTTGGTGGAAGATTAAGTATAGTTTTATTACTAATAATAGATTAATCAGTTGTTATTATTGTATTGTTTAAATTATTAGTTTATAATTAGGTTTTTTTATTTTAGTATTCATAATTTATTTATCTTGAACTTGTATTTTAACTTTAGGTTTTTTATTTTGGGAGTGAACAATCTCTAGATTAGATTTATTAATTTTGAATGGAAACTTTATTAATTGGTGTTGAACTTCTTTATGATGAAGTTATTTTAATTGTATATTGATGAGCATATTCAATAGGTGATATAGTTTGAACTTAATTTATTCTTTTTGATTAATTATTAATTTATGTATTATATGCAAATTCTAATTATAATTAATTTGGTTAATTTATTGTATCTATCAATCCAATTGGTTATGTAGGTATGATTTATTTTGGAATCACATGAGGAGTTTATTGTTATTAATAATATGATTTATTTGATATTTCTTATTAATTAATAATTTATTCCATTTAGATTAGATCAGGTCTTTAATCTTCTTATATAATTAGCATCATTTATATAAAATCACAAAATTGTTATCCAAATCGAGTTCTTAATTTTTATAATTTAATATTTAATTGATCTTCAATAAATTTACCTTATATATAATTATAACAATCATTAATGACTTAATTTAATGCTAATTGTAAAAATAGCATTCCTAAAGTAAATAGATCACTTTTATATTGATTATGTTTTGGCCACCAATTATTAGTCCTAATTGTATTAACTAAAGTAGGGGATAAATAAATTGATTCCAAACAATTAGGATTTTGTAATATTTGAACATAATTAGTATTCTGTTAGAAATACTAAGGATCACTTACTTTAACAATTCCATTCATTAAGAATAAATATCTAAGTTATAAAGTATTATGTGAAATTTAATTTCTTTGCATACATGCTAATCCTGAAATTGCTTATTTGAGATATTCAATTAATTAGATTTCATTAATAGTTTATACTCTTTCTAAATTATTTTATGGATATTCGAACAATAAATTGACCTTATAAAACTATCCACATAATTATTGTTCAAATTCATAAAAGTAATTATTGAGATTTAGAACATTAGGATGATTAATCTTTTATCTAATCTAATATTAATGAATAGTCTTCTTAAAATGTGCTTCATCTGTAATATTGATTGTACGTAAGATTAATTATTGATTAGGATCTCGTTTATGTTATAAGATCTTGCATTCAGGGAAATCTGAAGATAATGGTATCAATCTTTACCATTATTATGAGCATTGATTTATGTATAATGTTCAAAAAGTTTGTTAATCGGTTTTGAATCTGCGGCTCCCATTTGATTTTCAAAAAATAATTAACTGTCTATATATATTAATCACTCATTCTAAGCAAGTTTATCTTATGCTATTCTGAATAATCTTTATGCAAACTCAAAGTTTAATGCTTCTTCTTCTGGTAATGTACGTAAACGTTATTCAAAATAGACAGAATCAGGTTCAAGTTATGGACGATCATAATATTCCATTTCTTTTTCACTTAATTTTCTATCCAATTCACTTTTTAAGACATATGGTAAACTATTAACTTCCTTTTATACATTCATAATAACTTCTGTATGTTTATCAAGCCAATATTTTTCTTAGAGCATTCTTAAATACTTTAATGAATAATCTCATCTTTTACATATATTTCTGCATAGTTTTACATAACTTCATTCAACTTCTTTTTATCATCTGAAGACAATTTGAATGTGAAACGATGTTTATTACGATGATCTTCATAGAATTTGGTCAATAATTTGATTCTCTTAGCATCTAACCAAGGATGAATAGAGCCTTCTCCTGTAAACTCAGGGACATAAACATTCAATCCTCTAAAACGTCTCTTTTCTTTTCTAGCCAATAACTTTTGTTTGAATGTTTTATGCACCACAAAAGAGAATTTAGGTGTAAAAAATTACATAATTAATTTATATTAATATTTGATTTCTAATCTAATTTTTATATGATTGATAAAATAAAAGAATTAAAAATCGAATTATCATACTCATTATAAACGCTTTGATATTTGTTCATTCATTCTTTGTAATTATTCACTTCTCACATAAAATGTACTTACTTTTTTATCGAATTCTTATTGTAATTATTTTATGTTTATACAATTATCATTTCTTTCTATCTATGTCAAACCTTAAATATAATCTGTTATATCTTTAAGTTATTTCTTTAGATTCTATCCAAATTACTTTCTACATTATGAATCCATTATTTTATCACTTTCCAAAAATACATTACAAACATTATTTACTTAAGCAAATTTATTGCCTATTGAATTGAAGAATCCTTTTACTTATTATTCTGCATTTGTTATAAATGTATTCACACCAGAATAATCTTATAATAATAAATCAAGTTTCTATTTCAATATAATTATTTCAGATTCTCTAATTGTTGTTATCATTTTTTAAATTTCATAAATATTTTTAATACTCTTTAACATCATTAATGCTTTTTTCACAATTATCATTTCATTCACTTATACCAATGAACAAAGATCACTTAATAATAATTCTAACATCTAATATTTTGAATCAAAATCATTCTAACTAAATATTTAATGTGAATATAAATAAGCATCTTTTTAACCAATTACATACATTTTATTTATTGTTTATAAATTGTTATTTCCAATCATACTTGATAAACATACCAAACTTTCTAAAGATTTTCTTAATTAATCAGAAATCTTAGATATTTAAGGTTTTTGTAGAAATTACAAATCATTACATTCATTCTAAAATTTCCTCTGCATCTCCATCAAACTATCCATTAATTGTAATAGATCTTTTTCTAAATTTGATAACATTATCTAATCTAAATTAATTACACGATGTTTTTCAGGCTCTGCTAAAAATTCATCAAACAATTATGGTTCTTCCAATATTTAAACTGGTAATTCTATAGATTATCGATAATCATTTGATTTAAAAAAAAATGGATTTGATTTAAATAACCAAAATGCATCCACTTTTTATAAATCTCTTTAAATTTATGAACTCATCCCTTCAAGAGATATTAAAAAATGATCCAATCTTTCTCTATCCTTCATTGGAAATGCAGTGTAGATACTTTTAACAGGAAAGAATTGACCATACCTTTATATAAGAGATCTCATTGGATGTTTATAAAATACCTTTCGATTCTTCCCTTATTATTATACTTCCAATAGATTTCTATAATCTTGATTCCCTCTCTCAAAATCTATAATCTTTTAATATGCTAATGTAAATGTTGATATAAAATTTTCCCTGTCTTCATTACTCTTAAATTATTATAATAAATTTTTTAATGAAATGTATTATTATTACTTCTCTGCCACTTCCATAAACTCTTTATCCTTTGTGATTCTCTGTATTTTACTTTAAGATTACTATCTATCAAAAGAATCATCTAATGTAAATTAAACCTTTTTTTAGATCTAATTTTTTTATTGCTTTATTTCTTCATTTTAATTAATCATTTCCTTATTTGTGGGTGATTGAATAACTTATTAAGATGTTATAGTCTCCTTTTGTTCAACTATATAATAATCATTCCCTTATGCAGATTACCTCAAAACTGAAGAAAAGTATTACTAAAAATATCATACAGTATTATATACCATATATTCTCTAAGATCTTCATAAAATTTCCTTGTAGTTTATAAAATAGTAGTAAGTCTTTTAATATACCTTTATTATTTTTATAATTGTGCCTTCATAATCTCTATTCTTCTTTGATGAAAATCATCATTAATTTCTTAAGGCTCTAATTGTAACTTCCCCTTCTTTACATCATTTGTACTAAAAAACAATGCTCTTGAATTTTTCATAGGAGGTCTATCAAGAGATATAGCTATTTTGAATTCATCTATTTGTGCCAAATCAGTTTGTAGATCAACTAATTTATTTGTTAACTATTTGTTTTTTTTTTCTAAGTTTTTAATATGTTTATATCTAGAATCATTTATAGTGAATATATTCTTTGATTATTTTGTTTCAAATGGCCTAGAACTCAAATATTCTTAACTACTACTTGTTTATAATTTCATATATTAATATATATATATATATAATATATATCATTTTTTGATACTTGGAAGCTTGAATTGCTTTTTAATATCACTCATACTTTTTGTTGTAGGAGTCTTGGATTTCAAGACTGGCTTTTTTGTAATTTAAGTACATTCTAATAAAGGACTCTTGGAATCAAAATCTACTGATTTCTTAATTATTAAGGTAGAAGCTCCATTTTAAATTTATTGTCTTTTAAACAAATTAGTTTAACTTTAATTGGTATTCTTGATTTTGCTAAGTGGATACTTTTTTTTGTATTTATTTAAGTAATCATTTAAATCAATTTTATTAATTTCCAAATCATCTCTCTCTTAATCCAATAATAGTTGTCTTTACTTTTAATCATTTTTAAATATGATTTCTTCTTTCTCCATCATTTCTTAATCTTTTTTATTTAATGAATTTTCGTCATTAGGTTTTAATAACTCCTCTTTGGTTTACTGAATCATAAATTAAAAAGAACGAGATCCATTCATAATACAATCTTAAACTGCTTCATTAAACATATTTAAGATAGTTAGATCATCACTATCTATTTTTTTAAATAATAATGGTAAAATCTATAATGATTTTAAATTATTACCTTTATTAATCTCATTCTGACATTTACAATAGGATCTTTTGAAAATATCAGAATATCAAAGAATTCATATTGTTTGAATAATTTCTTAGATATGTATTCAGAAAATGATTCAACAATATTAATAAAGGTAATTCTATTATAGTAGATATCAGATTTGAAATAAAGATCAAATAATTAAATTATCCAATCCTTTCTTTTTCTCAAATCTCCATACTGACTTAGATATTAAGCTATATTATCACAACACAATTGTTTAGTTTTAGGAATACCCTTAGCAATTACATTAATCATTGCATTCATAAACATATTCACATCATTAAAAATTTACTGGCATTTTTTAAATTGTTCAAGCAATTAGATTTAGAAATCCCAAAGATTTCTTGTAATTAGATTATTCAATAATTCAAGTGCTGGTTGACCAAATTGTGGTTGTTACTGACTAAGCATATTATGAACATAATACTTGTTTTTGAAATGAATTAATAATAGATGAAAATCTGAATATTAAAATATCCAATATAGTTAAACTCTTTGATTTCATAAAATTAATGAAAACCTAAAACAATATGTCAGTATTTTCAGAAAGTAGTACAACTTCATGGAAACAATTGATTATGGCTCTTAAAACAAATTCATTAGTGTCATTACAACATTGTAAATAAGATTCTTAAAAATATTCAAATTTCTTTGATGCCAAAGATAAAAGAGCAGGGAAATTACTAATAAAGTTGACTCTTACATCTATATTCTTACTTTTAGGATAAGACATATAAATATTAAGAAAAAGTGTGAATTAATGTTAATTCAAATAATCTTTTATCTAATTATAATTAAAGATATTTAATTACAAGATGAAATACTCGTCCACAAATTTTAGACATGACTAATCTATTCTCTTCATTTTAACTTTATATTGAATCAATAAATTATTTAGTACATCTGTTTTTAATTTCATCTACTGATAAATTATTTGCAATTGTAAAAAATAACTTCATACCTGAACTTCTTACAATTTAATCAGTATCATAATATAATTCCATTATTTTTTCTATTAAATAACACTCTATTAAATCACTGGATATTGATTAACAAACTTTAATTAACACATCATCAGCCATAATTAATCGAATTTCTTTATCATGATCTGAACATAAATTCCTAGCCCTATCAAGAATTGGACCTTTAATTTCATTTCCAAGTAGCTTATATTTTTAAAACAAATATTACTTAAGCTAAAGTACCTATTAGTTTAGCAGAGCTTTAACGAGAAATTGTTGGTTATGAACTATCAGTTAAAAGTAGTATTAATTATTAAACTGGAATGAGAATATTGTTTATGCCTATTGTTCTTAGTAATATATCCATAGTTAAAACCCATTCATTTAAAACTGGAAGTGACCAAATTTTTAATATTTGAGTTGTCAAATCATAAATTTGTAATAATTCTTCAATTTATAGAGAATTCTCTTTAATTAACTTCTAAAGTGATTTAGCTGCAATTATTTAATTGTCTTCTTCTTGTTATTAGATTTCTTCGCTTGAAATTGTAGAATTAATATATTTACATTATAACTTAAAATAGAAATTCAAAAGCATTAGGTTCCCTTAAAATCTTGTGTAAATTAGAATAAACCTAGAGATATAAAACAATAATATACAGCTTTTTTTTGCAATTATTATCCCTTTGTCAAAATATAAATAGATCTTTAACATTCACTTAAATCTTCTTCCAAAGTCAACTTTTTCAACTCCTCTTCGCTCTAATATATATGTAGAATATCTACTTTAGTACTAATTTTATATTCCTATTCTGGGAAAAACATATATATTTAAATATTAATAATAAAAATGAAAAAGGTTATACATTTAAATATGCTAATTGATATTCACCTTTTTTTATTATTCTTCCCATAGATTATTTTATACATTCATGTCTATAACTTCAATCTTATCCTTACCCGATAATCATTATATTTTATTAATGATATTATAAAATTTGACTGTCAATTCATACCCTTCAAACTTTTATATAATATTATGGTTTCTATAAACATTACTTAAAACAACATCCATTTTCATCTCTTAATAAGAACTAGTTAATTCCATTATTCACTTTTTCTCATAGTAATTTTTTCAAATAACTGATTTACACACTTACATACATAATTTTTTTTTCTTGATAAATTTTAGTAATTTCATCCATTAATTTAATATATTGCAATAATCACATACAATTGTTTTAAATTTTCATCATATTAGATTTTAATACAGTTTTCTTAAATGAATTTAATATCTTAAAAACAGCATTTCTAAAATAAATAACAAGTCTTTTGCATATATAAAAACTTTGATATTATTAAAGAAATTTCAATTTAAACTTCAATATCTGTGGTCTACTACTAATAGTCATTATTCTAATTAACTCATTTTCTCTTATTATATTATATTCATCCAATTTCCAGAATAAAAATTAAATTATTCTCAATTTACGAAAAACCAAATTTTCTATAATTATCATAAATGTTCTTTATTCTGGGGATTCCTCATACTTTTATCTCTAGTATGAGAGTTACCCATTTTTATTATTAATAATAATCATTTAACAAGTCAGACCTTAAGAATATATTTTTCTCTATTAATCATTTCTTCGAAAGCATCTTAAATGGTCTTAGAAACTCCTCCAAACCATTTCGAATTCTTTACTCCCTCCATATTGAACCTCTTTTCTGGATTTGGATTTACCATGCCCAAAAAGAGTTCCCTTTAATTAAATTATAAAATACTTGAAATCAAAGGAAAATTCAATTTTCTACGAATGAATTTCCCAAAATTATTTATAATTCTCCTAAATGATCAAATTATATAATGCATCTTATTAGTTAGCTTTCGAAAATGGTGGCTAACCCTTATACATTATGAATAATATGACTCCCAATGAAAAAACATCTGCTTTAACTCCATCATATATTGCTCCATATAAGACTTCTGGTGCTTGGTAATCTTTATATATATATATATATATTATATACTTTTAGTTCCAACCTTAGTTTTCAATTTACCATCTTTATATTTATTTAAATATTAAGCACAGGCAAAATTGCATAGTTTTAGATTAAATTTTCTATCTAATAATATTGACTCTAATTTTAGATTCCTATGAACAAATCCCTATCCATGCATGAAATCAACTACTTGAGTCAGTTACCTAAAGTAATAACGACACAGACTCTCTCCAAAATTACCAGTTTTTGCTATAAATTCAAATAAATCGCCTTTTTCTAAATATTCCAAAATTAAACAATCCAATGTTATAATATCTCCTAAATCCCCCTGTGAATAGTATCTTGAATCTTACCTTGAATTTCATTTGCTAATTCTTCCTTAAAGTTATAATATTGGGATGATTCAATTTTTCTAAGATTTTAGCTTCATTGTGGCATCTTATATCACTGCCAGGACAAGTATATACTTTTATGGCATAATAAATTTATGAAGTCACATCTTAAACTTGATATACACTTTTTAAATAATTTCAATTGTTACTCTGCCATGGATCCAGTTCCTAATAGCTTTAAGAATCGATATTCATTTATCACTGCACCAATTATTTGATCCATAAATTTAAAAATAAATTTTGCTTACACATCATATCATTTTTTAAATACTTAGAAAAATAAGAAATGTTATAACTTTTTTATTTTTATTAAAATATATTATGAATAATCAAAAATCAGATGACGAAAAATACAAAAAATTTTAATGCAAAATATGTTTAGATTTAGCAACAGAGCCAGTTATCACACCATGTGGTCATTTATATTGTTGGTAGTGTCTCTATACTGTAAATTATTTAATTTATATCTTTTCTAGTGGGCTTAAAAGAAGAATCCCTTAGTATGTCCATATTGTTCAAATGTCTTTGAATTAGAAAAGGTCACTACTATCTTCACAGGGGACTCTAAAGAATCAAAACAATCAGAAATTCCTAAAAGACCTACAAATCCAAGATAAGAATAGACCAATTAATAATAACAATTCGGAAACTTTTAATTTGGTTTCAGTTTTGGAATGCCATTTATGATGATGTCAAATTTTAATTTTGGATAAGGACAATAAGCTAATGCAAGAAGTTTTATGATAATTTTCTTTCTTGGATTTATATTGATGAATTTCCTTCCCTTCTTCAATTCCTATTTCCAAGACATTCCATAATAAACATCAAGGAGGTCAAGAAGATAGCAGGATACATCCGAAGATTATTTTACAAGTATTGGAATAAGTTTGGCTATAATCCTTGGTTTTGCTGGCCTAAACTATTTGGCTAAGAAAATTTTAAATAAATGATAAACGTGTAATTTATTTTATGTAATCTCAATATAAATTGTATTATACATATCACACATTTATTAAATTTCATTTAATTTTATCTATCATATAGAATTTGTTTACAATTTTTATATAATTTATCACAACTCTCTTATACTTCTGTATTGATATGAAATTATCATCTATAATAATACAAATATATATAATTAATTTCTTCTAATATTAATCTTATCAATATTCAGTGAATTTTATTTTGATTTAAAAATTGACCTATTGAAATAATTGATTTCATGGCAAATCGATATAATCAAATCCTTCAGATATTATGAAAGGGTTTTCTATTTAACATGTTTTCGTAAGCTTTATTTAATCTAGTTCTGCAACTTTGCAGCCTAAAAAAAGATTTATTGTATATTATTTCTGAAGGCTATTTTTTCTGAAAATTGAAGTTGTGGAGGATCTAAAATTTAATATTTAGATTATAAATATTTTTAGATATATGTTTATAGGGATTTCATATTTTGAATTAAAATTTGAAGATCTCCATCTCAAGTTCTGTGGCTTCTCTAATTATTTTCTTGTACCTTTTTAAGTAATACATCATATTCTCATTCTAATCTTAATTCTTTTTTATTCTAGTTAAAATAGAGTAGCAAAGTTTTCTTATGTCTTTTTGAATTTCTTGTCTACTCTTCATCAAATTAATTTAATAAATTGTTTAATAAATTATTAAATTTATATGTTAATTGAATCATGTTAAATAATTATTCCTGAATGATTAATAAATTTTTTTATTTACTTAGAATTTCAATCATTAAATTAAAGAATGTAAATCTTTTTACCTTTCTTAAAGTCTAAAACAATCAAAGAAACAGATTAGTTAATATGGGTTCAAAAGTTCCTTAATTTATTTCCATTATACACAACATTATGGTAAGATATGATTAATGATAATTATTAATTCAATTAAATAAAATAATATGTATAAATTTGTATTATTAAGTTAAAAAGGTTTTCATATAGAATAATATAATAAATCATAAATTAATTAATCATTTTAATAGAAAATCTAGGGTTAAATTAATAATTTGAATCAAAATGATTAAGATATTTTATTTTAATTAATTTTATTTTATAGTAAGTATCTTTTAATTATCTTGTTATTAATTTTATTGTCTTTAAGTAAAATCTAATTTATTTATTAATTTTATTAATACTTTTTAATATAATATTAATATAAAAAAGTAATAAAAAACCAAAACATTAATTCTATTATTATTATTTTAATAATAAATTTAAAGAAAAAGATATATATAAAGATATTCATAATTATTTACAAAAAATGAATAGTATATGAATTCATTTTAATATCTGTAAAAGCATTTTTTTATATCTAACTACAAAAGCAGGGATGAATTCTTTTTAAATATTATTTGCTCTTATATAGATTTGTTATGCTTTGATAAATGGTTCTCTTTAAGTTGAAATAAACTTACGAATGTTTATATTTACTTATTCCAATGAAAATGATTATGTTATTCTATGATCTACCTATTATTATAAAGATAATTTATATTTTGGATTATCATAGATTTTATGATCAAACTCATATAATTCTTTGTTTTTATGATATTTTTCTGTTATTTCAAGTATCTTTTTTGGTAGTTTTGGTTGTCTCTAATGTGTTGTATTCATTGCTTACGTCTATTCATGATGAACTAAATTGAATTCTTTGAATTCTTTAGCTGCCACAAGAGTTGTAATAATTTCAATAGGATTGCAATTATTATACTTAATAAATCTTTTATCATCATAATACTTTCCATTCGCAATGTTAATGAATGGGATACTAATTGATCCTTGAATAGAAGACATAAAGTCAATAGCTTTAGTTGGTAGTGTTTTCTCAAACATCGAAATAAATTCTAATGCTGTAATCCTATAATATGACTTTGGTGATTCTAAAAATCCACTGGTCCATTTCTAATGATAAAATTCAGCTCTTTAAATATTGCCTTGATAAAAGTATGCAATTCCCATAGCATCATAACATTGAATTTCTAAATCATGGTAATCAAATGCCCATGTGTACATTAGGGCTTTTTAGACTATAAGAATTTGTTAGTCAAATAACTTATACCTATAAATATACTATATTTTACTGTTTAGCACATTATGCTAAAACTAATAGAGTTTTGACTTTTAATAATGGATTACGAGTTAAATTTGAAAGAGTATAGCAATCCTTAAGAAAAAATGTAGCTTTTGAATATTCTTAGCAATCCAGAAAGAATGTGGCTAAAAACAAGATCATTTCTGAAAAGGTCTAAGTTAACTATATAGAATTAAATTAATTGAATACATTCTCTTATTATGCCAAGAGCATAGGAGTTTAAAATAAATTGACAATTCGCTCAGCATCCTTTCTTCGAATTATATCCTAAAAAACGAGAGAATTCTCTTCAAAAAATAGGACGATATTGTATCTCTTGTCATTCTTGTTGTACCTTTATGAATTGATGAAAGAGTTCATTTTTTGTTCCTTGAAAAAGAATCACATAAATTTAATACTCTACTCATCTGATTTTTTGAGTTTAAAGGTGAATGGGGAGTCATATTTGGTGTTCTGATCTCAAACTCATGGAGATGACTGAAGTCTAAATGTTTGACTGTCTGATCTTGAGTTCTTTCAAATACTGACAAATCTTTTGGAATTGGTGATGTCCTCTATGAGAAGGATTGTAACTTAAGTTAGGGTTTTTACATAGTGGTTGGTCTGCTTGGAGGACTGTTTAATAGATTTCGTAAAACAGAGGACATTTAGCTTTTTCTATAATGTTTAAGTTTTTCAAAGATGTTTGAAGGAGTTGAAGGAGGTGAATAATTGGTTTACATAAATAATTATTAAAATTAATGGAACCAGATCCAAAATTATTGTCTCTCTTAGAAAAGGTTAATAATCCAATAGAGTTGTTCAAAATATAAATAACTGTGAAAGTAAAGTGGCAATAACATAATTATAAAAGGGAGTTTATGGATTTGCAGAAGATTGGAAATTAACAGATGAAACGAATCCAGGAATATTTGCAAATGTAGTTCGTTACTAAGGGGAAGATATGTTTGGCAAAATCAAGGGTCGAGAATTGACAGAGAGAGAGAAGTTTGAAGAATATTAGAAAAATAGTAAAAAGAATAAAAAAGAAACTAAGAGTCCAGAGGAAGAAGAATAAATGAAGAAAGCATTGGCATTAGAGGAAGAGGAAGAATTGAAAAAATAATAACATTTGGGGACTCTTTAAGAATAGGATAAATTGTTTTTTATTTCAGAAGACAAATTCAAAACTATTAGCATATAATATGAAGAAACTCATACTATTGAAATAAAAAATGTACGTTAACTAGAAGAAGAGATTCTTGAAAACAGAAATTTCATTTATTTTATTAGATAACCTGCTATTACAGAAGAAGAATTAGCTAAATTGAAGAAAGGTAAGACTAAAAATTTAAATAATGCTGAATTAACTTAAATAATATTTAAGGGTGTTTTTGATTTATCAGATTTATTAGAACCAGGATGTACTCGTACAACAGCTAGAGCATTTTTAAAATAAGAAGAAAATGCAGATTGTCCTAAATACAATTGTGATAAGATGTATGTCAAAGTAGAAATAGAGACTGAACCTGCATTAACTCCTTTGGTTGAAGAAATTCCAGTTTTGAATATAGAACCAATAATTGTTTAAAGAATACCCAGCAAATTTGAGTGTGTTGGATAATTTCAAAGTATTCATAAGTGATGATTATTTCTAGGGGACATTAAAGAAGCTATGAAAGCATTAGATGAAGAATATTCTAAACTTTATCCCAGTGATCAAAAGGTCAAAGTTAGTGCCAATTTAACAGTTTAAAAAAGACAGGAGTTATAAAAAAAGAAAGAATCTTTTCTTAATGAAATAAATTAATCAGGGAAATATAAAATCCTTTAGGATAGATTGAGATCATCTATTATTAGAGTCTGTATTGATAAATTTGCTAAAGAAGGATTATTTGCAGGTGTAAATAAAGATGAATAAGACAGACTTTTTGCAGAACTATATGTTTTTATGATGGAAGAAATGTAAACCACACTTGGTGAATACGTTATTAATAATAAAGAAGACATTCATGAAGACTTATACTAAACTTATGATTAAAATCAAAGAGATAGAGATGTAGTGTTTCAATCTTTGAAAGAATAGGCATTTAAGAAATTCAAAAGATTTGCTGAATAATATGAAACAATCAATTAAGTTGATTAAGCTTTGAAATATTATACTAATATGGTTTTAGTGGATCCTAAATCAGCAACAATTTTTGCTAAATATTGTTTCAAAATTCAGAGATTTAAAGCAGCTGAATAGTTAATCTAAATGGTTAGAGATATAGAATGGAATAAAGAAAATGAATTATTGATGGCTTGTCTTTACATTAGAAGAGAACGATTTAAAGAAGCCACAAATATTGTTTAAGCCTTACTCTAAAAAGAACCAATAAATACACTTTTCAATCTCCTAATGTCCTTCATTTATAAGCAACAAGGAAATTAAAATATGGCTGACAAATATCTGAGATGCACATAAAGAATTTTTATGAGAACCATGGGCTTACTGACAAAAGGGTATGATTTCTAATGTTTATTTAAGATTTCCTAAACAATAACCAGATCCTCATGTATTACCAAATTTCAAATAATAGATGATAGAACAATAGGAAAAAGCTAAGAAGGCCCCTGTTTTGACTTAAGAATAAACTGACTAAATACAATTAGAATTAATTGAATATTTTGCATCTCGTAGCTTATTTGATCTAGCTGAAAAAGCACTTGTGAATATCAAAGATAAAACAACTCAAAAAATTAATATAATCAAAGCTTAGATTCATATTTTCAATGAAAACTATGCAGAAGCTCAAAGCCTAATTCAAAAAATCTTAAATCAAAATCCAAAAAATTATGAAGTTTATTTAATTAAAGGTGCTTTATGCTATCAAACTGATCAATTTTATGAAGCAGAAGAAACTTTTTTGAAAGCCTTATCTATTTAACATAAGAGATCTTTTGATATTCTATTAAGATTGGGCTATTTGTATTTGAAACGTAAGTCTTGGCAAGATGCAAGGGCTATCTTTGAACGAGCCTTAGATTAATAAGTTCCTTCAAATAGTTCCTTAACTTGGTTAGGACTTGGAATATCAAATTTGAGATTGAAAGATCCTATTGCAGAAGAATGTCTTTGTCAAGCTAGTATTCATGAACCGTTTAATGGTGAAGTATGGGGATATTAAGCTCTGAATTGCTTGTAATAAAAAAGAGGTTAGTAGGCTAAATAGTGTTTATAAAGAATGGAATAAACAGAAGTAAATGATCTAGATTTGTTGATTGAATTGGCAGAAGAAATGAACAAATGCTAAGATTTTGAAAGCTGCCGATAAATATTGATGAGAGTTTATAATTCAAAAGTCAAGATACCTAATATGGGCTAACTATTAAAGAATTTGGGGTAGGTGCATGCAGAGTTAAGAAGAAAAGATGAAGCCAAGCAGTATTATGAGGAATCATTGTAATATTTGGAAAGTGGTAATGAAAAAGCAAAAGTAATTTAAGAAATGAAGCTTTTGTGAAGATTTCCAAATTCATTTATTTATCTATAATTATTGATATAGATATATATATGCTTAAAATAACTTACTTTCTATTTACTTTGAATTTTATTTCATCTTCTGAATTTTAGTCTCTTTATCTGAATTATGCCACAATTCTCTTGTGTCTAATTTTTTTTAAGTTTAGGAGTATAATTAAAATAATGATAATGAATAAGTTTATTCGGATCAGAGATTGTACCCTATTAAATGTTAATGGAGACCAAATTTATTAAAATATGACCAGTTAATGTATAAAGCTAATTTAAAATGTTAAAAATTACTCTATTCACTGAAATGCTCCTAATTAATTAAAAAGTAACAGATAAATTAAAGAATGATATTGAAATTTTCAAATATAATTAAAAGATAAATTAGAATTCTTGGCTGTAAAATACTAGATATTAAAAAAATAATTGGATTAAACAGATGCTAATCATAATGATTAACTAATAAATCCCATGCTATAACAGTAACTAACACTTAACTCAAATATAGATATTCAATAGATAGAATTGAGAAGAATTAGAAATAAATTGAACTCTGCTTAAAATCTTAACAATTTGATTATAATACACAATTTGATTCATTCAAAAAAAAATGGAAGACTAGAGAAACAGAAATGTGACAAATGCTTGATTAAAAAAAAATTGTTAATGATTCATGAGTTGCAAATATACAGCAATTCAAACAATAGAGTGCATTCCCCTTAATATTCTAATGCATATCGTTGCAGATTCTAACCTGCTCTTTTTTCTTGTAATAATTTTACTAATAATTAAGGGCTTGCATTAGAATTCTCTTTAAAAAACTATTCAATTTAAGGATATATAGTTTTAATTTTAACTGATTTCTTCATGCTATTTAATTTTTACTTAGCTTTCTCTAGTTTTTCATTCGTGACTGGTTTTTATTCATAATTCTAATAGGATTTTAAAATTAAATACATCTTATCGTTTAAAGTTTTTAGCCAAAATAGCTGCTTACAATTTAGTAATAGATTATGCTGCATCTTTAGCTGATAGTAATTTTAATTATTGTGATCCTGATGCAAAAGCTTTAATCTTTGTAATTGTTTCGTCGATATCTTATTTATAATCACTGCCATCTTCTTAAGAGACTCTCTTCATTAAAGCGTTAATTATCTAGAGCTGTTTTGTTGCCTCATCTTTGACTGTTTTCAACCCTCTGGTACTATCTTCCATTAGTTTTAAGAAAATCTAATTGACAAACTAATATAAATCGTGGTATGTTATTTAATATTGTTTAAGATTGATATCCTCTCCATTTACTTTGATTATTGGAGTTTCTGAGAAAACTGTTTGATTGGGTGCAAGTCTCCTCTATTTTTTCCCATATGGAACCAAAGCTACAGGAGGTTCAACTCTAACCAATTTATAGAAAATTTCCTCTTTGATTTATTACAATTTATTTTCAAAATCAACTTTTGGATTTGAAATGTATTCCATCTAAGAACTGATTAATGTTGAATTATGAATTCTATTTTTCAATTCAGCCACAATAGTATGAGAAAAAGTTTCCCCTATTGCCAAAGTAAAAAACTTAAATTAATATTCTTCTTCATGAAATTTTGAAAAGTTTTCTGCTAAATTATCTATATAATCCTCCAATACATCTTCTCCAACTCCATCTGTGATAAATATTACAATAACATTTTTTTTCAATTTTTCACTCTTTATTAGTTTAATTAATTCATGAAAACCCAAAGATATATTTGTTCCTTCCCCTTTCTGTTCTTTCAATTTAGGATTCTACTACAATATAGCAGTATCATCAAATTGAATACAATATGAACTTTAGATATCTTGTATGAAATTATTCCAAGCTTTGCATAAATCTTCCCAACATTCACTCATACTTCCAGATCCATCAATAACTCCAACAACTGAAAAATTATTATCTGGTTTTTGATCCACTATTGTATAGAGGTAGAATTGTTTATCCTAATTCATATTTTAATAATTACTTTATGATAATTTATGCTAATAGATTTTAGTTTAGATAATTTTAATATAAAATGTGATGAAGATAAGACATTATCCCTTATTAAAATATTATAATTGTGAATTTTGTTTTATATATGATAATTCCTAATTCAGAATTTTTAATAATAATTATATCTTAAAATAATAGATGCTATAATTTATAGTACAATATGAGGGGAAAAAATTTAACTCAGAATCAATGAGTTATAGAAAGATTCAAGATTTCATCGACAAATTGGTTTCTACATTGAAATTACCTATTTAAAATAAGTAATTTGGATTATTCATGAACAATATTGAACTTCAAAGAGATAAAACATTATTAGAAAATAAAGTGAATAAAGGATCTGTATTAGATTTGAGAGTCACTAAGACTTTTGATTATGCCTTTCTAAAAGTTGTAAAAGATGGGAAATCCTTTTATCCACATATTAGTTTAGCAGCTATGGCATAAGATCTATATACTGAAGTCGCTACAGAGTTCTAGATTGCTGAGGATACATTTACACTTTACTTTTAAGGAACTCCATTAAGTAGAAATGCTTAATTAGCACAATATAATATTATTGCAAATTCTATTATTAATTGTTAATCTAAAGATGTCATTAATAAAGATGATTAATTGAATGAATTATAAACAAATACCTAGAATTCTAATTACATTCAAGTAGAACAATAAAACTATATCTAACCTAAGTAATAATAACTTGCGATGCCATAATAAAATATAATGATTATTTTAGAATATCGTGGTTAAAAGAATCAAATTGAAGTGACTTCAGATACTTACATACATGAAATCATAGAAATAGTTAAAGAAATATATTCAATTCAAGAAAACATTAATTTAAAACTTGATCAATAAATTTTGCCAAACAATTAAACAATAGAATCCTTACAAATCAAAAAAGGTTTTATCTTTTCAGTGGAAATTCAATAATAATAATAATAATAATAATAACAATAGTAATAGTAATCATAATAATATTAATAACCTAACACATAATAAAATATAATGATTATTTTAGAATATCGTGGTTAAAAGAATTAAATTGAAGTGACTTCAGATACTTACATACATGAAATCATAGAAATAGTTAAAGAAATATATTCAATTCAAGAAAACATTAATTTAAAACTTGATCAATAAATTTTGCCAAACAATTAAACAATAGAATCCTTACAAATCAAAAAAGGTTTTATCTTTTCAGTGGAAATTCAATAATAATAATAATAATAATAATAACAATAGTAATAGTAATCATAATAATATTAATAACCTAACACATAATAAAATATAATGATTATTTTAGAATATCGTGGTTAAAAGAATTAAATTGAAGTGACTTCAGATACTTACATACATGAAATCATAGAAATAGTTAAAGAAATATATTCAATTCAAGAAAACATTAATTTAAAACTTGATCAATAAATTTTGCCAAACAATTAAACAATAGAATCCTTACAAATCAAAAAAGGTTTTATCTTTTCAGTGGAAATTCAATAATAATAATAATAATAATAATAACAATAGTAATAGTAATCATAATAATATTAATAACCTAACACATAATAAAATATAATGATTATTTTAGAATATCGTGGTTAAAAGAATTAAATTGAAGTGACTTCAGATACTTACATACATGAAATCATAGAAATAGTTAAAGAAATATACTCAATTCAAGAAAACATTAATTTAAAACTTGATCAATAAATTTTGCCAAACAATTAAACAATAGAATCCTTACAAATCAAAAAAGGTTTTATCTTTTCAGTGGAAATTCAATAATAATAATAATAATAATAATAACAATAGTAATAGTAATCATAATAATATTAATAACCTAACACATAATAAAATATAATGATTATTTTAGAATATCGTGGTTAAAAAAATCAAATTGAAGTGACTTCAGATACTTACATACATGAAATCATAGAAATAGTTAAAGAAATATACTCAATTCAAGAAAACATTAATTTAAAACTTGATCAATAAATTTTGCCAAACAATTAAACAATAGAATCCTTACAAATCAAAAAAGGTTTTATCTTTTCAGTGGAAATTCAATAATAATAATAATAATAATAATAACAATAGTAATAGTAATAGTAATAATAATAATAATAGTAATAGTAATAATAATAATTATAACAATAATCACCCACATAATAAAATATAATGATTATTTTAGAATATCTTGGTTAAAAGAATTAAATTGAAGTGACTTCAGATACTTACATACATGAAATCATAGAAATAGTTAAAGAAATATACTAAATTCAAGAAAACATTAATTTAAAACTTGATCAATAAATTTTGCCAAACAATTAAACAATAGAATCCTTACAAATCAAAGAAGGTTTTATCTTTTCAGTGGAAATTCAATAATAATAATAGCCAATACAATCAAAATTAACTTTAATTATTTTTCACGCTATTTTAAATGGTTAAGCAGTAGAAGTAGATTCAGATACTAAAGTATATGAATTGGCAATTGAATTATAAGCACTCTTACAGATTTCATAAATCTAGTTAACTTTAGAAAATGGGTAAGTTTTAAACCCAAATTAAACTTTTAGAGAATAAAATGTTTAAGAAAATTCTAAATTGTACATATAGTAAGTCTTAACTAATCCTATTTAACCAGCATCTTAAATTTAAGAAATAGTTTTGATAGTGATATTTGAATAATAAACTTTAAATATTACTGTTCCTTTTAATTCTTTGGTGTAGGAGCTTGAAAGTACACTTAAGCAAAATTTGAATTTAAATTATGAAATAAAGTTATTCCACAATGATAAAATGTTGAATTCGAATGAATCATTCCAATAATTGCAAATCGTAAAAGGATCTAGATTGGTGATTAAAAAAATTGAATAAGCCTCTATTCCAAAAAAATAAATTCAATTAAGTTTGTCTTATGAAACTTAGCCTCTAATTACAATAGAAGTAGAAGATGAAATTACTATTAAAGATATTGAAGATTAAATAAATCAATACTTTCATTTAAATGTAGATTTGGTGACTTTTTATAATGGGTAGGTTTTAGATTCAAGCAAAACTCTGTAAGAATATTAAATTAGTGATTAATCCATTCTCAAATTTTAATAGAAATAATAAAATATACATCTTATTATTAAGGCATTCAATCAGACTTTAGATTTTTAAGTTAATTAAGATACAAAAATTATGAGTTTGATTGAAGATGTAAAAGGTATATGCAATGTGAAAAATCAATTGATGATGTAAAAAGTAAATGGAAAAATCTTATACCCAAGCTTAACTGTTAAGCAATCTGGACTTTGTGATAACTCAATCTTAACTGTAGTTCAATAATAGTATAAATAACCCAAATTGCCAGTTAGAAGAGTTATCAAAGTGATTTTAGATTATAAAGGGGCTAAAACACCAATAGAAGTTGAAGATAACATAAATGTATCAGAGTTGATAGAGCAAATCATGCTTAGTTTCTCAATTTAAGGATCCTTATAAATTAGTCTTGAGGGAAAATAAATTCTTAATCCTTTAGACACTTTAGCCAATTAGAATGTTTAGAAGGGAAGTCTATTAATTGTAACTCAAATTCCATAAAATGTTCCTTAAATTCAATAAGTTGCTCCTTAAACTAAATAAAGTTCATCTCCTCTAAATATCAAAGCATTTATTATGACTATCGATTATTAAGGATAACAATATCCCATAGAAGTACATTCGAATACTTTAGTATATGAAATAATACAGGATATTAGATAAGCCCTTTAAATCTAAGAATAATGTAATTTGCACCTTGAAAATTAATAAGTTCTTCAACTAAACTTAACTTTAGAGGATTAAAATTTGAAAAAAGATTCTATTTTATTTTTAAAACCAATTCAAAATGTTAATTATAATGCATAGTAATAACCTATTTTATAATCACATTAAGCTAATAAAGCATAAGAAATTATTATTATGTTTAATTTTTAAGGGTAGAATCATAGCTTAAGTTTGATGAATGATACATTAGTTAAGGATTTGATTATATGTATTTAATAGAATTTCAATTTAAATGAAAAATTCTAATTAAGTTTGGAAAACAAAAATATACTAAATGAGGAGTAAACTTTGGCTGATTAGAAAGTTGAAATAGGAAACACTTTATATCCAGTTTTCAACCAGAAACCATAACAATAATAATTTGAAGAGAATTACACTTTGATTTTGTATTATTAGAATTGTAAATACTAGTTTGAAGTTTCTTCTGATTCATTAGGAAGTGAATTGATGGATGCTATTTAGCAACATACTAAAATATCAACTGCATTCAATGCAATTATTGAAGGATAAACTCCTTTGATCTTGGATAAGACTTTGAAGGCGTAAAATATAAAAAATGGAAGTATTATTGAACTCTAAGTATTGCCTTAAATAAATCATTTGAATTAAACTTAATAAAATGAATTTTAGGAAATACCTCCTTCATAATAATAAAATTTTTATGGTATTTCATACTAAAGAAATTAATAACCTCCTGCGAATTAATAATTTATTCCATAATCAAATCAGTTTCCGTTTAGTTAGCCTATGAATTTTGCTTCAGTACCTCCATGGTAGAATACATTATAGGGAGGTTAGAAAAATTTATAATAACAATTTTAATAAGGATTGAATAATAGTCTTAATTAGTTAAATAGTTTTGAGGGATTTATTCTAAATAAAACATAATTTTTATCAAACTCTGGACTTGAACAAAAACCATTTCAATAATAAACATTAGAAATACTTTCTACACAATTCTAAAAACCCTAAAAATAGTATTTATAATAATTCTTTTCTTAACCCTAAAATACAAAATAATTAAAAATTTATCTTCATTACATGAATACAATTTAAAAGTTGAAATTGAATAAAAAGATGAAAATCTAGGATATAATAGAACATTGCAAGGATGTATTCAATATAGAGTAAGATTTAACACTTCAACACTAAGGACAGGATTTGAATCCTTAAGAGATTATAGAATAATGTAGATTGAATGATAATGAAATTTTGGATGTAGTTGTTAAACAATTGGATTAATTAGTTCTGAATATTACGGTGCTAGGAAATGATATTTAAGTGGAGGTAGATTAAGACTAAAAAGTTTTTGAATTGATTGATGAGTTGAAGATGGTTTACAATATCAATTATCCCACTGAACTTGTGTTCAATCAAATAAAATTATTTCCAGATAAGAGTTTCAAATAACAAAATATTCTGAGTAACAGTTATTTGATTTTAAGATAAAAATAAGCAGTTTCCAAATTGAAGATCACTTAAGGTTTAAATTTGATTATTGTCAAAGTTAGAGATGGAATGAATATGATCCAAATTGAAATAGCTCCTACAGCAACAGTTCAAGATTTGGAGAGAAAAGTTAAGGAAAAGACAGGTATAAATTTTAATTTTACATTATAATTCAACATGAAATTTTTGAGCCCATATTTATCTTTGGCTCAATAAGGTATAAAAAAAAAAGAAGGTTTTATCTTTTCAGTGGAAATTCAATAATAATAATAGCCAATACAATCAAAATTAACTTTAATTATTTTTCACTCTATTTTAAATGGTTAAGCAGTAGAAGTAGATTCAGATACTAAAGTATATGAATTGGCAATTGAATTATAAGCACTCTTACAGATTTCATAAATCTAGTTAACTTTAGAAAATGGGTAAGTTTTAAACCCAAATTAAACTTTTAGAGAATAAAATGTTTAAGAAAATTCTAAATTGTACATATAGTAAGTCTTAACTAATCTTACTTAACCAGCATCTTAAATTTAAGAAATAGTTTTGATAGTTCTATTTGAATAATAAACTTTAAATATTTCTGTTCCTTGTAATTCTTTGGTGTAGGAGCTTGAATGTACACTTAAGCAAAATTTGAATCTTAATTATGAAATAAAGTTATACCACAATGATAAAATGTTGAATTCGAATGAAACATTCCAATAATTGCAAATCGTAAAAGGTTCTAGATTGGTGATCAAAAAAATTGAACAAGCCTCTGTTTCAAAAAAATAAATTCAATTAAGTTTGTCTTATGAAACTTAGCCTCCAATTACAATAGAAGTAGAAGATGAAATTACTATTAAAGATATAGAAGATTAAATAAATCAATACCATCATTTAAATGTAGATTTGGTGACTTTTTATAATGGGTAGGTTTTAGATTCAAGCAAAACTCTGTAAGAATATTAAATTAGAGATAATTCCATTCTCAAATTTTAATAGAAATAATAAAAAATACATCTTATTATTAATGCATTCAATCAGACTTTAGATTTTAAAGTTAATTAAGATACAACAATTATGAGTTTGATTGAAGATGTAAAAGGAATATGCAATGTGAAAAATCAATTGATGATGTAAAAAGTAAATGGAGAAATCTTAGACCCAAGCTTAACTGTTAAGCAATCTGGACTTTGTGATAACTCAATCTTAACTGTAGTTTAATAATAGGATAAATAACCAAAATTGCCAGTTAGAAGAGTTATCAAAGTGATTTTAGATTATAAAGGGGCTAAAACACCAATAGAAGTTGAAGATAACATAAATGTATCAGAGTTGATAGAGCAAATCATGCTTAGTTTCTCAATTTAAGGATCCTTATAAATTAGTCTTGAGGGAAAATAAATTCTTAATCCTTTAGACACTTTAGCCAATTAGAATGTTTAGAAGGGAAGTCTATTAATTGTAACTCAAATTCCATAAAATGTTCCTCAAATTTAATAAGTTGCTCCTTAAACTAAATAAAGTTCAACTCCTCTAAATATCAAAACATTTATTGTGAATATCGATTATGAAGGATAACAATATCCCTTAGAAGTAAATTCAAATACTTTAGTATATGAATTAATATACGAATTTAGATAAGCCCTTTAAATCTAAGAATAATGTAATTTGCACCTTGAAAATTAATAAGTTCTTCAACCAAACTTAACTTTAGAGAATTAAAATTTCAAACAAAATTCTATTTTATTTTTAAAACCAATTCAAAATGTTAATTATAATGCATAGTAATAACCTAGTTTATAAACAAATTAAGCTATTAAAGCATAAGAAATTATTATTATGTTTAGTTTCTAAGGGTAGAATCATAGCTTAAGTTTGGTGAATGATACATTAGTTAAGGATTTGATTTTATGTATTTAATAGAATTTCAATTTAAATGAAAAATTTTAATTAAGTTTGGAAAACAAATGTATACTAAATGAGGAGTAAACTTTGGCTGCTTAGAAAGTTGAAAAAGGAAACACTTTATATCCAGTTTTCAACCAGAAACCATAACAATAATAATTTGAAGAGAATTACACTTTGATTATGAATTATTAGAATTGTAAATACCAGTTTGAGGTTTCTTCTGATTCATTAGGAAGTGAATTGATGGATGCTATTTAGCAACATACTAAAATACCAACTCCATTCAATGCAATTATTGAAGGAAAAACTCCTTTGATCTTAGATAAGACTTTGAAGGCGTAAAATATAAAAAATGGAGGTATTATTGAACTCTAAGAATTGCCTTAAATAAATCAATTGAATTAAACTTAATAAAATTAATTTTAGAAAATACCTCCCTCATAATAATAAAATTTTTATGGTACTTCATACTCATTACCTCCTCCTGCGAATTAATAATTTATTCCATAATCAAATCAGTTTCCGTTTAGTTAGCCTATGAATTTTGCTTCAGTACCTCCACCACAATAGAATACATTGTCGGGAGGTTAGAAAAATTTATAATAACAATTTTAATAAGGATTGAATAATAGTCTTAATTAGTTAAATAATTTTGAGGGATATCCAACATAATTTTTACCCAATGGAAAACCGCAATTTCAATAATAATAATATGGAAGACTATCTACACAATTTTAAAAACCCTAACAATAGTAAATGGTTGGAATGCCTTTTTAATAATAAATCTTTAATTAAACCTAAATGAGTGGAATGCCTTTTTAATAATAAATCTTTAATTAACCCTAAATTGGTGGAATGCCTAATTAATAATAAATCTTTAATTAACCCTAAATTGGTGGAATGCCTAATTAATAATAAATCTTTAATTAACCCTAAATGGGGGGAATTCCTAATTAATAATAAATCTTTACTTAATAATAAAATAACTAAAAAATTAAAATTTAACTTCAATACATGAATTCAATTTAAAATTTGGAATTGACTAAAAAAATGAAAATCTAGGATATAATAGAACATTGCAAGGATGTATTCAATATAGAGTAAGGTTTAAAAATTCAACGTTAAGGATTGGATTTGAATCCTTAAGAGATTATAGAATAATGTAGATTGAATGATAATGAAATTTTGGATGTAGTTGTTAAATAAACAGATTAATTTTTTCTGATTATTTCAGTGCTAGGAAATGATATTTAAGTGGAGGTAGATTAAGACTAAAAAGTTTTTGAATTAATGGATGAGTTGAAGATAGCTTACAAAATCAATTATCCCACTGAACTTGTGTTCAATCAAATACAATTACTTCCTGATAAGAGTTTCAAGTAACAAAATATTCTGAGTAACAGTTATTTGATTTTAAGATAAAAATAAGCAGTTACCAAATTGAAGATCACTTAAGGTTTAAATTTGATTATTGTCAAAGTTAGAGATGGAATGAATATGATCCAAATTGAAATAGCTCCTACAGCAACAGTTCAAGATTTGGAGAGAAAAGTTAAGGAAAAGACAGGTATAAATTTTAATTTTACATTATAATTCAACATGAAATTTTTGAGCCCATATTTATCTTTGGCTCAATAAGGTATAAACAATAATTGTGAAGTAATTTTGCTTCGATGATGAATTTAATTTACATCATTTAATATATAAAATTCATAAATCTCTGGCATCTTCGAAACTTAAGATAAATACAGTATGTGGATAATAGCTGACACCTCGTTCATCAGTCTTAAATTAATAAGAGACTTGACATGTGAATCCAGATGCATTCAAGACTCCCTTAATTATAGTAAATAAAGAATACTTTCAGAATCCCACACATAAATTATGCAGGGGATATATGTCCTTCTTCAGATATATATTTGAGAAGCAATGGATTCTCATCTCTAATAAGATAATCATTAGGTCTATCCTTCAATCTTTCAATCGATTCTGCTTGTCTACCAAAGAGATGTTTCCAAAACTACGAAAAGTTTTTTATTCATTATACAATCCCTTAGATGAACCTTAATTATTCAACTAATTTTGTTTCACTTTTATTTCTTTCTCTAAGACTTACTAGTTCGTAAAGTCGGATTCCAACCGAAACTCCTAATTGTTCCATTTTAGAGTTCATCTCATTGTAATCGTTTCCGTGTTTTCTCTTCAAGTAGCAAATATATCTAGATATAGAATGGAAGTACTCAGCAAAGATATAATTGAATGTGCAGAAATTCAATTCAGGTCTTTGTTATCTAATATTCTAGTCAAAAAACTAAAATTTTTTCATAATTATATGAAATAAATAGTTTTTTCATAATTACTTTCATGATTCAGCAAATTATTCAATAAGAGTCATAAGATTCTTTCCATTCATACATTTTGTATCAACAAAAGCACTACATACAAGATGTGGATCCATATTGGCTGCAGGTCTTCTATCTTCCAAATATCTAAAATTACACAAATATATAATACCCTTTGCCTAATTCTTTTGTAATTATGGGTACTCTAATAGAACATCCCCTTGATCCATCTACCCGAGAGAATTAACTATATTCTCCAGTCTCATGTTTCCCTGTCAATCTTGCCTCATCGTTTAAACCATACAACGACATCATGTTTTAGTGATTCTTTTCCAAAAGAGGTAACATGATTTCTTTAATGTATTCATAACCACCTTATTCTCTTGTCTTTGTTGTTGAGAAATTGCAATGAGCTCCTGTACTATTCTAATCTCCTTAAATGGGTTTTGGATCATAATTTCTATCAATTTCTAACTCTTCACCCAATCTTTTCAATATATATCTTGCCAACCATAAATGATCTCCTGCCTCTATTCTATGAGCAATTCCAATTTGAAATTCTCATTATGATGGAGCAACTTCAGAATTAATTCCAAACAACTTTAAACCAGCAAGCAGAAAAGCTAGTTAATGAGCTTCAGATAAGGCTCTTCTAAAATTGTTACGTTCTCCTATTGAAAAATATTATCTTCCTTATGGATAAGGAAAACCTTCAACTGGCCATCCAAAAGGCCATAAATGGATTGTTACTGTTCTCTTTAACGCAAAATATTCTTATTAAATGCCAAACCAAGACTCGCTATCTCTTGCTTCTTAAATTTTTTTTTCAGCAATCCATCTAAAATTAAAAAGTGCTGGTGTTTTAAGTTCTGGTTTGTATGTTTCCCGTCATACAATTTTATGTATGGTAAAAGAATCTTTTACAATGCATAAAAGTTCTCTCCAAAGATATTGCAATCTAATCATATTTCTTCTAATTTATGAGAACTCATTAATTTATTCTAATGTTTCAATATCATCTACTCTCATTTAATAATTTGAATAATGAATAAGTGCAATTTATTTCCTTAACATTCTAATTATTAATATGTACTTTTATTTTTGAGTAAAATTATTAACTTATTTTATGTTGGATAAAATTGTAACTAAAATATTTAGATAATAATAATTAGTAATTCCAAATTAAATTCATTTTTTAAGTATTATGAAATACATATGATGTTATTTCTGTTTTATATTTCTTCCAATACTTATATTTAATCTTTAAATGCAATAAAAATTTCCAAATTACCAAATCATTTTTCTTAGTGTTGATCATAATTTGTTAATTAAAATTCTTAATTTGTTTTCTAATAAAAGCTGTGTATTACCATAACGTATTTAAGAATAGAATTGAGCATCATTGAATCAACTACACTAGATTAAGAAAATCAATTTGGTGCATCAGTAGATGAGTGCACTTTTGAAGAAATAGAGTACTTTACAGTAGTAACACTAGCTACAGTCAGTTATGGAGATGTAATTCCTTAGACAGAGAAGGTAGAGTTTGTGTTATTGTATTCATCATTATTGCTTTTGTTGTAATACCTTAATAGAGAATGAATTGATTAGATTGATGGGATTATAAAGTATATATTCAAGTACATTCTATAAATGGAATCCAAAAGTTCCACATATCATCATATTTGAACAAGCGAATGTTGCAGCCCTTAGAAAAATTTTTATGAATTTTTCATCAAGATTGTGGTAGTCAAGATAAAAATGCAATCATTATGAGGTTGACTAAACCAATTACTGAGATGGAGATATTCTTACATAATCCAAATTATGAGTTATTTTGATTATTAACAAGGGAGTCCTAAGCTTGATACAGATCTAAAAGATCAGCAGCTAAATAAGCTATGGCTTGTGTGATTTTGACCAACAAATAAATAGTAGATAGCCAATTATCTGATCATAAGAATATATTAATTGGTTTATAAATAAAATTATGAGAATAATATTATTTTATTA